TTTTTTTTTATTTTACTACAAAAATTGTTCAAGGTTCCTCTCTTTTAACCTTTCTAGGTTGCCCAAACTTTATTTTAAGTTTATATATATATTTTTTTAATTTTATCTATGACAGAATCTACTAATATTTTAAAAGCCCGCTCGTACCGCGCGACCGGCGACTTGAGCGATTGCGGATCCTCTCTCGCTGAGGGGTCTGCTATTGCTGTTACTGCTGCCGCTGGTTCTTATAATCTTATAAATACTTTTTTATTTGCAATCTTCAGTTGCAGCGCCCAGTGTAAACGCAATAAGATTTACTATGAGAAAATAATTAGCTCACTTCATTACCTGGAATCAATAATCTTGAGAAGCAAATATGGAAATGAGCATTATCTCTGTCTGTAATTGTTCGTCCACGTGGAGAAGGGTGGCGCGAAAGTTCTTAACTGGTGTGCATCTTCATATTATTCTGCTTATATGTAAAGTAAGCGAAACGACAATAGTAAGCAGTTGAATAAACGATCAAATTCTAGAAATACAACTTCCGAAAGAAGTAAAACATACAGATGTTTCTGGCGTCTGGCTAGTGCATCCGGTTATGAATCGGGAGGTCTATGGTTCGAGACCCCTCTATGGAGAGCATCTTTTTTTACAAAAAAAAATGTGCTTTTGCAAATGGGATTAACAGATTAAAGAGTATATCCAATTAATTTATTTATCTTATTACAATAAAAGCATAACAACGACAACCTGCGGGCTTCCACATCACCCAAGAGGTGCCGCAGTCGATGCGTTCCCATTATTAAGCGTAGCGGGTCCCCAATAGGCCTATACTACGATCGGCCTATACTATTTTTCAAGGTTCCTCTCTTTCTAATTTTCTCGGTTGCCCAAACTTTATTTTAAGCTTATATAAAATATTTTTAAAAAAAAGGTTGTCATCGGGATCGAAAATCATTTTCTATTAACTCACAATATTCTCTGTCGCAATATCCTTCATAGTAATAAAATAAACTGGACATCCATCCCAGGAGCTGACATCCGTGTAGCACCTCCATTTTTGTAATGTTAATATAATATGTATAAATATGTATTTTAATAGAGAGTCCACAGTGTTCTTCTCTCGTCGGTGCGCTATAAACGCGGAATTAGCAAAATCCAGAAGACTCGCGTGGCCGAGGAAAAGTTATTTAGTACGCAACAGAATCTGCGGTTGATCACTCGGAAACAAGTATAGCTGGAAATATAGTCAGACACTACCGCGCAACATGGGAACACTTTCCGAATGCATCACCAAAATCTCTTTGAGGTCCCATACGCCAAGTGGAGTAGCACAAGCGAACGCAGATTGACGTGACCGCTCCCCTAGAGAGCGCAGAAAGGGATGCCGACGCCAACCCATGACTCCCCACCGCTCAAACCGTCTTGGCATATTTGCTGCGGAGTTTACTGCGATACCAAAGTGATATCACGATGAAGGTATAGCCCAGCGGAAGAAATTGGGATAATATGTAACACAAAGAAAGAGAGAGAGAGAGAGATAGAATTAGATAATCAAGTATTACCTTAGAATGTAGATGAACAAAAGAAACAAAGGATCGATGAATGTATCACAACTGTGATGTATTTACGGAGAGAGGGGAAGGGGGAAGGAAGACCGGCAAAACGCGCTTTCCAAGAGGTCGGCTCTCGAAAGACTGACCTCTGCACCAATAATACATTCTTTGTATACTGCTGGGTACCCCCTCCCACCGCTCGAGTACTCCTTGGCAAAAGTTATGCCCCCCTACGACAGGTTTGTCAATTACAACTCGTACAGGGTTCGTCAACGATGCTCCCCCGCTCGAATACTCCTTGACAAAAGTGATGCCCCCCTACGACAGGTTTGTCAATTACAACTCGTACAGAGTTCGTCAACGATGCTCTCGAGTGACGATGCAGGCTGATCGGTACACGGCAATTGTTCGCATTTTAGGATATCGTTGACGCTCCCTGTAATGCTCGTAAAGCGTACGTTTCATTAGCACAGCAGGGCTCTAAGTGCGTCTCTCTCGCACGCATACGGATTATTACACTTTTTCTACTACCTATAACTATACTACCTTTAACTTACAACTATACTACCTATAAATGTTTTGAATAGCTCACAAAAATGGTGTCTAGACCCTGTACCTGCTACGCACTAATATTGAATTTAAAAGAAAACTATGAAGGTACAAACGATGGAACGCAGTGGAGATATACTAGAGACTATACTCTTTCGAACGGGACTGATTGGAAAGAGGTACAAACGATACTTTCTTGAAGAACTTTAAAAATTGGTGTCTGAGCGTTGTACATGCTATGCACTTAACTAGAATTTCTATAGTTCCTGATAGGTTTTCACAATAGTTCTGCTACGTAACATCGTTAAAATAGGAATTTTCCAAAAATTGAGGTGCTACATGAGTGTCAGCTCCAGCACTGCACTTTTTTAAAATCTCTTGAAAATGATTCAACAATAGGCTTTTTCAATAGCTCTCGAGAAGTTCTATAGTTCCAGATAGGTTTTAACAACAATTCTGCTACGTAACATCGTTAAAATACCTATTAAGGATACTAGTCGCACCATATGCTTCAGTGCAGGTATGCATAAGGAGCTGGTTTTCAGTGTTATTTTCAGGTTGTGTTTCAAACAGTTCCGGAATAATTCTCTCTAGTACTCAATGTTGGGACCATAGTTCCGCTTGGAACTATTGTTAAATAATGATGGAAGCTGGCACCGCATCGCTGCACTCCTTAACACAGGCAGGCATAAGGTGCTGGCTTTTGTCTTAGTAAATCTTATCGAGCTTACACTGTACATTTGAATTTAAGATTACAAAAGAAAAAGATTTAGGCAATATCTGATAAGCGGCCTCTTTCTAAGGATTGCTCTGGGATTCAGTTGTAAGTTGTGGAGAATCTCTGTCCGCTAGGCTACCCGTTCGTGATCACGTTAAGCTCGGCTACGGTGGAATGTGCATTATCGACGGAGGCGATGATCACAAGATCCTACTCCCGGACTCGCCATTACGATTTAGCGACATGTTTTTGGCATCGCCTAACACCGTAGCTTTGTGCATCTTCCTTTCTATTTATCTCTGTAAACCCTACTTATGTGAAAATTTTGAACAGGAATGTCAGGAATCTAGATACTTTGAAAGTTCACGACCGAAAGGTTGGAGGTTCGTGCCCAGCTTCCAGCGGCATTCACCAACGGGTTTTCATATGAAAACTTAAGTGAGTATTTATACGGATTTTGCCCAACACTGTTCGGATTCGGTGTATAAACTTTGTAGGTCCCCTCACGCTGAGTTGAATAAGGACCGTCTCGCAAGGTACATCGCCATCTATTGTCGAACTTCCAACCTTGATTATTAGGACCAGTTACTGGCACATGTCCCCCATTGGGGATACAGCCATAAGGAAAGGAAGGAAGGAAGATACTTTGAAAGCGCATTGCTCCGTACAAAAAGCTTTAAAGCTAACCATTTGAAATAATAAAAGAATTACAGAATTGCTAACAAAGAAGTAAATCATAAGTGAGAACTACGGCTTATAATACTTATTTAATAAAACGATTGACTAACATTTTCATGTCAAATTGCGGGATTGAATGCAATATCGAAAAATAATACAAATTGTTAACCTTGTCAACCTCAATTTCATCTGTGCTATTTACATCCCTTCGAGTTCGTAGTGCACGGAGGAACAACGTGGGAATATCTAAATATTGTCACTAAAAACGTATAGCTTTTAATATACTAATTGAACATATTTCCTTATTAGTTAGTAGTTGATAAAATGTCGAATCTACCCATACGAACGTACCAAAGAAAAAATGCAGCTAAGCAAACGTCTATACTTTATAAAAATCCTACAATTATTTCTCGTACAAATACTCAACTTAAATCCTCTAAGAACTATAATATAAAGGTGAAGGAGAAGCTTAAAAATGTGGATGATACCTTAGACTATGATCCATTCGACACTACCTTTGATCGACTTGCAAAAGATGCTAGGTGAGTATATTATTTAATTGTTGTATTGTGTGATAGTGCCATTACTTATCTTTAGGTTTTATGTACTTTTTGTATTGCATTCAGATTACCGCCAGTACCTCCTATATCAGGAGGTACACATGATTCTTGGTATGACAGTAGTGACAACAGCCTACCAGTACATAATTCTTCAACAATTTCTGTTGCTCAAGACCTAATACGCACAAAGAATAAAGCTTCTGTAAAAGTGGTAAAAAAAGGGAAAAGGATAAAAGATTCAATGATGGTCATGGTTAATAAAGTTACAAGGAATAAGTATCCAAAGCCTGTGAGGAAGACTAGACAGAAGAATGGTTTAGCAATGCTGAGTGTAAATGAAACAGACATTTGTTTAGAAAAGGATTTCAAAGTCAAACGCAAATATAACCATAAAAAGAAGAATAATAATATTATTAAAGTAGAAGAATCTAAGAAAGATGTAAAACATGTTTTCTCACAAAACTCAAATCATAGCAGTAATAACAGTAGTGTTATTGATCATAAACTTATAATAGAATCAGTATCTGGCAATAATCCCTCAAAGGTTGCTAAAATTGACTTGCAAAGCTCAAACACGTCAGAAATAACTAAAGCAACGAATATGGAAGAAGTACCCTCAAAACGTAAAAAAGCTGCATGGAAAATGAAGATTGTGTTATCACCAAATAAAAAGAAGATATTTCAGGAAAGAAAAAGAAAGAGCAAGAGTAAAGGAAACTCCAGCAATTTACATTCAAGTAATGATGTTCATATTAAAAAACAAAGAAAATTGAAGAGCATAGATAACAATGTTCCAGCTGTACAAGATAATCAAAATCAAACAAGCATAAATCATCTAGTTAACAGACCAGAAGTAAACTCTTCATTTAGTGTGAGTAATATTTCAATGAACAGTTTAAATGACGCAAGTGATCAGATAGATAATACAGACGTGAACAGTTCATCCAATAATATAAACAATATCTCAATGGACAGTTCAAAAAGGGAATCCATGGACCTATTAAAACTATCAAATAGCATAAATTTACTGGCACATTCTACACCGTATTCTAATTCTAAAAAGAGTTCAAATAATAAACCTATGGATCCACTGGAAACATTGACTAACGTAAAAGCTTCAGCACATTGTACATTATATTCTACTTCTAAGGAGAGTTTAAATAACAAACTCATCAATCCACTGAAACAATTCACTGACATAAAATCTATAGCACCTTCTACACTGTATGCTCCTAATAAGAATTCAAATAACAAACCTATGGATTCACTGGAACCGTCGACTAGCATAAAAGCTGTATCACGTTCTACATCGTATCCTAACTCTAGTAATTCAGTTGAAGTAACGAAGCCAATGATAATAGTTAAACCTTGTTGTGTAAAGCTAGAAAGGTACGAAAAGAACAAGACTAAACAAAACTATTTGAAGGAGTACGACAAAAAGGAAATTTGTATTCCAGACTTCAGTCATTTACCTGCTGAAAATATTACATACGAACACGTTGAAACTACCAGAAATAATTTATCTCAATCCATTATTAGATCTTGTTCAGTTAAAATATCTAGGAATGATGTGGATAAATTTCTGAAATCAACGTCTATAATACAGGAAATTAATCCACTTCAATTGGATTCAAGAAATTGTACCAACCAATTAAATATTAAAGAGTGTAGTGTTAATTTATCTCGAATAAGACTTTCTGAGTACAAAAAAATTAAATTGTGGGAATCTAATCTACCTATGCAAAATTATCACGGCTTAATGTGTAGCACACCATTAGAGGGGCCAGTGAAACAGTCACTCAGGAAAGTTCGCTTTTCACCCATCAACAGTCTTACTTCTATTAAAACAAAGAGGCAAAAAATTCAAGTTAAAGATAAACGTATTAGTAAAGAACTGTCAAAAGAGAAAACTAATGACGTCCAAGATATAAATACTATAAAAAAGAATCTGCATTCATACTATAATACTTCTGACGTGGAGGAATCCAAAGGAACAAGAGGAATTATTGAAGTTTCTCAAGAATGCTTGTCAATGGACGAACAAACGACAGTGGAATTGGAACCAAAGTCAAATAAAATAAAATCAAACTCTTTTGTACGACTTGCATCGGACCAATCAGAAGATAGTATCTATGCAGCAAGTACAGTAAATTATAATTCATTTGCGAGGACTAATTTGTGTAAGAAAGTCTTGGGTGTTTCTTCAGATTCAGATGCATCGTGTTCTCTGTTTAGTAATAGAACAACAAATGAAGAAAACTTAACATCTTCGAATGATGATACAAAAAACAAAACAGATGTATTTTGCTCAAAGGCTCAAATTACTAAAAGAAGAAACAAGAACAACAAACAATTGAAAAGTGATATTCTTGCAGTTAACACAAGAGCAAGTCAAGAATCTTCAAACACAGAAAACATATCCTTCGAAGACTCATCTTTATTTCCCACCAAAATTATTGAAAATTCTCAAGAAATTGATACCGATACTTCTACTAGCAATCTACTTGAACATAACAAAGTGAATTCTATTAGTAAAATTGATGATTCCAATGAATCATTAAGCGACATAAGTAGTCAAGAAACCACAGCCCAGAGTTTATCAATGGACTCTGAATATTCAAAGAAATCTCAAGAAAATCTTGAACATTGTGATAATATTAAGAAAAAAGAAACTGTTTCTAAAGAATCAGAGAAATCAAAAAAATCAGAGAAACAACATACACATGTACATTTTGACAATAGTTTGTTAAGCAACAATTTGGAAAAGATGGACGTAGACAATGTTAACGATTCCACTCCATTAACAAAACGTTTACGTAATTCAACGATAGCCAAGTTACGAAGTCATCAAAATTACGGTTACCAACTGACACTAACATCAGAATCTGCATTTAGGGGAATCCCTAAAGAAGTATCAACAAATGCTTTACAGAACACTCATCTGTCATTGGTGGATGTATCTTCAAAAATTTTGGAAAATAGCGAAAATCTTAATGTGTCTGCTGACAATTTTAATGAAAAAACATCGGTATTCCTGAAACCAGGAAAACTCTGGGCCAGATCTCTGTCTATTTTGAATAATATTCAAAAAGATGCTGACTTGGATGCGCTGAGTGTCAACAAAGGCAAAAAGTGGAGGCAAAGTGTTCAAGCGATTCTTGCCATGCAACAACGAAGTAATTATTTTATTTAAAATATACTTATTACATACTGTCATTGTTAATACTCTTTTTCAAAAATTATAAAATATAGAACAATTTATCGTAGTCTACTACGTCTCGCTAATATAATTAACGAAACAAATAAGACTCAAGTTCAATATGCCAAACAAAATTTGAACGGGTGAAAAGTTAACCCAAAATAGCAATTTTTTATTTATGTTTTTTGCATTAAAATTCATTTTATATTATCTTGTCTACTGATTTTTACAACTTCTGTAAGAATTTACTAATATTTTAGTTCCGCTGTCAAAAAAAAATGGAAAAAAAGGCCAATTCCTCTTTTATAATTCACTGATTATTCTAGTAAATGGGTGAGTTTTACGTGTATTTTATTTGAATTAACAGCTCCTCGTAAATCAAGCATTTCTGGGAATACAGGACTTATACAAAGCTGTATAAACACAAACGACAATGATAAGGAACCGGAAACGCATCACAAAATACGTCCAAGTGTTAACCGTTTATCCTCTTCACAAGTGAATACAACATTTGGATCTACAAGTCCTGGACGACACATAAGACGTATTTCTATTCGAGTTGTTCCTGATAATAAGAAATTCAGTCATATCAAACATTCGCCCTTTTTGGAAGCTTATGGACTAACAGCCAGCAAGAACAAAAAATCTTATTCTCAGTTATCCACGCAAATCGGTAACAACATTTCTTGACTTTCCAAAAATGTTTTATTTTTATGTTTCATGTCAATATTAAATATTTAAATGAATTTTAGCACCATTGAAAGAAACTGCAGTCTACAATGTCCAGCATAAGAATGCAGCTATCGAAACTTTTGAAACTGGTCCTGTATTTACAGCCAGAGAAGTAGTATTGCAGAGATGTAATCAGGATGATTATATACAATTTGAAGAATGTTTTCCTAAGTCGTAAGTATTACAGATTTGAATATAATTTTTATATGTACAATTTTAACCTAAAAATTAAAATTGAACAATTTTCTTCACAGATATCTGGAACGTTGTCGAAAAATCGGCGAGGGTGTTTACGGGGAAGTTTTTATCCACGAAGGAGAGAAGGAGAATTCCGTTATAAAAATTATACCAATAGAAGGAAGAGAATTGGTGAATGGTGAAATACAGAAAAAATTCAGTGAGATACTTTCAGAGATTGTTATAGCCAGGTGATTTTTAGATTCATTGATATTTTGCAAAATCAGAATAGAACAATATAATTAATCTAGCTGTGCATTTACAGGGAGCTCTATAACCTCAGGTTCAATGATAAATACAACAGCAACAGTTTTGTTGAAGTGAAGAACATTCGTTGCATCATCGGAAAGTATCCTGAAAAATTAGTTGAACTATGGAAGATTTATGACGAGGAGAAAAATTCTGATAATGACTGTCCTTTGATGTTCAATGATAATCAATTATATATTGTACTAGAACTTGGACACGGGGGTCAGGATTTAGAAGCATTTGTATTTCAAAATGCATCACAGTCCCACGCGTTATTCATACAGGTATTTTTTATTTTAATTTTTAATGGTTTATCAGTATTTTTCTGTCTAAAACAATGTTTTTCTTTTTAAAGACTGCTTTTGCATTGGCAGTTGCTGAAAAATCTTTGGAATTCGAGCACAGAGATTTGCATTGGGGCAATATATTAATATCGCATACGGATGAGAAAGAAGTGCACTATAAGCTAAATGATAAGAAAGTCTCATTCAAAACTAAAGGTGTTCAGGTAAGACTTACTGAACTAGTATAAAAATTGAAAAAAAAAACGTAATTCAGGGTTAATCAAAATTGTTCTTCATTCTTTCAAGGCTGCAATTATAGACTTCACTTTGTCAAGAATGTCGTATCAAGGATGCTGCATCTTCAATGATCTTGCTCTGGACCCAGCACTATTCGCAGCACAGGGTGAATATCAATTTGAGATTTATCGACTTATGCGCGACAAGGTCAAGTAAGTAATTAAATAATTATTCATAATTATTTCACTATTTCAATCTTTGCATTTCTCTTATAATTTCGACTTGCAGCAACAATTGGCAGAAGTTTGAACCCTTTACGAATCTCCTCTGGTTACATTACACACTGGATAAAATGATCACAGCAGTAAGATACAAAAATAAAAAGACGAAAGTTCACAAGAATGCCATCAGTGAACTTCAGCAATTGAAAGACGTCGTATTGAATTATAATAGTGCTTTTGATTTTGTGACGAATTGCGAGCAAGTATCGAGGCTGCAGTGCAGCAACTAGGGTTTCTCGGCTTTAGCTTCAACTTAAAGAGAAGTCGAGAATTACAGAAATAAGACAAACAAATATGTGCCTTCTAAAACGTATTTCTAAGTATTAACCAATAATAAATGATTATAGGAAAAATCATCCTCAAGGAAATCAGAAAGTCGTTAGTCGTAAATTTTTACTTATAAAGCTAAATATGTACGAAATAGCAAAAGACTTGTGGATGTCCAAGTACAGCCATCCTACTTGTATATCGCTTAAAATTTCACTTAAACACGGTCTGGTACATCGAATGATTTCGTTAAAAAAATTGTATATTTTATGTTATTAATTCTTTAAATACATCAAATTTTTCGCGGAATTGTTTTGTGCCAAATGTGATCGATATATTTTTTTATTATTTATTATGTTGTTTCGTCAATGCAGCAAGGAATCTGTATCGGAACCGTGATAGGTATCCAACAGGTGCATATGGGTTCCTGATCGACTGATTGTTCTGAATTACTTTCATCTAATAATACTAATTAGTTTTAATATAATTGTTTAATGAAATATTATAGTCGTATGATTACTATACCATGTCCAGCCTTTAAATCCTCTTCGAGAGTGACCTCATCTATTGTGACCCATCGCAAAATATGATTTCGCATCTCTGAATCCACATGATCCAATATCAGTGCAATTTTATGCAATGCTTTAGACTCGTAGAGATGCTGCACTTTGTCTGGTTTAGATGATGTGGAGGATGAGGATGACGCTAGAGTATCGCACTGAACTTTTGTACACTCACAGCATGTGCAGTGAGCAATATGATTATTGACCACTTCAGAATCTCTTTCAGATTTTCCTAAGTGATATCAAAAACTTTGAAAGTAAAAAGTACAACATAATTAATTATTTATCATCACTGATACCTTCACAGACTTCGCAATAGCAACATGTGCAGTCATCAGAATGACGGGAATAGGATGATTTTGACAACATTGTAATGTCTGAGTAACAAATGCTAGGTTCCTTTCGATGCTCTTCATACTGGCATACACCACAGATACAAAGCTCAGAATTTATATCCGAATTGGATGGTGCCAAAGAATTCATAGCCTGATCATCTTTGCACTTACAACAGATGCATGCATAAGGATCCTCTGGGTGGATCTGAAAATGTAATAACAAGAATAATATTTTCATATAAATTCTTTTCTCCAAACTGCATACCCTAGGCCTTCTACGTTCGATTGGTACTGGATCAAAATATTTAAATCTGATTTTTGGCATAGCTTTTCCTTTGAATGCATTACAGATGTAAGGAAGTCTTAGTGGCTGTGGATAACCATAAACTGGAACATTATAATATCTCTGTTTATAGTGATCGGCTGGATAAAATGCCAGATTCAATCGGCCATCAATTCTATAGGGTATAATGTCCAGATTATCTTGTGTCAATACACCAGACATTAACATTCGCTCAACAATCTAACAAGATATTTAATTAAAATTGTTGTAAGTCATAAAAAATAGTCTTAGATAATTGTATGATAATTACTTGTGCTGTAAGGTGACCAAGGTTGTTACCAAATAATCTAAGATGTCTAATAGGAGTACTTTTCTTTATCGTATTCAATAAGTCTACACCTCCCTCATCTGATATTTGATTATGAGAAATATCCAATAAACGAATTCTAGAGAATGGCATGCAAAAGCTCAAAGCTCTAGGAAACGATTACTTTATATAATAATATATAATTAATCTGATGGAATAAGAACATTGTAAATACACACATACCGAGCACCAGTACTAGTTATAATATTATGTGCAAGAAGAAGGCCTTGTAAGGCTGGTCTAGTTTTCAACCAATCAGCAATTTTTTCCATTCCATGATCTCCTATATTATTTCTACTCAAATCGAGTAAATGCAGAGTATTATTGTGCTGAGCATCAATTAACATAATTTCTATGTCATGACAGGAAAATCCATATTTTTGTACATGTAACTCGACCAGGCATTTATTAAACTGTGTGAAGATAGAACAGTAATGCACTGTTTTTTATTTTTTTATTTTAGTAATGTACTTGTAATATATTATGTTTACTCTCAATAGTTCGCCAAGAACAGTTGCAAAATGTTCTGTGTCGAAGTAGTATTTGAATTCTGAATTGGGTCTGCTGATGTCTAATATCTTTAGAGTGTCATTATATTGATTCTGATCATTTCTCATAACTGTTGTGAAATATACTAAACTAGATATAGTCTGATCCACTTCAGCCACATCCAAGTAACGTATATATGGATTCTTGAGTAGTAGCAATGCTACTTCCTTGGCAGCCTAAAAATAAGAAGCTATTAGAAAATATAAAATGTTGTATCGATGTCCTTACATCCACTCCAAATTTATTTCCATTTAATTGAAGAATCCTCAATTGCAATTTTTCTCCCACGGAGCACATATATTCAATTCCAGGTTTCTCCAGGAAATTGTTTTGCAAGTTTAGTTCTAATATATCATTGTAAGCCTGAAATATATTTTATTTATCTATGCAGAACAATTCATCAGGAATTGCAATTCAAGTTACACTTATGTGGTCAATTAAATTCATAAATCCTGCAGAGTGAATTCTATTGTATGGTAAACTCAAAGAAACCACATCCCTGTTGCTTCGTAGAAATATTAACAAGTAAGGCATATCCCAGTCTTCGAAGCGTCTCCTAAAATATACCCTCGTAGTTTTCCTAACATAATTTTATATTGTTTTAAAACAAACCGTATTCTTAAGAGGAGATCATTTCCATGTAAAATTAATCTTCTAGTGCCATCATAGTATTTCTCGCAGAAACAGGAGAAAAAGAGATTATTCATTAAAACAAGATTTTGGGGTGATCGCATTAGTTTTGGTATTTCAAGTAAAGTGTTATAATCGTTATAGAAGTATGGCGATTTTCTAGTTTTCCATCTCATGGTGAAATCTGTTTTTCGTTCTTGAATTACATCCTTTTCAAAACCTTTTCTACCATCTGCCAAAGTGTCCTGACTAATTTTTACAATCTCTTCCTGTACGATTCTTTTTGCTGTATCCATCAGATAACATTTCGAATGCGGCGTAGCAATTATCAAATCACCATAAGAATCAATTTTTATGTCCTCTTTTTGTTGCTCCAATAAGAGACTATAGCACATTTTAATCATATCAGATTTATTCATTGAGGATTGGTCACTATCGGTACCCGTTTTCACTTCCATCTTTCTGTTTTAACAGCTGTCAAAAAAAAAAACAACTGATACCATAAAAAATTGTCCTACGACTTTTTCAGATATCCTCACACAACTCTTAAAGAGAGTTGAACTGTTCCTATTTTTCTTTGTTCAATAAGGAATCCTTAAAATGATAGATTACGGAGTTCCCAAGCCGGAGGAAGAGATCGAAGTTGTACCCATGGAGGAAATGTTTGCAGGTATCAATTACAACATTATAAATTTTTAGAACTAATCAATCTTTCATCGCAGCATATTGTCGAATGGATCCTGTATCATATGCCAAAGGTGTAAAACTCATACCACTTTCCCAAAGTGACAAATGGTTAATATCAGCAAGACTTCTTGATATGCATACCCTAACAACGACAGAGACAGGTACGCACTTCTTCAAGTTCAAGAAGCGCGCCCTCTCCTACACTGAATATCTTGAGTACCTGGAGGACTTGGCCAAGGCAAAGAACTTGGATTTAAATAATATGATGTATCACATGCAAAGATCCGGTAAACCGATACATCCTCGCGACATTAAGAAAAACTAATTAAATAATAAACAATTTGTACAACAGATGATTTTTCCATCACTCCTATGTACAATCTTTATTTCCAATTTATTTTATACAAGCCCATTACGTCTCTCGAACTAACCAGAACAAATTATTAATATTTACACCTGCAATTTTCAAATCACCAACTGTGACCAGAACGCGAATTCATTATGGAAATATAAACTTTCAGTATAGTTTCAAATATACGTGGTCTTGATTTCTCAAGTCTCTAACTTATTAAAACCAAAATTGATGATCTGAAAAATTCTATAAGTTATACCATTGAAGATATACAATAAATAGTCCGTGAACAAAGTCTTCGGAAGATCGAAAAGAGAAGAAAAAATATTGTTACTCGTGTCAGTACTCATTTTCATGTACTGCACGGTAATCATTAATATTATTCTGTATACGCGACGTAATCAATCTTTACTGAGAAAACTCAAAAGATTGCAGCCAAAACGAAATCCGTTCCTTCTAGTCTACCATTTTTCTATTTTTTTTGGCTTTTTTCTGGTTGATTTTTTTTTCATATATTTTATATAAGACGCGCGAAGGGTCGCTTGAGCTAAGCGAAAAGTTAAGAATAAAACAATAATTCTCAAATTAAATCCAATCAACAATTTCATACCTCGATATTAAAGGCACATGAATCACAAAAGGGTGTAATGTTCTCTTTCTCCCGTGGCATGCATAAATGTAAATGAAGAAAAAAAAAAGCCAAATGAATCACTTCCTTCCCTTTTGTGGTTCGACGAGTACAAAAATTCAATTTGAACACTAAGAAAGCTTTGTATACCTGTGCTCAGCGAATACTTCTTTGAGGGCAAACAAAAAACAAACTGATTAATTATCTTTCGGTTATTAAGTAACCGTTTCGCGTGTTTTTCACATCAATACTTTCGCAACCTTAAACAAGGCTGTATTTCTGTTAATAAGAATCTGTACATCTAAGTGCCAGACCGGCTATTTTTGTTTCATTTCTACTGAAGTGGCGCATGCGCAGTCCCCTGATGATCTTACTCACCAGTGTTAATTTAAACTCTCTACGCCGTTAATATAAAAAAAAAGCAAATAAATATTAGGCGTTTCGCTGTATCCACTTCAAGCCATCCCTCACGTTACTCAATGTTACTCTACTAAGAAAGCTTGCTATAAGCTGATACTCTGGCATTGTGCGTCGTCCACATGAGCGCGTCGAGAGTTCGTGGCGATACGAATTCTGTCGTGTTATCTCCTGCTTTTTCTTATCATAAAGCATTTCCGGTTGGTAATGATCGAATTTACGACCCTCGCAAAGTACCTTTGTGGTTAAGCTCAACAACCATTGGAGAATCTAGAATACAATATTGATTTTAATGCTACTGCCTGTTTATTTATAATTTATAAAGCATAATTGCTTACCTCGTTACTTGAGGGCAGCTTGCCTTCATTTCGAAGCCAGGCGTTTGGTGCCCATAAGTACAATTGTATAATCGTAGCTGCTATGTCAGGACTGAGTCGCTGCAATGAATGTATGTTTAAACATAAAGTTTGCATATTTCTTTAGTTGATTGTTAATACTGAATGGAAAATACAAGTTTATACCTTATACATGCTTCTGCTCAGTATATTTTTAATCAAAGCAGCTATAACTCCAGGAACAGTTTCCGGTAGAGCCGGAAGCGCATCATCGGTGTAAATATGATTTTTCAAAGCAGTTTTTGCCTTTTTATCCTCGTAGAAGGGATTTCTCTGACCGAATATCTCATAAGCAATAGTTCCCGCTGTCCAGAGGTCAGCTTTGGTATAATTCAAACTAGTGAAAGGACCTGGTTCAGCTGTTACGATTTCCGGTGGCATGAGCGCTATGTTCCCGCCTTTGTCAATGTCGTGGCTATTGTATGGCATATAAAGACCATGATTCTTGTCGGCCAAGCAACAACCAAAATCAGTGATTACTAAGGTCGGACAATTGTCTAATTCTTCGGACAAATCCAACAGAATATTGTTACTCTTCAAATCTCTGAAATTATTGAATTACATAAGAGAAAATGATACCGACAATTATCTATAAATACAATCGGCATTCATATTGATACTGATGCAGTTACATAACTTCGAGTGTAGTAGTCATATTATATAAAATGAAAAAGATGTTTGACTCACCTGTGTACAATACCGTGAGCATTCATGTGTGCAACTCCCTCCAGGAGTTGGGCGAGCAACAAGATGGACACACGAGTACTGACTTCACGATCGGTCATATACTGTTTCAATGTGACATCGTATCTGGAGAAAAAGAATGCAATTATTGACTTCCTTGAGACGACGAAAAATATTGTAGTAACCAATAAATGTGATTTTAAATACACACCTTTTCATAAGCAAAAAGAGGCTCTTATTTCTTCCTGATCCGTAAGGATTGAGTCTTTCAGGAAGAGCATCAGGATACATTCTTATTGATTCTGGTAGCGCAGGCACCATATCAGCAAAGACATAATACATAGCTACTATATTTGGATGTGGAGGAAGATTTCTTTTATTATCAGCCATTCTTTGTTCCCATTGTGCCAATTCATCATTCCTGTAGTGCTTCCTGGCTGGTACTGTCTCACGGTACATTGCTCTCAAGATTGCAGTAGCATTTGATTCAACATCGTAATTAAACATCATCTTGATAGCCAATGGGAAAGTTGACAAATTCTTGGACTGATCGTCGATCATTATTTGATCGGAATCTTTTTTTTCCGATGCGTCCTTGAAACGAGCAGCGTGAACAACAGCGGAACATCCTTTTGCAATAACTGGGCCAATTACGAAGTCTTTCAGACCTGCTGGTGGCTCTTCGATAGTCGTAGTTTCGTAATTTTTGTCGTTTTGTGGCGTGTTCCATTGTACCTTTGAAACGGCTTCCTGGAAACAGTCAATAGAGGTTCTAAATTAGTTATATGAGAACTTTCAAAAGACTGGAAATCGGTGATGGCAATATATGAGATATAATCCATAATATGGACCTAGTGTTTGGCAGTGTAAAACGCCTTTGTCATTGGCAATGCAAAATTGGACTCTGGCCATGCACTTGTTTATGGTCGTGTGATATCATTACCAGATAAAGAAATTGTATTGAAAACTGTGATTAATTAGAGAATAACATTATAGAAGAAATAAACTGCAGTTTCTCATGGTGCCAGTAATCTATAAAAAAAAGAAGTGATACTATATTCCATAAAAAAAAATTCTACGATAATTGATTCTTTGACATACATAATTCTCTGACACATCCATACCCTAATCTCCCAACAGACTCCTTCTAGTTCGTCATCCTTTGTAAGTATTCCTGTACCAGATGCTAAAGACACTCCGACAAGAGCAAAGAAAGGTGCAGAATCCCCAAACAAAAGACGACTAGCTGCACGTCGTCGTAGATCAGCTGCAAGAGTATTTGTCACCCGTTTCAAGATATTATCAACAAATATTCGTCGAGCCTGAGCTCCCAGGAAGCCGAGATGTCTCCCTGCAGCCGAGCCATTACCACTAGCCTGAGGCACGTGGCCCTGTGATTTGCCTGTAATCAATTAACATCTTTGTTATTTGAATTGTGATGTAATGCCTTGGTCCATTATTAATATCTCTATTATGGAATGACATTAGAGTTTGACTTTATTATCAATAGCTATTTATATGAAAACAGACACCCTAAGATTATTGCGCATAATTATAGACAAAGGTGGTACAATTTAGTTGCATCAGATCCTTTAAAATTTACCTATACCTGTACAAGCAAGATCTCAACTGCATTAGGAAATAGTTTACATAACAATCCGGAGTGGATTTAAAAAATAATGCATCACTCACCTAATTCCACAACGTGTATCTTGTCGAGCTGGCTTCTGGAATAGCAGCTATTGTATCGATGCTCGGGATTCCTGAGAGAACGCAGAATGACCCGACCATTTTGCACGAGACGTTGAGCTGCCGTCCGAATCGACATCTCTCCGTACTCTTGGGCCGATAACGCCCAACGGGCAGGCCCAAATCCCCAAGTAAACGCCTTCACGTTTACAGTTAGGGTCACGATTACTGGATGGGTCTTCTAAATATCACGAAATGAGTCCTTGGTGACTCTCTGCCTGGCTCTCCGAATCACTTTGAAGCTGCGTATAATAAAAAAATGTTTATCACTATTTATTCCTAGCTGTGAGTTCTTGCACCAGTGGCGTCATCTATACATTGTCAAATATAATACAATGTATCTTATGTTGGTAAAACATTACAAGATGCGATACGCGTTCATTTTTATTTGAAAATTTTAATGGCGCAAATTTACATGGGAATTTACAAGGCCTTTAATAAATAATAAAACAGAAAACTAAAAGATTCTATATTTACTACTGTATTTTAAAACTAGTTAAAAATATGTATATTTCTTGTGCATTTACATTTATTTTCTTAATTATTTTTTATTAATTTTAAACAGGTTTACAGGTTTTTTTTTTCTTAATTATCTAAACTAATAATGATTAGAGACTTAATTCTTAACTGAATCCTATCAGATAAACTTCATTCAAAGGTATCAGTAATCAATCGACCCTTTGAACCACCAACATCGACTTATAGACATACAAAAACTGGTCAGCTGAAAAAAAATGATAGCGACTGGTAGCGGCCAAACCCTGTCTCTTTCTAATCAGAAGCTGTAGTACGAAAGTATAAAGAACATAGCCAATAGAAACATTAGAAAAGAAGAGCGATTGGTCGCCACCTCATTTTCTCTTTGCTTATTTTTACGGTCACTATTTCAAAGGATTTGAAGTAGGGATCGCGTAGTCCATACTATACGAGCCACATACTATCTGTGCTACAACGGTTTATGAAATACACTGAACTGTTCGTTATGCAACTGATGATCCTACAGAGATTGATTCAACAATTTTTATGGTTGTAAGAAAACTCTTAGTATTTGATTTTTCTCCAAGAACGGTGGAATGATGAATGAATACCTGCGTCAGATTTCAAATTGATGTCAGGATTTTTTTTTCAGACCAGTTCTAAACGGCATAGCTTTTTCTATGATGGACCCACGTGTTCGAGGATGCCACATGCGACTGAACCGTGTAACAGTGCGCGTCGTCAGCCACGCAATCAGGCGCAGGAATCGTGACTCGATAATAACGAGAGATAATGGAAAGTTGTGTGGTGACCTTGCGAGGCTGCCGATTGGTTCGCTAGACCTCGGCTGACTTAGTAGATTAAGAACTACCGACGTCCTCTACAGACAACCGGGAAGAAGCCGACGATTAAGGACGACCACTTGTTGCTGCCGATTTTCCACACTCTGATCAGTTCGTCTAATCACGAATCAATTTGGCCTATTGTTACATTAATTTCAACATTATGTCAGAACAGTGAGTATATTTAAAAATTAGGTCTTATCATTTAACATACATGTCTTGTATCTTGAGTGACTGCTTTCAATTTGTCATTGCAATGTCACCTGTAACAGAGTTGGGAGTGTTATCATTATATCAGCAATATCATTGAGAGTTCTGTTAATGAAAATTAAGGTTTTTCATTGATCGATAATAAAAATTTGAACCATGTCTTATTTTTTTGTAAGTATTTTGTATGATTTGCTCCATTACCAGGACCTTCTTCTTGAAAAATTATTTTATGTACATTGATTTAACACAATTTCAATAATTTGCTAAGTTTTATGGTTTAGTGTATAAAGCAAACTTAAAGATTTAGCAAAAATAAAATGTTAATAGCTTGTACTTGTTGGTAATGAACATCGTAATGATTAGTTAAATATAGAATTTGGTCTAAAGAAATAATATACATTTTTTGTTTTATAGGGTTGCAGATATCGCCTTGATTGGCTTGGCAGTGATGGGACAAAATTTGATCTTGAATATGAATGATCATGGTTTTGTGGTATGTGCCTACAATCGTACAACAGACAAAGTTAAGTCATTCCTGGAGAATGAAGCTAAGGGTACAAAAATTATTGGAGCCTTCAGTCTCGAAGAAATGGTTAGCAAGTTAAAGTTGCCACGTAGAGTGATGATGTTGGTAAAAGGTAAATAATCTCAATGGCTGCATTAAACGATACAAGACATAATTACTTTTAATCTCAGTTTTATACCAACTGGTCTTATAATGGAAATAGCATTATTGTAAGACTATGTATATAAGTTCCTAATGACATTCAAATATTCATTAATATTTTGTTATTACGTCAATAATATCTCTATATGTACGTCACTAAATATTCATCGACGTCACCCGTTATATAAGTGGTACTCAAGAAAGATATTGACAGTACATTAACATTGACCCTTGGGTCATATCTATGATGAAGTCAAAAATAATTTCTTTCGAAATTATACTTTTAATTTCTCAGTTCTAAACCCAAATATTTTATTATACAGCTGGACCTGCCGTTGATGCCTTTATTGAAAAATTAGTTCCACTTCTGTCCCCTGGTGATATCATCATCGACGGAGGTAACTCAGAATACCAAGATACTCAAAGACGCACCCAAGAATTGGAAAAGAAAGGAATTTTATTCGTTGGCAGTGGAGTCAGTGGGGGTGAAGATGGCGCGCGATATGGACCATCACTAATGCCTGGAGGAAATCCTAAAGCTTGGCCACACATCAAACCTATCTTCCAGGTTAGCGGAGTTCCATAATAAAAATGTAATTCATTACAATTCAGAAGTATACAAAATCATTGCTCTGTTTTCATTTTTAGGCCATAAGCGCTAAAAGTGACGGAGAACCATGCTGTGACTGGGTTGGCGAAACAGGTGCTGGACACTTTGTAAAAATGGTTCATAATGGAATTGAATATGGTGACATGCAGTTAATCTGCGAAGCCTACCATATTATGCGCAACGGAATAGGCATGGAGCCCCAGGAAATGAGTGACGTATTTGCTGAGTGGAACAAGGGCGAACTCGATTCCTTCTTGATCGAGATCACTAGAGACATTTTGAAATACAAAGATGAAAAGGGATACCTTCTGGAGCGCATCAGGGATACGGCCGGTCAAAAAGGAACTGGAAAATGGACTGCTATTGCTGCACTGGATTACGGAGTACCTGTCACCCTAATCGGCGAGTCTGTATTTGCCAGATGCCTTTCCGCCCTACAGGCTGAAAGGATAGAAGCAAGTACTATCTTAGATGGACCCACAGCTCTCTTTCAAGGAAACAGAAAACAATTCCTGGAGCACTTGAGGAAGGCACTCTATGTTTCCAAGATTATCTCTTACGCCCAGGGTTTCATGCTGCTTCGAGAAGCTGCCAAGATTCACAATTGGAATCTGAACTATGGTGGAATTGCACTGATGTGGCGTGGCGGATGCATTATTAGAAGGTAATATTCACTCTTTGCAGCTTAAAATTCAGTCGCAAATAATTACCATGGATCGAACGACAGTCACACATTTTATCATATCACTGCTAGCATTTGTCCTGAATAACTTAACACTAGCGTCATTGACCTGTTAAATGAGTCTGAAAGTGAATGGTAACAAATGTCAAATTGAAGTCATGGCCCCCTTGAATGTTTCAAGTAGAATTAAATAATTATTAAATTCTACAATGTTCAAATAACTAGCTTTTAACGTAGGTATAAAAATTTATTCTAAAACTAAAACAAAGACACTAAAGTTATACACCTATTGCGCTAGAATCCATTCATTAGTAATATCCATCTGAGTAATAAAAAATAAAAATAGAAATATCATTGCTAGCCAGCTTAGCGTGTACTTCATGCAATCTATACATGCTCCTAGTATCCAATTATGGTGAAAGTCATATCAAGTACAAGGTTACACGATGCGTGTCGAAAAGTGCCTTTCGTTTTACTTAACTTCAAATCTCGACCGGACCCTCCGGTACCGTCAGATCAGTTATAAATACTGTTTTAAGAGTCTAAAGGATTTCATGATGCATCAAATAATTTCTCCTTATAAATTACAGCGCCTTCCTGGGTAACATCAAACAGGCATTCGAGAAGAATCCAAAACTCACGAATCTGCTACTAGATGATTTCTTTGCCAAAGCCATGAAGGAGTGTCAAGCCAGTGCCAGGGTGGTCGTCTCCACCGCCGTTACTCTAGGAATCCCAACACCGGCCCTTTCAACTGCCCTAGCCTTCTACGACGGCTACAGGAGTGCTCGACTCCCAGCGAATCTTCTTCAGGCTCAACGTGATTACTTTGGTGCCCACACTTATGAACTTCTAGGTCAGGAAGGTAAATTTATTCACACCAATTGGACCGGTCATGGCGGTAATGTTTCTGCCTCCACGTACGACGCGTAAGGATTGGGTACACGTCGTGCGGTGCTGATTCCTGAAGAAATTGTCTTATTTTTCTCCTTCTGTTTTCTTTATCACTACATTCCGTACGAAATCACGTGAATTTACACAGCTTTGTTGACACTTGTCGAATGTAATGGAGAAAAAAAGTCTGCACGAACTTATCAGTAGCAACGAGGTCAGATGTATTGACACGGATCAAGATCCTCACGTTGGATCAAGTGAGAAGTTCATGATATATTATCGCATTAGAACGTATTATTAATTTTGGACAATAATTCGTGCTCCTTTTGACGTTCGTATTATTGTACGGTATCGCAATTGTTATTTAAATTATTTTAATGCGTGTCAATTTTAATAAAATCATTTCACTCTGGGATATATTCTTGATGCTTATCTATTACATATTAATAAGATAATCTAGATCAGTAACTTTCGATTTTTATTGCGTTTTTTCTGTAAGACAAATTATGGTAAGTACCTGGTCTTATAAATATATTGAACAAAGCTATAGCATCTTTCTCATAATAAGTGGATCACATAATTTTTCTTCTCGAGATTTAATAAATATTTTCAATTCGAAATGTAAATCCATTTTTGAAAAATTAACAATTTCACGTTTCAGTAATCAATAACACGTGCACGAACGACTAATATTACTCCTTATATGCTTGTTATTCAAACAAAAAAAAATAAAAAGAACACCCACTAAATATTCCTTTGGTTATGAAACAACTGCAGAGGAAAGTAAAACCGTTAAAGAGAAAGTATGCAACGCGTCGTGCGTATATTTTCACAAGAGTAAAAGGACACTTTATAAACACGTTGGAGGATCATCTGGAATTAAAAAAAAAAAGATAATCAAAATGAAAAGTTATTCCGCTTTCTCATCCTAACTGTAGACCATAAATATATGCAGCACTATATTTGTATTTCATCTTCAATGGGCAAATTCGAAAATCTGTGAATAAGACACACGTGTGAAACTAAAATGGTGGTACGTTTGTTGCCAGCAAATGGCCCATAACAAATTTTGCCATAACCGACGAGCATAACTTTCTATTGGATATCCTGCTTCATGATTATCAGTAATCGATTAACGGTAATGCAACACGGCGATTTCCAAGCCGAAATTACTTTGACTGGCGAAAATATGTAAAATTCTAGTAAGTCGAGTAATAGTAAGTAAGGTATTTTGTTCAAGCAACTTCATGTTATATGGTATTTAAACGTATCTCAATTATACTATCAATTTTACCACAGTTCATTTCAATATGTAAATACAATGCATAATACAGGCGAATTATAATATGCAAGTTTCAAGTAAACAAGAATTAACGGGATCAAGAAGGCCCTGAATGTGATGACAGGTCTTTCTATAGTTGGGTCGCAATAACAGTTCCGCTTTGAGGGGACTTATTTACGCTTGTGTTCATAAATAGATGGCCCTTTAAATTGGAAGTGATGTCGCGGTTCGACTATACTTCATTACTTACGTACATAAATTTTGGTAATGAAATTAACGTTACGTTATGATTTGACCTTTGACATGACAAGGACACTGAGTTGAATATTGATTTTGTATTTAACAATTTATTTTATGATTTTCAAGTTATGACGACTTAACGAGGCTGATCTATCGAGACTGTTTTATTAGTTAAGTAATGAAATATCATTGTCCAGTATAATTCTTAAAGATACATATACAAGGTAAATAGAGTGTATCGTCATTAGAGAAGATAATTTAGTGACTTTCATATATTTTCGTAACAATTTCATTAATAGGTCAAACAAGTGAATGCTCCGAAATCCAGGAAAGGAAAGAACCGTTATTACGTGAAACTGTTATTTCTGCTGAAGTTAATGACTGAAATGACAAGTAACAGGAGGTGTATTATTGCGAAATAAGATGAGAAGAAAAGACTGCTGATGACTTGGAAAGTGGTTTTTTTTTTCGAGTTACATAAAAAAATATAAGAAACCGTATAGATAATTATTTGAATCAAGATTCTAAAGCTTTAGCTTGGATTCAACGTGGAAACCAGATAAACAAGGACAATCAGACTGAAATACAGTCATTATAACTATAATATAGGCTGTAAATGGAAATCGAACTCCGTACACAAGAAGATGGTTAAGTCTAGTCGAGCTCTACATCTTTTAAAAAGAAAGGTAAAACACGCCTTTACCTCCTTGGTGGTTTCTCTTTTAATGCATTTCGCATATGACAACGTAATATAGCTATTTTGAAGATTGGAGCAAGACGCGTCTGAGAGCGCGCGTTCCTGAAGCTTTGTAAGTTTACATCTCCCACGTGCTCCATATTATTTACACGTGTAGATCATATTGTGTTTATATGTCCATAAAATTCTGTATACAAGTAGTACAGAGAGAATTCGAAATGGTTCCTATGGATGAATGGTCGAGTGGTTCTCTTTCGCTCCATATGGCAGGTAATTTAGTGAAATTGATGTTTTTTTTCCTGTTGCTGTTAAGAGTCTGGTAAAACTACCCGGGTTATACGGCCCTGAATGCCATCGGCTTTGGGTATCAGAGAATGAAGACCGAAGTGCCGGCAGAGTGGACCGCGACATTCATTTGCAAAATGGCTGATCACAGGGAACGAGACTCGTACTACTCGCAGTCGGATCCGCGCTCGAAAAACGATGATCCGCCAAATTCGCGACTGTTTGTTATCTGCCATAAGAGTCTTGAGGAAGAGGACCTCAGAAAAGCTTTTGAGAAGTTCGGAAAGATTGAAGATATCTGGGTGGTTAGAGATCGGAACACTGGCGAAAATAAGGGTAATCTCCTTTTCTTCATTCGCTAATCAATAACTTGTCTTTTATGGTTTTATGCCGATACCTTATGTTCGTGGATATGTTTCATCATTTGTGGTGGATTGTTGTTATTTATTTTGTTAGTTTTGAAAAATCTTGGAGTTTTTCTTTATTGCGTCGCAATCCTTTGGAGTCATTCGCAGGAAATGTCAATTTTCAGATAATTGCCGGTCGTAAAAAAGAGTTTATTTTGGGCATATTTGTATTGTTGTATTTTGTGGATTTGTGAAAGAATTTAATGAGTGTAAAGAAACATTGTTTTAATATGTATGATTGTATGTAAACATTAATACAAGCAGATCAAAGTAATGTGTTAACTCTTGTGCAACTGTAACGTGATTTTGGGATTTTCTTTTAAGAAGAAGAAATATTTAACTATGTGGATATTGTTTTAAAGAATATCCTCCATTTTACTTTGAGGAGTTTGGTAATATTTTGTTTTTATGTACAGGGGTCACATATATTAAGTTTTCCAAGACATCAGAAGCTGCCTTTGCATTGGAAGAGATGAATGGAAAAATGCTTGGATCGGTTGGTCGCCCAATTAAAGTTATGATTGCATCAAAGTAAGTAATTAGATTACCTCAAGATATCTTATATTTGGCGATTATCGTCAGATTGGGATTATATAAACTAAATTATTCTAGTCGTGATCAAGGGTCAGTTCGAGAGACCAATGAAGAAGAGAGATGGGTTCGACTATTCTGTGTATTACCAAAATCAATGACAGATGGTGAACTACAACAGGAATTCTCCAAATTTGGTACTATCGAATATGCCACAGTAGTCAAAGACAGAAACACAAGTGAGTCAAAGGGTTTCGGCTATGTAAAATTTCGAAAAGTCTCGAGCGCAGCAAAGGCATTCGAGGAATGCGATAGAAAATACAAGGCAGTGTTCGCTGAACCAAAGAAGCCAAAGCCTGACCATGGCGATGCAAAGTATAGCAATGGTCTGTCAATGCCCTATGACAATATTGCTGGAGGATTCGGTTCTTCAAATTTTGGCAAAAGTAGCATAAGTCTGGAAATTGCAACAAATTATCCAAACACTGAGGGCTATACGCGTCTGCAAGTAATAGCTCACCCAGCCTTAAATCAGGATCAGCTCTGGCGACTGTTCGACATTGTTCCTGGATTGGATTACTGCCATCTGAAAACGGATGTAAGGTATCGGATGCCAAGGGGACAGGCAACAGTGGTTTACTCAAACTCCAGTGCCGCCGCTTACGCCAGAGACAAGTTCCACGGTTTCGAATATCCACCCGGCCACAGAATGATTGTCAAACCAGATCTAACAGTACCACCACAGAAAAGTACGAAAGCAGGAAGTTCGAATCTCGGTATTGGTCCAAGGACAGATTTGGCACACTTAGCAGAAACCATCGCTCAAGCCACATCCTTGATTCAAGCCGCAGGTCTTACAACGCCGAGTGAGTATCTGATCTTGACTTCCCACTTTAGCAACAAGTTCTCATAATGAATCATAAGAAGATAAACAAGTTCTTTTATTTCTGTATTCGTTCAACTGGCTGTTCAGGTTTGGAGCATTCAATGACCATCAAATTACCTAACGTACAGCCTATGGCCAGTATAGACGCTGACGTGGCGAAGAGGTGTTTCATTGTTTGCGGTCCGCCTGTGCCTCCCATATATGCCATGAAGGACGCTTTTTGTAGGTTTGGAAACCTAATAGACGTTTACATGCTCCCAGGGAAGAATTGTGGATACGCCAAGTATGCTACCGTGGAGAGTGCAAATAAAGCCATCGAGGTATGCTATTAGACGCTTAAGTCAAAGTATGGGAATAGCGTGGAATGTAGTTATAGAGAAAATTTCCATGGAAAATTCATGAATATTTTTAACCTCATTGATTTACGTCACTCCCATTTTTCCTGCCACAAAGAATATACCAGTACACTTATAAAAGTTACGAAAGTTTCATAATGACTATAATAAGAGAAACAACACATAGTTAAACATGTCACGTGAAAAACATTCCTCGCGTTTAATGATACGTCGGCTACCTGTTCTCAGGTCTTACACGGTCAGGAGATCTGCGGGTCTCGACTGAAGGTTTTAGAAGCGGAAGAGCGCAATGCGGGTGACGATCGTAGGAAACGACTGAAAATGGACGAGGACGAAAATTAAGGCCCATTTTGTGTATTACGTAAGTAACAAAAGAAAAGAAACGAAACAGGCCGCGAAAAAATGAAGAAAAAGAGATAAAAAAAGAATATATTGGAAAAAAGGGCATGTGCATAAGAGGTCTATTGTATTAATACTCCCTGACAATTTGTTCTTGACGATCAGCATTATTTACACGTGTGTGGGAACCGAGTAAAAATGTAATTTTTCTATTTGTCTCCAGAGACTGACTGGTATACACAAGCTGGACGCACGCAACAAAAGAGACGAATTTTAAGACTCACTTGACCACGTCGGGCCTGCAGCCAAGGAAACTACTCCAACTATACCTACTTTTAGCTATCGTTTACGTTCGCAACTTCAACGTTACTGAAACATTAACGTTACTTTACTTATCCTTACCTTACTTTACTTATCGCTACACCTAACGTCGGACCTTCTGATATTATTTTCAATGGGCCTGTGCGAAGAGTTAATCGAGGCGAGGTCCTTTTTTCGTTTGACTTTCAAGTTTTAATGAGGATCAAAGTTTTATTAAGGTCGGAGTATACTTTTTTGACAATATCATAAGTTTTCATTGAACTTTAATATTCTCATGAATTCTATTATACGACAAAGCTTTAAGAAAATCTTATAAAATTTACTGTATGATTTTAAAGCGCTTGTTACGTTTTACGCATGACAAATTTATTATTGGTAATTCTACTGACAGATACGTAACGTATATCATAGATTAATATGCAAGGAGATAATTTAATGAACGATCGAAACCAAAAAATTTGTTTGTACAATGAGTCAGTAAGAATGAAAACTGACGAGCATTATAAATTCAAAAACGTAATATATTTTATTTACCGGATAAACTGTTCGCACAGGCTTCTTAGGTGCGACTTGCCTTAGGATTAGCAATTGGACTATATATTTTTCATTTCTGTTAATTTAAAACTTGTGCGATTTTACAGTACAGTGTCACATACGAATTTGCCAAAGGCCCAAAAATATTTTACCACAAACTGCTGATTAAAATATATATATGTATACGTTCTAACGACGAAATTTTTTGGACAGTTAAATTCAATCCGACTGTTTGATTCAGGAAATAAAAAAAAGAAAATTGCCTCAAATCTATCGAACTTACACATGATCGATGTATCCTCGATACTCGTGGACCCGAATTCCAAAGCAAGGTATATCCTTGGAGTATAGCGTAAACACTATTTTATACCACGGGACAGCACACACTCGTAATACCAATAGTTTACCAGTGATAATGTAAAATTTACTTTTATTTATTAAACTGTACATTCGTCAACAAAATGACGGCCATCGACATCACAAAAGTTAAACAACACTTAGCACATAAGTAAGATGCAAAAAATTCAAATCTGCAAATCGGTTCTTCGAGCGTCAATTGTATACAAGTTATGTAGAAATTTTGACACTGACCCACGTACCCCTAGGACCTTCCTTAACTGTCAAAACGAGAATTTAAAAAAATTTAATTACAACGTTGTATTATTTTAAAAAAAAGTTTAGTATTACGCGTGCAACAGCGTCTAATTAATAAGGATGGAAGTGGAGATATACCAATGATTGCCAATCGAATTATCCTTCGACACAATATGCCAAGTGATAGGAACGAGGCGAAAGATTAAAAAAAAAGAAAAAAAAATCTAGGTAGTGATAGTACAGCTAGCGATAGGGTACACGTTAATAATGATCAAATGATAATTAACGTCTTATTATAGTGGATACATCTTGTTTTGGAAGGATATTATATATATACATAAAAATATATATCGTATACAGAGTAATTAAAGATAAGGACAATGAATTATATTTCCACGCTAATAAATTGATATCGAGCAAATTTCGCAATCACGTATTAGCGAATTGACTTCATAACGTAACGCGTGCGTATGCAGTGTCGAAACGATGATTCCTTTATAAAAGAAGAAAAGGGGGAAGAAAAAACTTTTTATATTTGCGATTGTGCTTGCACGTTAAAATATATCCAGGTGACTGTAACACATAGGGACATGTCCTCGTGGAATCAAATACACATTCTTTACGAAAAACAAAGGAAAAGAGATGATTGAAAATAATTGATGTTAATCGCTTAATCACTTTTTATTCTGTTTAACGATTGACCCTGACGCATCCTGTTGTATTTATACTTATGGAATTATTTTGGCAATATTACCTTGTTGCGTCTCACGTTCTTCTTTTATTCCTTACAGACAATCTCGAGCTGCCAGCGATAACTGTGAAACAACCCGTGCCTAAACTACTGTGATATCAGCTTGAGTGAACTGAGAGTGACAACTATTTTATTTCTTTGTATATATATAAAATTTAATTAAAGGATAATAAATTATATTTTTACACAATAAATTTTGTTCGCTAAATTATAATCATAATTCAAAAATAATTTGTCACTCATACTATATTATATATAATTTTGTTTTTACCCTCATCGTGTCCCACCCCTCAATTTTGATTTAATTAGAATCTATTATCATTCGTTTTGAGATATACAATTTTTTTTCAAAAAGTCAAATTTATTATCGATTTATAGCGGGGGTGGTTACAGTCGATCCACGATTTTAATCTACTTCTTTGATAGATCAAGAATAACGTAGATCGAAACCGCACATGGATTTTTATACAATTTTTTTACAAAATATGCACGTGCATGGTTTTGCATTGAGATATATTTGTTTACCTTAGAATGAGTTTCCTTCTTTTTTATCGAAAGGCGAATATAATTTACTTCTAAGTTATTCATTTACCTTTTTTGTAAGAATAATACATTGAACTTGTGGACCGACTCTATATACTTTTCTAAATTAAGGTTTTCGGGTAAATTTATCTCGCTAAGGATTATTATACGATTAATTAACAATGGGTGGATAATAATTCCATAATAGATCGTGTCTTTATGTAGGGGTATTAATAGTTGTGTGTATCAAATCCAGTAAAATATATTCAAATCTATTTTAACCGCTTTTGTGTCACGGTAAGTTAAAGCGGCGGGGGTTAGTCTGCTGTTTTGCAACGTTACAGCGATGTCCTGTGCCTAGAGGGTGGGAGTTAAGACTCACGTGTACTGCTGCGTGATGTCAGTAAAGCTTAGCCAGTCAGTGCAAACGGCCAAAACGCGTTCATTCTGTGAAAACATTCAGAGCGCATGTTGTGTCTTAGGAATATTTTGATATAAACGATATCGAAGAAGAAGAGAAAAATAGTTAATACATTGCTGGTGAATCAGGTCCGTCTTTTCTTACTTTCATGCCGGTTGAATATTTTTATTTAGTATTGCAATGTGGGGATTGACTCGTTTTCCGGCTTCTTTTACAACGAGTGTTCCAATTTCTACGTAGTTCATAGACACGAGTCGGCTATACTTTTTATCGTTTACTCGAATGGGCGGAAAGTGAGCGTGCCTTTGGTGCTTCTCGTGCCGGTAGGATCTTTTAGTGCGGATTTATTGCACCTTGTACTATTGTATTATTGTCGACGAAACAACCGACGAACAATTGTTCATCTTAATGGGAAAGATGGAGGAAACCTCGGCGGAGAATGTCAAGGTTTGCGATTCTGGTTATTCCAACAGTTATAGCAACAGCCAGTCGCAAAGAAGGTAAGAGACTTCATTTATTCTTGTTCTCAGTACTTATTAAAAAATTGCCGTTGCCATTGTAATGCATTTTCGGTTACGAACCGTCAAGATTTTAAAACACAGATTCCAATAATGTTTGTGTCTTAACGAAGTGAAAACTGACAGATCTAATATTTTTTAATTACTCATTGTTTATATAACTCCGCACGTGCAGCTTTGGTTAGATATGGATTGTGAATGAGTAGCTTGTCTAAAAAAACAACTGTCACGTGCTCGGAAGCTATTTTGCCATCATGAGGATCTCAATTTATTTTCAAATCTTCTCCTACTTATGTCTTCTATTTTTTATTTCGTAGTTCTAGGAACAAAATGCACATATCATGTCAATTCTATTTCTAGATACGTATTACTGTATGTTAGATACATTGCCTTCGTGCGTTCCTCGTACACGAGCAATATTAAAATCATAACAGACAAAAGTAACGATTTTATTGTTGATCTAACAATAATATTGAGCAAACCGTACAAAGATAAATTCATTGAGTAAGAATCACTATGACGTTTTTATATTATATTTATATAATCAACGATCCCCATTATATTCTATTGATGATTAATAAAAAGAGTGTAGTAATGACAAATAATATTTACAGCATCTTTATCACAGCCATTCTAAATACCAATATAAATCAGGATATTGTTAATTTGCATTTTGTGTTTATAAATAATACAAAATTACTCAAACTTAATGCCCAGCTATATTTATACCATAAAAACAATTAGTATTATTATGGTTATATATATTTGAAAAGAAAAAGATTAACAGGGTCGCCCTGTAATCCATGTATGTTGTATAACCATTGATAAATCGGTATTTATTATCGATATAAATACAAACCGACATATAACCAGTACAGGCGATTGTGAAGCTACAGACAATATACAATTATTATCGTTATCATCCCTTGCGTAATATAGGATAGAGGGGATGACAATAATGATAACAACCCAAACTCACCCCTGAAGCATCCTTAACGCGATTCCAGGTTATAACCTGGACTTATATAAAGATAATAATAAAATGGCGTTTATCAGCCTGTCGCGACATTTCTATATATACAACAAAGCACTACACATGTAACGCCTAATTATAATTTGTCACAAATGCGTGTATGTTGCTTTGATGCAAAATTCTCAATGGGCTTTGAAACAATGTATTCCAATGTCATATAGCATTGACAAATTCATAATAATAAAATTGACCATGTAAATTTGAAATTTCGAAAATTGTTATACAGTAAAAATACATTGTCACGAACAATCTTGATAATTTTTAATTCAAATATAATTGAGAGTCAGTGGGATTGCATAAGGTATACTTTTCATAGTTAATTCAGAATCTTTGACTGTTTAGCTAATACAGGGGTGGTAACTTTTTACGAGGCGACTCTATTACTGGAATAGCACAAGAATTCGTCACTTAAATATTCTGGCGCGAAATTCAAAATTTATAAATACTGATTTTTCACAGTGTTATTAAAGGTCCGGGAAATTTTTTTTTTACCCTGTACAAGATAATTGCATTTATATATCTAGAGCAACAGTCTCTCGGTTGTCGAAGTCACGAGGCGTCGAACGTGAACGAAAGTCACCCTTATGCAATGATTTTCCCGGTGAAATGAGGTGCAACAAATATATGCTCTCGTCGCGGTTCGATAATGAGGACAGTGAAAGGCCCAAGAGTCCTCGTAAGACCCCATTACAATACAAGCCCGTGTGCGGCCATTCATGGAGTCACGTTTGACGAACATGTGAGAAAACTTTTTTGCCTGGAACTGGTCGCCGCGTTAATTCTTGTATTGTAAGTTGTTCGATCGCGTCATTTTTGTTTAAACAATGGTCAACAGAACGAAGCCATTTTCTTATTGCTTGATCGATCTAACGCACCCGTAAATGCAGTTGTATTTTTGACTGACAAACATCGAAATGAATACCCTTTGCCTTATTGGTTTTTGAACAAAATATTGAAATCGGAAAATGTATCTTTATTTGTATGTATATTTTTTTTTTATTTCAGTGGCGAGAGTTTTGTCTCAAGAAACAGCAACCGTTCTGAGAGCAGCGGATACTGTGGAACGCGCCCATCGGCCTTTGGCTCCAGGTAACAATTATTTAAGTCACTAAAAATTGTAATTTGAAAATTGGCGGGAAATGAATTAAGAAATATTTTTGAAAAATCGTGTTTTGCGAATACACATACTAAAACATCAGGCAATAGATAAAGATGCGATAAACGTACCTAACGAAAGAGAAATTTTGACGGTGATATTTTAGAAAAATAAATAAAAAATTTTGAATAAATACCAAAGAATAAAATAATAAGAAGCTAAAATTAAATCGGATGCAATAAAACGTATTTATTTTACATTGGTATCATGATACCTGCATTATACCCTGATTATGCGTATGCCTAATGTAAAACCTAAAGATTTAAATACCTGTATATTTATACATAGAAAATTTTCAGAGTATCATTATTATTAGCGCGATAAAACAGAAATAGAATTAGGATCTAAATATAACGAGACACAATAAACCAAGTAATTCGGCCCACGTTATAAGCATTTCATTGGTTTACAAGTCATTCACACGAACGATTAAGCCGTAATGAAATTATATAAACAGTAATATCAGCAGTGCCTTAAATAATTACATAAAATAGTATAATGGAGGTGTATATATATATAAAATTCTAAAAAAAGATATTACTCCACGTGCCTCCAACCGCGATTAGCTGTTTACAATTGTATTGGTATTCCTGAGTATTTTTTATTGGTTTGTCGTTTACGTGAATATGCACCCACATTTACGAACCAGGGACCTCAGTAAAGATTATCAGAGTGACATTCACTGCTGGCGATGCACGTGTCAACCCACGTGCACGTTGCGCTGTATCAGCAACGACTGACCGGCTGTTTGCATAATACAGACAGACGCTATAATCGAGTCATAGTCTTCGAGACGAAGATTTATTATTGTAACAATAAGCAAATTTGGGATATAGTGTTTGACATTAAATTTTTTAGATTGTTTTTAAAATTATATAAAAAAGATGTGTGTATCCAGTAGCAAGGGAAGCTACTATATAGAGTAAGTCCACGACTAAGAGGTTTTGGAGGGGCCATTATTCTATGAGTTTTCACGTAAAAGAGTCCCCTGGACAGGACTTTTTACTCGTGAAACAACTATATCTGGATTTGCGGTTATTAATTTTGGGTTATTTCTTTATCTTTATCTTGGTCGTGGTACACAGTTTTATTTTAGGTTGTTTTTAATCGCGGTTCGGGTTATCGAATTTTAATTATTCGATGGATTTCTGTCATCGACAAATCGAAGTCTTAACTTCGGTTCAGTCATTGAATAATGCATATACATAAGCATATGAATATGCTTAGATATTGCGAAACAATAGCTTCATTGAAAAGGGGACTATATGGGATGATTACATCGAAACGGCCGCGTCTTATTCTGACAGCGAATACTTGAGGTGGAAATACGGACTCGGAGCAACGTGATTTGGAATCGAGTGTCTCGTTCAGATAACTCGTACAGTTTATTTACAGACAGAGGGGCAGAGGGGCGGGAAATATGAAAATATATTTGAACCACGTAAAATTGACTTCGAGCGTGGCACGCGGTTTCGTAAGAGAAACGTGATCTTGTTCTGTTTTCTTTTATAAACAATTATTACCGGCCAATTGAATGGCTGAGAAGGGACATTTGTTATGGGTACAATTAATTTTATTGACTGTGAGTATACACATTGTCGGATACAGGGGAACAATAAAGAAGAGATTGGTACAAGATGGCCGTCGTCTAGGGTTCACGTAGGGAAAGGTTATTCTGTTATGTAGAGGAATGAAAGTACGAATTGAGCTTTTTCTAGTCTGTTGCGCAATAACAAAAGATATTTTGTTCTAATCTAGGTATCGACTATATATGTATATAAAGCGGATAAAGGCTTAATAATTTCTTTATTTAATAAAATTGTTAGAGATTCAAATAAAATGGAGCTAAACGTTCCGAAGGTGTTTACTGATAAATAAACCACATGTCATATATGTATAATGCTAGCTCCGGTAATGACTCGTAAATAAATAACGTAAAAAATAAAATGATATGAAAATAATAATTTTTTTGTATTATCTCGACTTAACGGACAGAGACGTGTCGCGTGGTTTTAAAATCCGATTTTCGTTCTATCCACGATATAATTAATTAGCTTTGACGATTCCCAAACGAATGCCAGAGTTTCCGATGGTTATCGGCACATGGCAGAAAACGTGGCTTTACGCAATTAGCAACGGGCGCCGTTCTCAAGTAGCGTGTAACGTGCGTCATTTATATAAAAAGAAGAGAAACTGATATTGACGTAATTTCTAAAATGAAGAATGTGATTGAAATTATGAAAAAATAAATTGGAAAAATATTTTTTTTTTAAATTGAATTTGAAATTTGAAAATGATTCGGTCACTCGTGATTGCCTTAATTCATTAATGACGTTGATAGTTGATCAGGAATACACGTGCTAACGTGATTTTTTCTTTTATTTATCTTCTACTACTTGTATCCAAAAATTCCTCCCCCCCCCCTCCCCAGCTACCTTTAGATATGTAATTAGCTACTCTTGGGTTTTTGTTTTCATCTGCATTGTCTGTCTCACGTTAACATAGCAATGAGACGTTACCGCAGCCAATCAGCCAAAAAAAGGACAAAGAATACAAGAAGAAGAAATCCAAGACTTCTATTACGATTAATGTCGTGTCAGAGGTTAACCTGAACAGTGCTGACGAGTCATCACCGGAAGTGTCGTATACCGCTGGCGTCAGTCCTGCGAAATCAATAACCAAGAAAGCAGGTTGGTTATGAGCTTAGAGTCCCAAGGATTGGCTGAGAGGACACTTTGAAGAATAAGCAGAAAATTGGAGACTTAAAAAAAGTTTTTAATACGTAACGTATGGGAAATTGACAGCAGAGAAAGTCATAATTTGTACTAAGGAAGAGAAAGTAGTAAAAATTATTTCTGGGTAAATTCGGAAAATCTCGAAATCACGTAAGACGGATATACATTTTTGGTCTTATCACTGTTATCAGACTGTCATTTTGTGATTTTATAAATTCTGCTAATTTATGAGATTTTTTTTTTAAATTTGTTTCAATCAATTTTTGTTTCACTGGGAATCTTGTGATTTTAAGCTATTACTGAAAGGTATTGATGTTACGCTGGCAATTACTCTGACAAACGTAGTCTCACGTGCTTTGGCTTCGATTCAATCCTAGTTTATATAACGTCTAACAATCGACGAGAATATATACCTATATAAACTAAGCCCTGAACGTGATTTTACCATAAGAATTGGGTTACCACCCGTGGCGGTTCTATCGTAGGAATCGAATAGACAGGCTAACTTTGGGTGGTACCTTTGTCGTGAATATACCGAGTTATTCAGTTCAAACGTTACATGTATTGCTCTATCAACGAAACGTCCTCCTGCCCTCTGTCGTGGTGGATCGAAAGCTTAACGAATACCTATACTCGATAAATCTATAAAGGATCTAACAAGTGTTTCTGTTGATGGATACTAGAGGAAGTACCAGTTGTAGAATTGGTCGACGCAACGGATCTTGGTGAACACAACAGCAAATCCGTCTTCGATCCTGAACCAGGATTTGATAAAGATACCAATACTGTGGATGATTCCAGCTCTCAATTAAATGTTAGTATATCACTCAACCAGTTGGCAGTTATGGAGGCAAATTTTGAATATTAAAATATTGCCAAGGGTCAGAGGTCACGCGTGACCTGTACACGTTATCTATGTTACTGATACGTTGCGAGCGTCCGGTGATTTCAAAAAAAAGAACCTGATAAATTGGTCTCACAATGACGCTGGTCCTTGCACGAGGACATTCGAGGAATCATAAAAAATTTCCCTGTAAAATCCATTTTTCAAAGTGCGACGAGAATTTAGGAAAAATTGCGTAATCGATCCTGCAATTGTCACGTATATGATAAATTTACCTGCAAAGTTCAATGGTTATGTAAGAGCAAAGAAAATGTAAATATTAATCCTTTACTCGAAAATACAAATTTTTATCACTCTTGATTCTTTTATCAGCAATGATATCAGTCAATCGAATTTAAAAAAATAGATTTTGACAAAGCATGTAAATTTGATATTTACTTTGGAAAGAAATTGTGAAAAAAAAAATGAAAAAAATCCTGGATTCTCCAATCGACTCTTTTTTATATTTATCAATATTGTCTAATTGCATTTAATATGTTTTTATACATAGGAGGGATTTTGCGCGGTAATATCAATGCACGATGGCCTCGTACTCTACACGACTCCTTCCCTGTGCACAGCACTAGGATTTCCAAAAGACAGCTGGATCGGTCGATCCTTTATGGAATTCGTTCAACCAAGAGACAGAGACACGCTGGCCCATCAGATTTCCGTTGGAATAGCATCTCCCCACGAGGATAAATTTAAAGGTACGCTTTGTAATTTTAACACTTTGTAAATGACATTACGAGATATCTATTATACAACGAATTTTAATCAGACATAATCCGCAACGATCGTTGAAGTAAGTAATTTTAATGATCAAAAGAGACGGTCATCTATACACGAACAAATTTTTTAAATTCCATGATCAATGAATTAGTCCATAATCATTACTTTATACCATGTCTTTTATTTGCACTATAGGCGTCAATGGACAGAGGACAAGTTTATTTTGCCGTCTGAGAAGATACACGGAAACAAAATGTACGACCACTGGCGCTAGCGTTCATCAGCGTCTCGATCAAACGACCCGCTATCTTCCGTTTCATCTAACTTTAACATTTAGGGCCCTTCGGGAAAAGACGTTGGGCCAACAGCAGCCTACAAGAATGTTTCTAATCGTTACGGCTCAGCCGGTACATTCTGCCTACAAAGGTAGATCGGGTGGAGATCTTCTCAAGAAGGGTAGCTCAGCCATCAGGACTTGACATTTGAAAGTCATTTTGTCTTTCAAAGACTTTCTGTCTTTTGCATTCAATATTTAAAAGACAAGGGAAGCGGGAAAAACTATGAGAATCAAGCTTAGTCGAGTACAGCCAAGTCCTGTGGCTGATTTACCATTTTCAGGAAGACATTAGCGACCTAAGTCATCAAGGGAGGATTTGATTGTTCGTCGTAGTCATCAGAGTCCTTCACGGTTATTCAGATCATTTGGAGCGATGGAAAATATCATTTAGGGAGTAACGAATGAATGAAGTGGTAAGAGGACTAGGTAGCCTAGTCAGATATCATAATTGAAAATTATTAAGGGTCAATGGAATGAATTATGACTGTTGTAAGGGAATGGAGGAAAAAGAAAGTATATATAGAAGAAAGAGTGAGGAAGGAAGAGAACAAAAAAATGGTAGACTAGGTAGAAAGCGTGTACCAGAGTGTCATTGTCTATCGTTAATCCGCAGCTCCTGAAGAAACAATAATGTCTTCGAAATTCACGAGCCGACATACTGCGACATGTCACATATCACACGTGGATCCTAACGTAGTGAAATACTTGGGTTATCTACCTCAGGATATAGTGGGCCGTTCCCTCTTTGACTTCTACCATCCTGAAGATCTGCTATTCATCAAAGACGTCTATGAGACTGTGAGCATGAGTCCAAGTCCAGTATAGGATTGGATTGAAAGTTCATGTCAGAATGAAATTGTCAAAGCGCGAGACTTTACCCTTGGAAATGTCATTTACGAACAGGTTATCAAACTCGAGGGATCATCCTTCAGGTCGAAGCCGTACAGATTTGCCGTACAGAATGGAGGTTATGTCACACTCGAGACCGAGTGGTCGTCCTTTATCAATCCCTGGACGAGAAAGGTAGAGGTTGTCGTAGGTCGACACAGGGTCCTAAAAGGACCGGCTCAGCCGAATGTCTTTCAGCCGGCTAACGAGGCTGAACGTCAGAGCAGGATCCTGGCGAACATCAGTGAGGAGGTCCTTAAGGAGAGCAAGATCATACAGAATGAGATACGAGCTCTACTACAAAAGGTATTGTCCAATCGCTTCAATATTAGCCAAAATGAAAGTGACCAAAAAAGATAAATATCTTTTACAGTAGCCTGCATATAATATTCTATATATTATGTATAATTTAAATATCTTTTTTCTGTCCCGTCTTCTCTTGTCTCTTGACTTGTCGTCGTGCAGGGTGTCGCCAGAACAGATGACCCCGTGGATAACGACGTAACCAAGAGGTGCAAGGACCTCACCTCCATCATGGAGACTCTGCTCAGCGAAGTTCAAACCTCACGAGTCAGCAAGAACGACGTCGTCGGAGACGTCAGGAGCTTTTCGGTGACTATTAAGCTACGCTTTAATATCGGCGACTTACGATTTGCTAACGCCCTAGAGACGTCTCTGCTTATATGCTACTTATGCGTATGCGCTGCTGCACCCACGGCTCGCCGCGTAGACAGGCGAGCCGCTTTCAAAGGTATACACTTTTGTATACGACTAAGCGCTATGGGCGGAATGACAGGAGTCAGCTGATGGACAATAAGTACAAGCATAGTCGATATGACTGCATTGTCGGGACGCAATTATGCACGATTAACACCCGTCTTGTTATTGATTAGCAGAGCAGTGTTGACTTAACGATTCAAAAGTTCTCGCTGTGCTTCTATAGGTCAGACACTTGTCTAGAGTTCAGGCAGGTAAGTGACCGAATTAATTAAATAGATTTTACAGGTCTTATCAATACGTTTAAGGTACGTAAGGGTAGAGTGCTAAGAGATGGTCACGAGGTTAAGAGCTAATTAAAACTAATTCTGCAAGCTCAGCAGCCGGGTAGCACCTTAGAACGATGCTTCTGCGCAGGGTGCTGATGATTGGCATTTACAATATGCTTAGCATAATCAAACTGTTATGATAATATCTACTCAAGCTGTTCTGTACGTAGACACAGACCGGAGGGCAATGAAATAATCTATAGGGCCGGTGAAGAATAACGTCAATTTCAAAACCTTGTAGGCGTGTGTTGGTAAGTCTCTAATATATATATTTTTAACTTAACCGTATATTTATACTTACTTGAACAAAGTTATGAACTTACGAATAGAAAAGTCTATTCGATCTCATCCGAAATACTTCTCGTTTCTGTATATATATCTCTCCTGATCATACAGTATATTATTATAATTCATATATATCAAATTTTTCAAGAGAATTTCATTCTTCATCAATTAATAATAATTTGTCACTATTCAATCAGTTATTATTTACTTTTAATCACAGTGTTCTTCCTGCGTCAAAGAGAATCCTAAAATAGTGAAATTACCACAGATTACCATTACTGTATGGTCGAGAGTCGAATAATTGATCTATAACTCATCAGGCACTGTGAAAAACCTCCTAAGGACGGGATAAATGTCTCCTTACGATTCGGCTCATCCCCAGCAGCATTCATCCTTAAGGCATCGACCGAGAACTTGGTTAAAATGAATGGACCATTCGATCTATAAACTATGTACCTGTCATCTGGATACATATTCTAACTACAAAAATCTTTCGAAGATCCTTATTTTTTCCTTAAGGAAATCATTATTTGAATTTTTCAGTGTAAAATTATCATTGACCATACAGTCTATACGTACAAAGCATATATAATACTCATACAGTGTATATGATATATGCCCAAACAACACAATTTTCAGTAGCCATCCTCAAGGCACGAATAACGTTTTTTGGACATCTTAAAAATGACTTTCTAATGGATATACGTATTGCGTCGTTAAGCGAGATGTGGACTGTTTGCCACTTACAAGGTTTTGAAACTAGGATAGGATACTGACAAAGGTCAATTGCAACTTAGACTACACATACACGTAATACGTAGTATGTAATAAAACATATAAATATGCAAAAGAGGTATATGTATAAGAGAGTTATAAAATCCATGTAAATAACAGCGTTTATAAACAATGTCTGATAAATCGATTATAAATAATTATGCCGAGCGCGCAAGCGATGACTTCGACGTATTAAGGTTTTTATACGTCGTTCAGAAGGATATTATAGCGATTTTAAATAATGGCTCTCTAGGACGAGTCACCCAAAGCGAATCGGAATCGAATCCTAAGAGAGAGAGAGAAAGCACTTTTCTCAACCGCTACAATATACTTTTGAAGGGATCACAAAATCCCTTGTTACAGGAGCACGACAGCATGATGCTGGGCGAGTTATCGCCGCATCCCAAGTACTGCGATAGCAAATCGTCCACTGAGACTCCGCCTAGTTACAACCAGCTGAACTACAACGAGAACATTGAGAGATTCTTCAAGAGCAAGCCGCTGGTCACGACAGCCTTGTACGGAAGTGACGAGGAAAACGTCCACTCGGGCGTACCGAGTGAGGAGAGAGAGAATGACAAGACCAGTCCTATATTAGGAGGTAGACAAATCTTTAGTCAATTTAAAAAATATAATATTATTGGGTGACGAACCTGTAAAGTATCTGTGAGCGACGATAATACAGTACGTATAAAGTAAATGTTTATTTTGATGTGATTTTTTTTAGCTAGGAAATGCATAACGCCGATCAACGGTAGTGGTGCTAGTGGAAGCGGAAGTGCTGAGAACCTTAGCAGCGGTTCGAACAATAAGATGAGCTCTGCCAGTCATGCCGGCACCTCGAAGACCATCTCCAATGTCACCGAGACTGAGAGCTTCAAGCCGCCAACATTGACCGAATCTTTGCTGAGCAAACACAATGAGAACATGGAGAAGATGATGATACAGAAGCATAAGAAGCTTTGTGGGAGTATCAAGAACTGCGACAAGTTCAAGGATGCGAAAATGGAGATTAGCGTTGACAGGATGCCTGATCAGTCACGGCATGTAACGCGACCTCGTGGTCTTAAGAGAAGCGGAAGTCGTAGTTGGGAAGGGGAGAGTATTAAGGTATTTTTTTTTTTTCGAAAAATATTATCATTGGGTTATTTAATGGTGAATTTATTATGATGGATATTAACGTGGTATTATTTTTTAGGTGTCTAAGTACGATGAGATCTCCAGGACCAGCACTGCTGGTCCAGTTACTGCTAAGACGAACGTCGTGATCAATACCAATGTTGGTCCGACCACCCTTCCTCAGACCAATGCTAATATCAACGTAAGGCCACCATTTCCTGTTTCGATACCGCCCTTACCATCGAGACCGGAAACTCATGTATCCCCACATAAGTGAGTGATCGGGCTTCAGATATAATTATACGAAACAAGTGAATCTCTTGTTATAAGAATGACCAACAAACTATTATTTCAGACCATGCTCTCAAGCTATATCAGGATTCCCGGCGTTCCCACAAATAATACCAGTGTACTACCTTCCGGTTTCTCATAATCAGAATTACGAGGGAACCTTGGAGATTAATCAACACAATCATCACGTGGCAGCATCCTCTCAGCAATCCGTCCAGCCAAATCCATACAGTAGGTATCACGCGAAGCCACATGAGACCGCATGATAGATGATATGCCATACTTCCGATCGAATGCGTGCACATCGAGAGGATGTGTGGAGGTGACCTTAGAGGTCAAGGTGTTATAGGTAAATTAGTATATGCATATATTAGTTCGTTCATTATCACGCAGTAGTAAACCCCTTGAACGTCACGCCGAGTATACTCGAGGTAAATGCTATTGAATTACTGTGAAATAAAATCGCACAAGGGTTCAAGAGAAAGCGAAGAAACAAATCTAACGATGAGCGGAAAGAGTCGAATTATAACTGACTCAGATTTTAGTTATCTCATAATTATTGAAAAAGATCTTAACGATTCTTGAGTCGAGGCTAAAAAAGGATTTGTAAAGAAAGAATCAGTATTTGTTCCAGTTCCATGTATGTCAACGGGAATGTTGGGTGTTATGTATCCATCAGTGAAGGGTACCCCTGCCCTGACGACCATGATGTATAGACCTTTTTTAACACCTGAGCCTGTACCAGTCGCGCGGGAAACTGCCCATCCTGTTGCAGACAAGCCATCAGGTCCGACGCGACCTGCGAGCCAAGCTACCAGCGTCAAGGGCGAACCAGGAAGTATCATGGCCATGTCCGAATACTCTAAGAAGGTATTTCCTACTGAACTAGTAAACCCAGTAACGTAATAATCCTCATGGTTATTGTGATTGTTTGTTCATATCTTATTATCATCCTCCCCACAAGGTACTTTCTCCTGGTGAACCTGTCTCTTGTCCGAGCATGGGTGGCTGCTCCAGCAACGTTGATCATCAGACATCGCACATTCAGGCAAGACAGACATGTTATAACGAAGACGAATCGAGCTCCTCTAGCCTCTGCAGTAGCTTCCTCAGGAGTAGTGATAATAGCTGTAATCCATATCAAAAGAGTACCAAATCATTTACTGAAGTAAGTACTATAGCCTCTGGGTCTGATGTTGTCTTTGATTGATTGAATGTACTAATTGGTTTCTGATCTGTTCAGCGGAATGGTGGTAAGCAGCACTGTCATCAAGGAATGCTCAGGAGAGAACCACCCTGGTTAGAAGGTGTCGATGTCACTCCTGAATTAGTCTTTGAGTATCAGGTCAACCCAAAGACCCTCGAAGAGGTCCTTAGGGCTGATATGAATGCCCTTAAGAATTTTCATCAACCTCTTCTTGTCAACGATCAATTGAGTCAACTCTACTGCGACCTGGAACTCGACGGTTTTGGCACGAAGCTGATGCTCGAAGATGGCATAACCTCCAGCGGAAGTGAGAGTGGTAGCAGCGACAATGACGCGATGCATCTGTCTCAGGTAATTTTGAATTTTTATATTAAATTTAGTAAGATTAAGTTAGACTCGGCTGATTATTATTATTTTAATTACCGCGAGCGTGGACGAGACTTGCTTTTTATTTGAAAAGTATTCATAATTAAGCACAATGTGTCGACAGCTCTCGAGTTTTCGTTAATATCGAAACTTTCGGCATGGACGATACTACCCAACCGGAAAGAATGATAACCGCACTAGGAATTAAAATCCAGCATGGCTTCCACGTGCGATTGACAAAACGTAAGAAAATTAGTGGAAAAACATACATCTTTCTTATAGAAAACGTACAAGAGACGCACTATCAAGTATAGTAAACTGACGATGATCCACGAAGAAAACGCACCGCTTCCGCCACCTCAAGTGATTCCTTCGTAACCAGTCTTCACTCTTGGAATTAATGAATAATTCAATGGAGCAACGATATTCTGAAACTGAACGCGACCTCGTTTACGTAAAGCACCAATAATCCTTCAGGACGTGACTTAATTTCAACTGGGTACCAGATTGACCTCAGCGCGAGTGCACGCCTTATTTTACAACCCTTACTCGGAGTATGAATTCTTCAGTTTCAAGACTTAAACGCGTGCAGAACAACATTACAATGACTGTTCTCACGTTCATCTTGTTTCCTTGACTGTCTCGTTATATGAGCTTGGCATTACGACAGGAATGTGGTCTTTGCACAACCAAACGTCAAAGCGCAGGGTTTATGGCTACGAAATTGTAATGACAAAGACTCTGTGTGAAAACAACTGCAAATGAGCGCACGAATGGTAACTTCTAAAATAGATATTAAGGTAGGTCAAGCTAAGATTATACAAGCTAGATCAGGGTTCGCGTGACTTATTGTCTTCTGGTATTTTTGAGAGAGTGATACGTATCGAGATGCTGATTTAAAAGAAAATAAGACGTTTGATGACTGAGAGGATTTATTTAATTAAGAGAATATATTTCGTATGAAGAATGGTCCAGTCCGAAATATTCATTTCTATCATCATCTCGAGCTAAGAAGGCAAAAGTACAAAAATAGAAAAGGACAATTCGCCATCCTCGTCAGTAGTCATGTGACTGTAATGAAATTTTTCGAAATATTTCTGCATATATTATATACATGCGAAGCACTGAATTTTTCTGTGAAAAAGGATCATACAAAATTATTCAGTTTCGACTGTTACTCGAGATTTGCAAAAATATTATTTTGCACGAATTTTCGAGTTGATTCGTCAATTGTTTAGATAGTGAGAAAGAAGATAATAACGTGCGTAAATCAATTGTCGGTCACGATTCTGTTTTTTTTTTCTTTGTCATTGTCAGTGCTCGTGGAATTTTAATCGTTAATTACGTAAAATGTGGATAAAACTGATCACGTGACTCATTTTAATTAATTTAATACCGTATGTGGTGGCGCGACGAGTGACACGTTTTCTCCTTCCGAATTTGATCCACGTTTCCACGATTGGTTGGATTTTCTAACGCACGTTTCCAATTGCAAAACGTGAGATTTTAGTCACGTTAACAATTTATAAAAGAAAAATGATTAAAAAGCATTTCCACTCTCTGCTTTATCGTTGGAACTTCGTTTTTAATTTTGTCTATCTTCTTTCTTTTGCGTCTTCTTTTAAATTTCTGTATAAGAACTCGATCGCTACGTTCACTTACTTTAACTCTGCCAAATAAAAGTTTGATACCCGGATCTTAATGAGAAGCACGGTATACGGATTCTGGCAAAAAAAAATGACCGATGGTCAATATTCCTAAGAAAATGAGAAAATCGATGGATCGGAGAGTCTTTAAAAATCCTGTATACTTTGTATCTCGTTAAACAACCAAAAAATATATATTTACAGAGTGTATCAAAATTTCCAAATATCTATACCTGAGAGAATTCAAATTTATACTAAGAAAATTTTTGTAAAAATGACATTTTTATTAAAAAAAAAAAGAAAATCACTGTTTCTCACTAAAAATACTTGTCATTCGGAAGCACAACCTGAATCATTATGCTACACTCTAAATATATAAAATTAATTTCTATAATATTGTAAATAAGAACACGAACTTGCTTTATCCAGCTGACATTATTAACAGCGTTGAAGGGACCAATTAACGGAGGGTCTTTTGTCCTTTTGATTAAAAATAAAATTAATGACCGAAAGGGACTAACTAACTTTCAATTAAGATGCTTAGATCATCACTTATATGTGAAATTCTTTGGATGTCTTAAAATGGAATCTAATTGATGTTTCACAATGATTACCAAAAATTCGTATCGATTAGTAATTCGAACAATCTTATCACACAAAAAAATGAAAGAACCAAAATATAATCCAAGGAATAGACGCATCTTCATTAGACACTGAATAAATACTCGAAAGTCTTAACTGACGATTCACGTTCAGTGATGAAAACTGAAAACCCATAACTTAAAAAAGCGTTGATTGCCCTCATTGCGTAACGTCACTTTGGCAAGTAAATAATATTTTTTATAATATCTAATTGATGGTAAATAATTCTAGGTCAGTATCGTAGTCAATCGATTTCGAGGCAGCAACGACGACGAGGCCAAGCCTCCACGTCGTGTCCACCCGTTTCGCCTTTAAATAATCAACCATTTTCATTTCTCGGCTTTAACGAATTTGTGTCCTATAATAATATTGCCTGATTTAATTAAAAAGGCGATATTAAAAACTCGATATAGGTCATATACAGGATTATTCAGAAGAAAGAAAAAAAACTCATCAGCTTTAATTAAATCGCCCATTTGACTTCTGTAGCCAAATCAATGCCAGTCAGTATCGTTACTTCTGAATGACCTTGTATATATACAATTAATATTAATATAATTAATTAATATAACACACAGACGTACACGCAGCCTCTAAATCGATTCTAGTCTGGAACCTAGTGTTATTACGATACCATACCTCATATATACATAATATTGTAATAAGAAAATACGACAAGATTCGCAATTGGATACTTTTGTCAATTATCAGTATCAAAAAGATATTCCTCTTACCTTATACAATTAACCAAGAAATCACGAAAGATTTAAATAAATCAATTTTCACAATAGATACTAATTATCTACGAGTCAATTGTCAAGGAAAACTTTAGTGTATTTCCTTTCCGCTGTACTGCGGTAGCGCCACCGTCAGCTCGACCTAGTGAAAATGACTGTAGTGCAGTGTCTTCACGATCCTCGAGCAAGAAGTAATATAGCACAATAGAGAGAGAAAGAGAGAAAGAGAGAAAATACCAACCGAACAATAATTATTATTTACTATCTTCTCTACTCGCTGTCGTCTTATTCTATACAAAGTATCCATTGCGAGATCTTCACGTCACTCGCAATTGTTCGCAACTCATTACATCACTTAGACGCAAAATCTATATTTTTGAGAAGTCAAGAACGTTATTTATTATCAGGAAAAAACATTATACGCCAATTATATTATACACCAATTTTATTTACTAAGCATGTAAAAACACTGAGGGATTACCTTAAATCCCTATGTAGTTGTCATGTAATGTTACGTGATTGAATGATCAGTGGATCGGATAAGAATTCTAATTCGATGATCGTTCAGCCATGATTAACACACCTATGGTTGCACCTTTTATTCGTAATCTGCGCGATAAGCAAGGAGGAGAATCACTTTATCTGTAGAATTGCACCGTTACAGGACAATTGAAATTGTCTTTTGACAAGGATATTTTTATTAATATAATTAAAATTATATATAAATTATGTACACGTGTACGTAGAGGCAGACAACTGTGAACTCGTATTGCTGTGTTCTATATATGCGTGTTTGTATGAATTAATTTTTATTTTGGTTTCTTTTATTTTCCAAAGAGACTCCAAGAACGTTTTTGGGTTTTTCTTTTAATACCACATTCTTATTGAATGCTCCTAATTAATTTTTCCCAATGTTTAATTTCTATTTGATGTCAATACTCTTATTGTTATCTGATACCGACACGAGAGTTTTTATAATAAGTTAATTGTCCGGTGTCTTTATGATTATCTATTGTTTCGTTTTAAATGTTCGTATCACAATGTTCCATCCTTATACGTATGAGAGAGTCGTTACGTTTTTCAGATGATAAGGAAGGGTAATTGAAAGAAGTGTTTTTTGAAAGAAGCTGATAAGAATTTGTAAATCATTCTGTAGAGCAATGCTAAATTACCGATCGTTCGAATATTCAAAAATATACCGTTGCGTGTCTCGTCGCGGTCGATCAACTCGAAAACTTTTCCAAATTCATTGTTACTCTTTGAAACAGTTTTCATTCCGCTATTGAGTGACGTAATTTTTTTGAATTTTCGAATGATCCAGAGCCTGGTCCTTTTGGTGGAAAATTTTTGTCACTGACAGTTACAATCAAACATTTCTATGACGTCAGTCCAATTTCTGTACAGTCGATCAAAATTATTCGTCGCTGCTACAACAATGATTTTCAACCGGAAGGAGCAGGGTCAGAGGTCGTATTAGATGCGAAAAGATAGAGACAAAAATGAAATGTGAAAAATGGTCTGATTGATAAAGCCATTCGGTGAAACGTAGGGCATGACGTATGTGTCTTCTGGTACATTTTAGAAGAAAAGAAAAGAAAAAAATTCTCTATAACCTACGACGTATTCGTTGCGTCACGCGTGTTAGAGAATTACATTGCGTACCAGCCCTTATTGAACGATGCTTGAAAAGTAAACGGCAACGGGTTACAAAGAGTCTATGGTGTTTACATTAGATGTAAAGTTTAATTATTAATACGTAAAATATTGTCCTACGTGTTATTGTATCTATTACCTTTGTACAAGATTTTGATTTACATTAATTTGTAATATCAAAAATAAAACGTAATGTATTCATCGCGAGTTGCCATTGGCTGTTGTTTCCTTGTGGATCACTTAGTTTGGTTCAGTCTTACTTATATTGTTTGTCTGCTTTGCACTTCTGGCTGGGTACCAACTTCCTGTTTTGAAACCTGCTGAAGCATTTGAATCCATTGTTCGAAGTGGAAAGTTTTGTATTCTTTTTTTGGTTTTAACGAAGCAAAACTTACTTTTACCTGATGAAGGCTTTTGTCACGTTTCTTCAGATATTTTCGGATGAATGGGGCCAATAACATTGGGTCTAAATTTTGCACGTCTTCTGAAGATATTAAACTGACCAGTAAGCCAACGCTTATGGTGACTAAAGCACCTGTTACGGTGTACCATAAATAACTGATATGGTACACTGACCAGGATTCCCTGTAATTGTAATAATTTTGAATTATGAAACTGTGGGGTTCGTTGTAAAAAAAAAAAGAAATCATTTTTTCACTCACGCTATGACATCAGGATCAGTCGCGTTGAGCATTATGTCAGGTGGTGAAAGAATTAGGCTTTCAATCTGTTGAAAGGAGTACGTGCATCCTTCGGTGCTTACTGGTTTTTCGTCAAACCTAAAAAAAATCCAAATTTTTAATTTATTTGAATTTTTTATAAATGTTCAATCCTACCGTAAACTTCCACTTGCTATAGCTGCTTGAGCCGAGAGACTCATCCAGCCCATAAAGGCCAAACCGAATAGTCCACCGATAAGAGCTCCCTGCGGAAGAAAAGCGGTGAATCCAAAATTTAAGAAAAAATTTATTATAGTATACCTTAGCATTCACCCAAGGTAAAAGAACGCCCATTGTAAATATCCCAAGAGACGGACCACTGGCTATCGAATCCAAGCTGATTGTCAACTGAAAATAATATTCTGGTGATATATCTTTTTGGAATAAAAAAAAATTGAAGTTTTGATAACGATTTTTTTACCTGAAGAACTTGGCTGCCCGTTTGCTCTACTACAAAGACAAGACCCACGCAAATGGCACCCAAAGTCACCACGGTCACTTTCATAAGGATGTCTGCGGCTCTAGGACTAAATGGAGTTTTGCGAAACGGCTTGAGGAAATCCTCGAGGACGACGGCCGCCATGGAATTCAGTCCGGTCGATAAAGAGCTGCATAAGGTTTCATCAATAACACCATAGTTCGCCGGGTAAACATATTTTTTTGAGAAATGAAAAAAAAAATGTTTGAATCACCTCAGGGCGGCGCTGAAAACACCGGCTACGAAGAGTCCTGGTAAGCCAGGAAATTCCCCCAGGATATCCATCACGAGTAACGGTAAAAGCTGATCCTTTGATCTTACCAGCTGAAAGATTTATCTCTGATAACTGATGACAATTCTTGTACGTAATAACAAAATGGAAAAAAATTATTATAATACTTTTGTTATAAGCGGATCGCATTCGTGATAAGTAGCATATATTAACATTCCTGCATATCCACACATTCCGATCAATATAAGAACTCCCAAGATGAATGACCACATTGCCCTGAAATATTTATTTAATAAATTAATAATTATATCGGATATACGTTTACTAAAGATAATATAAATACCTGACAGCGGAGCGTAAATTTGGTAATGACAAATAGCGTTGTAACATATTTTGATTAACTGCTGATACTTGTAACCAGTGAACAAAACCACCGATTACTAAAGCCCATACGGTGTGTCTGGTAAACGGATTCCAATCGGTTCTGAATTATGAACATTATGTTGATTAAAAGATTTATCGAATTTACCATAAAATTAAATAGAAAATTTTTAAAGCGTACGAAGGCATCTCTAGGCGGCCGGATTCCAAATTTCTTTGTAAAACAACATGAACTCCACCAAGATCCGATGTACCTTTGACAATTACCAGGAACATGGATCCGAACATAACAAAAGCTTGAACAAAATCAGTCCACACGACAGCTCGTAAACCACCCTATTAAAAAAAAAAAAAACAGACATTAATTTATGGGTAATTAAGTTTTTTTTTTTTTTTATACAAATTGCTAATTACCACGCAAGTATAAAAAATGCAGACAATGCACACAAAGGGTGTGATGATGTGTACGTTCACTCCTGTAACTGTAAGGGATGACAGATATAATTATATAGACTAATAATAGAATTAGATTTATCTAATGACAACGATTACGTTCTATCTTAAATGGACCTTCCTGATTATACAGTCTGAAAGATGATCTAAAGGTCAGGTCAGAAGAAGCAGTAATTTTACCTTGATTAAATGCAAGAGCAGGAACGTAAATGACAATGGGTAGCCAAGTCATCTGAAATAAACGAATCGATGACAATGAAGTTCTTTGAATTTAATTTAAACAAAAAAATAGACTTACTATTCCCAAGGAGAACAGAGCAGAGCCTAACAGTCGAATTTTCTTGTCGAATCTTCTTTCCAAGTAGTCGTAAGTGCTGGTTAGTTTAAGTTCGTGAAAAACTGGCAAATAAACATTGGACATGATAAAACCGACGATGATAACGCCAAAACCAATGCATAAATAACTAGTCCCGTGTACGTAGATTTCCGTAGGTGTGCCGAGCAAAGAAATTCCAGAAATAAAACTGGCAATAAGACTAAGGCTCACGGGAAGTGTCTTCATGTTCCTTCCGCCTACAAGATACTCATCCTCGCCGGATGTCTTTTTGACGAAACCAAAATATATGCCAATTCCGCTACAGCAAAGTAACATCAGTACGAAGACGGTGTAATCAGGAATACCAAAATTTTGCATGGTCTTGCTGACTTCCTGTACAGTCGGTACTTCCGGTGCCCAGTTGGTCAGTATGTCACTGGACGCACCTTCCGACGCCATCTTCTTAAAGAATGGAATTTCGGTGAGTCTATTAAGTAGATTTACTCACGATAAGTTATTGTGCTTGTCAAAATTAATCCCGTTTCGCGTCTCTTTCGGCAATGAGCAGAGTGGCATTTACTAAATATCGATAATTCTGAACGGAAAGCGAATAACTTTTCTTCTTAACTTTCATTTACTCCTGTTGGCTCCAATCGTGTTTAATCAACTATTTATTATAACGTTGTTTGTCTCACTGTAGGATGCCGTATCTAATAATGTTAGTCGAGTGACTTATAATTGAATTATCGTAGTTCCACGATTGCCAGGATATTGAAAATTATATTGGACGTTACGAAGAAGGTAACGGAGTTTTGGCTTTATTGTATTACGAAATAATAATGATTCCCGTTTAACGAAGATTTTTTTATTGAGAACTATTCGTTTAGCACTATTAGTGTAACAAACTTGTTGATGGAACAAATCTTATTTATGAATGCCAATTAATTGGCATAGAGTAATAATGGTGGATATAAATTTTTTGACCGGATTGTCAATCGGAGGTTTCACTGACAATACTACTACGTATTATGCTCGCTGGCGAAAGACAAAGCTCGATAGAAGAGAGAGCCATCACGATAACTCTGATACTGCGTATTGTGTCATCGTGACAATTTTCTCGTTAAAGTGACAATGGACATAAGTACATCCCTCGGTTAAACGAGTCGCTATGCTGACGGGATTTACAAGTGGATAATGCGACCTAAATTTAGTCGTACGGATATATTCGGACGAATTGGTCTCGCGATTTCAACAGCGGTGCCTCCACGAATTTACGAGCTCTTAAAGTCGTAAGTTCATACGTCAGTAAAAGGATGTTGACTATGTATTAAGATTTATTAAAGTCAATTGTTGTCATCGAGTAACTGCCCTATGGACTGTGCTTGTTCTTCGTTCTCTTTGAAGTTTAATAGGGTACGAGTGAAGGTTAAGGATAAGAAAGAAAGGTGAAACAATGGACATTCTGTTTATAGTAGTTTTATTTAGCAAATGGAAATCTCACCGTGAAGGGTACAGCAAGTACATAGTATCTCTTAAACCAGAGTTTATTTTTTGTTTTAAATTTGGGGATGCTCTGTGAGTTTATCCTTCGTAGAATTTTGGCAGTTGGTCTCCTAGAATGACTCTTCGATCGACACCAGCTTCTGTGATTACACCAAGTCGAATGACACCACCACTACTACCATCACGCGCCATTGCCAAAGCCAGTGCTGAAAAATTTGAATTTTTATATGACAGTTGTAGCAGTTGAGGACTTGGTTCTCGTTTTTCATTGAAGAGGTACTTTAATGAACTTACTGTTTGTTACAAGTTCTACAGATTCATCCTTTGTCATGTTAGGTTTGTAGTGTGCATCTACGTAACCATATACATAGCTGGAACCAGAACCACCAATTGCTATAGGTTGGCGAGTGCACATTCCTCCCAGAGGAATACTATAAACTTGACCACCCTTCCTGCGATCCCAGCCAGCTACCAGGATACCCGCCATTAAAGAATCGCGATAGTTGTAACACATTTCGCGGAATACATTTGCTGCAGTTTCTACTAATGCTGGTGCACCTAATTCCATTCTGAAAAAAGCAAATATGTTTCATTACTCTATAAATATTTATCTCAGATAATCCATTAAAACAGTGAAAGGTAAGGAAACTTACTGATGGAAATTCAAGTGATACGTTACTATATCTGCAATGGCTTGAGTGTCTGCTGCAGAACCAGACCGACAACAATAAATATAATCAGTCACTTTTGTTAACTTGTCAGCAACACGATTTGCAACATATGCTCTGTAAGGAACAAAAAAACCAGCGTCAATGGTAACTGTTAAATATATTAAAACCACAATTTGGTCAAATTAAATAAACTAATATTTACCCTGTGGTGGAACGAGAATCCGCTCCAATAACAACACCACCATCGAATTCAATAGCCATGATCGAAGTCTGAAAAATAATGAATATAAAAGATCTGTGTCACTAATAATAAATATGTAAATGAATTTACAAAAAACTGAATAACCCATAATAAACCCTTCCAAAAAAAAAAAATGCATAATGACTGATGGAAATTAGAAGTTTGCATTGTCATTCTAACCTCTACCAAGTGAATAACATTTATACCGAATACTGCATAGTTATAAATTCATAAAATCTGCGAAACTTACCCCTGTACTATGTTCAGCACTCAGCCAGTCAGGCCCCATTGAATTAATCACAGGATTAATATTTGGCTGCACCATGATCTTATATGTATACAGGTCTGGACACAGCAAAAATTGGCGATAATGGATGTGCCGTTTGTGATGGTTGTGATTCCGGATTTTAGTTGGGAATATGAGGCGCTAGTATCGGAGGAACCTTTTTGTACGCATGCGCAATCGGCCGCTTCTTTCATCCACTTTCAACAATAATTTTTCTAAATCTGGTTCATTAGGATTACGCTTGGAAGACGTGAAACACGTTTAGTGCCTAGACCTGTATACAAGATCGTGGGCTCCTTGTACGAAAGCTAGTTTTTAGAACCTTGAAAAAATAGGCTTACTACCAAAGATGCCTACTTCCACCGCAGTGTCCACAATGCAGCACTCATCATCCTTCTGGTCGGCAAAATCGCGCTCGACTTTACCGACAACCAGCGTCACAGAGTGGGCACCATCGGAACAATCCTATTGGTGAGAATTTTAAATCTCCCGCCTTGACGTCATTCCTCGTGCCAACGCTAGGGCATAAGTATAGTTTATGTAGGTTTACACATTTAACAAGCTCAGCATCGTTCTTTCTATGCTTTAACTAGTTCTTTCCATTATAGCAGTAAAAATATATGTAAAAAATACATTTTTACATAATAAAGTTCAAACGTTCGTATTTAACAGACCTCTTCTTTAACGCCCGTTACACGATGTGCAACCCCAACAACTTGAATACAGCAGCGCCATCTATCGAAAATTCTCTCAAACAACCACGAACTACGAAAATCCGTGAGTTTCGTTCCATTGCATCATTTCCGTCCTCTCCACGACTTTCAACTCATCCAAAATAAAAAAAGTGCTAAAACCAACGACAACCGCTAAAAATCCATCACAAACTTCAAGAGACATCTAAAATCCTTATATCTGCCAACACATCTACCCGCATCCGGTAAGAACCGGAAGTCCGTGCCCGTCGGTCAGTTAAGATAAAAGAAATCATTCACCAGGCATGCTCTACTTTTCAACGAATCAAAGTGGGGTCTCTGAACAGTACATGAGTAGATTCGTAGAGCGCTGCTATGAATGTGAAGTTTTCTGAAAATCAACAAGTTGTACTCGAACGAGAGAACAGCGGGAGGTAGAACCTTTTGGCGATATATTGATGTTAGTTGGGGTGGCCGGACGCAGGCGCAGACATCACGGATTGGCACCGGTTACGGGCACGGGCGGGGGTCTTCGAAATGGTCGATATTTTAGCTATAGTGTCTATAGTGGCGCGAGGCTTTCCCGAGGCCAGTCCGGTCTGTTTATTACGAGATTTCCTTTCTTAATTAAAAATTCATCGCTACGTGAAGTGAGCCGAGTGTGCGAGGTGAAGCCGCCCCGTCGCAGGCTTTCGTGTCGTCCGTGAACATTTTTACAGGAGGTACGAAAGAAAATCTAATAGCAAGACCTAGTTTAATCCGTCAACTCACATCAAAGTCCGTTTTGCCCGTATCGCAATACAGAACCAGGAAAGCGAGAAAGAAAGATAGAGAGAGAGAGAGAGAAAGAGAACTAGAGTACAGGAGAGTACAAGCGAGAGAGAGAGAGAGAGAGAGAGAGAGAGAGAGTGTGTGTATGTGTATAAAACCAATAAAGAAGAGAAATCGACCGTCATGAGAATCGATCTAGGGAATGTGAAAAAATATATATTTTTTTTTACAACAGTACGCCATACCCTGGATTAGCCCCTATATTGATTTCCTTTGAATGGAACTGGCTTACTGGTTCACTATCAGTTGGTTCGTCCTTTAATTCTTTATCAACATCATCCAATCACGCGTCTCCTGTGAATACTTGAGGTCATTTCGTGTTCACGGTGGCTAACAGCGATAAGTCCATTTCCTGTCACACAGCGTCAGACACGTTTTCAGAAGCTCAAAGCCCGTGACCCAAAACCAGCTTTCCGTTAACTCTTGCTGCTTTGACTCTCAGCCGAGTATTCAACGCTGTCTTTATAATTAGGTCGCGACTCAAGAAACCTATAAAAATTGTCGAAACTCTCGTAACACATATACGTAAGTTAAGCCCAGAAGTGCCCTTGGTGACTGTACAATTCCTGAAATTACATATATAGAAATCTTTAAATACACTATAAAACGATGGATATAGATAATCGATCGGTTCTTTATATAAACCTTTAAGGTTCGTTTCCATAGGAGAATTTTTCATATTTTAAATCAAAGAGATTATTTAAGGCCATCGTTGAATAAAATCATTTTATGAACAGATCTTCGCACAATTTGACGTTAAAGGCAAAAGCGAAGAGGGTGCAATTTTTTGGTATGAATTTTTGTTTTGATAGAAAAAAAAGGGAAAGAGTGAGTACGAGGATGAGTCAAAGGGTCGAGGTGCTGAAATTGAACATCCTGCAAGGGTGTGTTGGAATAGTAGCAAGAAGAACGCTGGAGGAATACGAATGGAGGGTTGGGATAACGGAGAAATCGATCTTAAGAAAATATTTGTATTACACCGTTAAAGGCAAGAGAATATGACTTCCCATTGGCTAGGTGTGGAATATTAAATTTCGCTAATTACTAGGTCGTAATTAATTACCTTGGGGTAATAATAAATTATGTTCGTCCATGTTAAATAAATTTTCCAAGCATCTGCTATTGGATCTGTATAGGAAGGATTGGATGTCTCGTTGGAAATTGTGTTTTGTCAGTGTTACTCGATACATGTAATTTTATAATTTTATTGAGAAAAAATAAAAAGGCGGGGTGCGGCAATTATGAAAAATGAAACGAAAAAATATAGAAAGGTATTACGTTTCTGTTATTTTTTTTTCCGTTCTCATTTGACGCAGAAGTTTATTGACACGTGGAATAGCCACAAATAATGTGGAACAAGATTTTTCAAAACAAGCCACAACCTGATATTGTTGCACGGCTGACGTTCAATTGCAATCAGCAATTGACCTTTTGATAATTTCGTAAAGTTTATTTATACGATTAATTCAAAAATCCATGCAAGGTATAAATTTCTGTAAATTTTGTAAATTATGGAAACTTTTAGAATTGTTTAAAATTACAACTTTCTATATTAAAAATTGAAATACTACATCGAATTGGTTCCAGAAATCATAATGGCACACTTCTTGCTCGGACTATACGCACATCGTAAATCCCAGAATTCATCTGGTTTATCGTACGGAGCTGATCTTAGTTTACGATGCACAATTACAATAAGCAATCAGCAAGAAAGTCATTAAAGCACAAGAAAATTCGTAATAATATCTAAATCTCAAAATTAACTCTTCGACTCTATGTTAGGAATCATATCGAGACCAATTGACGCACCCGACAGTTCGATCAATAATCTTCACAAGGAACCACGGAGTCTTCCAACACCGTATGTGATCTGATTCACAAAGAGAATAATTTTACATTCAAAATCTATAATATTAATTCAAAAAATCAATATTAATCATCCAATTATTTTCATATTGATTGTAACACTTTTTACTGTAGTATAAAAATGTATTATCACAACGTCATACTCGTGCATCCTCTTTGCAGCACGTTTGCGGTATTGCATATATGGTGTATTAACATTAGATATACATATATATAGGTATACATATCATACAGAAGAGGCATTTATACAGGTGCAAGTAGTCACGTAATGGCAACAACGAAATACCGGAAAAGTTGATACGCATGTTCCGTGAGTGTAAGCCTTTATCAAGTGAACGTGTAACGTATCGTTCACTGCTAAAAAGAGAAGGAAGAAACGAAGTGTGTTCGTAAGTCGAAGAAAAGCAGGACCGCCACGTCGTCCGAGTAGCTCGAGTAGCCTGAAGTGAAGGACGGAACGAAGTCGCTCGTATCAGTTTGCGTTTACTTGTGCTTGGCCGGTGCACCATGTCGGATGATCCAACCAGCTCAGTAATTGATTAATTAATCGTTAGGAATTTGTTAAAGGATACAACGGGAATGTCGAGGGTGAGCAGCCCCCCGACAGGGGTTGTCAAGGATTCGGTTCTAGAACTCCGCACGCGGATGTCTCGTATGATTTCCATCGTCGAAATTACTTCAGGAGATTATTCGGTATCGACGTGAATGAATTACGATCCGCCATTTTGAAAATCAAAGAGTCTGTTATTTACGTATGAGAATAAAATATTAATATGTGTGTGAATAGAATCGTACATGTATATAATATGATTTTTGCACGAATCTGCGTCAGGAAGAGCAAAATCATGTTGGACAAATTTTGAGGTTATCTTTTATCAGGGTGATAACGCGATTTACTTTGCAGCGGTGAATTGTGCGTATATTATTAAAGAGATTAATTTAAATGTTGATCTAAGGAATTTTTACCTCTTTTTTTCCTTATGAGTTTGATATTGTTCTTTCGAGACGCGATGGACGCGATTTTAATTAAATTACTTTTGCCATCTTGTAAATTTACTTATCCATATGATCGCCATCTACTTCACTCATCACTTTTTATCTTCTCCGAGACGTTTACTTTGTTGACTAACTTCTCGGGATGATCGTGCGTGACCCTTTGCCATGATCAAACATAACCTGTCTCTTTTGTAATTAATAAGTTTTTTATTACTTTCAGATGGCGGGTCAGGATCCTAAGTGGCAGAAAGATGCCGCGGATCAGAATTTCGATTACATGTTCAAGCTTCTCATCATTGGGAACTCCTCCGTCGGCAAGACTTCCTTCCTCTTCCGGTACGCAGACGATTCCTTCACTTCAGCCTTCGTCTCGACCGTTGGAATTGACTTCAAAGTGAAGACTGTCTTCAGACACGATAAAAGAGTCAAGCTTCAAATTTGGGTAAGTATCTTTGAATGTTTCTTACGATTCTATTGTTTATTGTCGCTTGATAGAAACGAGGCTTGTCGTTGTTCTTACTTGGGTTATATTTCAGGACACAGCAGGACAGGAACGATATAGGACTATCACAACGGCCTATTACAGAGGCGCGATGGGCTTCATACTCATGTATGACATAACCAACGAGGAATCCTTCAATTCTGTGCAAGATTGGGTGACGCAGATAAAGACCTACTCGTGGGACAATGCTCAGGTTATCCTGGTGGGCAACAAATGCGATATGGAGGACGAGAGGGTTATTAGTTTCGAGAGAGGCAAACAGTTGGCCGATCAGTTGGGTGTCCAATTTTTTGAAACTTCAGCCAAGGAAAATATCAATGTGAAGGTAGGACTCGTTTAATTCTTATTAAGGTACATTACCGACCGAGTCGGTCGTCTATGCGACTTTACCGACAGTCGCAAGCAAATCGTCTGCTTCGTGATGAGAACATTGAATAACTTTCATTATTTGAATATATATGTGAAACTGGGATAAAAGTTGTATATTTTGTATTAATTTTTGTCGCTTATTATAAAATATAATTTACTTGTTATTGATGCGCAGGCCGTCTTCGAGCGGCTAGTGGATATAATATGCGACAAGATGAGCGAATCCCTGGACAGCGATCCGACCCTAATGGCTGGGGGTGGTGGACAAGCAAAAGGCCAACGACTCACCGATCAGCCGGCTAATCCTGCGAATACCAACTGCAACTGCTAAAAAAAGCACGAAGTACACGTCTCTACGTGGAGTGTCGATGTTAGCTAGCTAGTCCATCTTCTTCGTCGTTCCTTTGTTTATTATTTATTTATTATTCTTTATTTAACATGATGGTCGTGGCCCGATCACTGCTACTCCGGTGTACAAGCTCACTTATAACCAATCCTACTCTCAGAGAAGACGTCGTTTACTTTGGCTTCGGGCATCAAATTTTGTCTTTGCACCCCTTTTGTCAAATCGTCTACTCAGTCATTCGAATAGCTAATCAATCAGCCATTCAACCCACTCACCCCTTATCACAATAGGAAATGCCATTAACGTCTCTTCCTTGAACCCTATGAAATATGAAGATGCTTGAATTCAAATTGACGATGTCGTTAAGCACAACTACTTTACATTGGAAGCTCCTTAAAGCTTGGACACCAGAGTATGGTCATCATGACGATGTTAATAGAGATTTACGGCGTGCGAAGGGATAAATGGTAGTGCAATATCGCGTACCTGGAGGAACTCACGTCGTATATAAACAATCGTATTAAACGCGAAGGAAAAAAGCCAGACGAAGTATATTCCACGGTAATTTTCTCTTGCGCGGTCGGTAAGAAGATTCTCGCCCTTATCACGCATGCGCATATATTTACCAGATATCCGGTACCTCGTGTACTCTTACTATACGATTCCTTCCACTCTCGTTTATCGACCAGACAGATTCGCCTTATATTTTAATCCGTACAAAATGTATACGAAGGAATCTAAAATGAGATACCAAAGAGAAGGATATCCGATATTATCCGGAAACTCCGGAATGACAAAATCTCTCCTATTTATACCATCTTGACGTTGACGTTCGCCCAGTCGATAGGTCCACAGTCACGTATACTATCACCTCTTGTCACATTGTGTTATTGGTCGAAAGTTGCGTTCGACGAGTGTGACCGAGCCCTTACCAAAGTTACCATAGGCGATCCACTTCGGTGTCTGCTGAGAATCTCGAATCGACTTTTATTTGATTTACATTGAAAATTTCTTCCAAGCTTAAGAGGCAGACATGCAGCTCACTGACGGCTGCAAAAAGGGAAGAGAAACAAAAATTAGTAGAAAGATAAGATCTGATAAGCATCCTCGCGTAATCCGATATCCTTTCAAACGCCGTGAACGAAGTTCCCTACTAGGCAAGCCTGCCCTCTGTACATAAAATATATTATTGAATCTGTAATGAAGTGTAATATGTAACGCGTTACTTATCCGTGTGAATTTAAAAAAAAGGAACGGCACCTATTCTTCTTGCGGAATAGTTACCGACAATGGTAAAAAAACCAAAAAAGACAAGAAAATGAACCAAAAAAAGAAAAAGATAAGAAAATGAAAAACCAGCCCGCGCCACCGTATTTTCGAACGATTTCTTATTATATTATGACGTCACCGACATCCGAGTTATATAATTTTTTTGTCATATGAATTTATTCGGTATCGATCTATATATACACGCGCGCGTATACGGACGTACGAATAGACAAAGAAAATCTTAAAATAAAAGGGAGGAAACAGAGAACAAAAAAATAAAGAACAGCACGAGCGAAGAAATAAAATTCGTTTGGCCCTCACCCTTCGCCCCCTCTTTGTTACGTTCACAAAAGGAGAAAGTGGAGATTCCAATTATTCTAATGACGTGTAACGGGTATACTATTTATAAAACGTTAAGAAAAAAGAAACATATACGTAGGCATATGTATATAGTATACACAAGATTTATATATATATATACGTACGTATATATAAACAATATACATGAAAGACATAGAAGACAAAACGGAAAAAAAGGATACAATTAAAAAAATTATATATACATATATTAGAGAATCACCGGTGGACGGGCACTTGTATGTATGTATTGTAACGTATGTAACTATTATGCCTAATAATAACAATAATAATAATACTATTAATAATATTAATATTAATATACTATTACTTACTGGAACTAACTTCGCAGATGTTACGTTGATCGTTTATAAACATTTAGCATAATCCTAGTGGATATTTGAGGTTAATGTTTTCAACGATATCCAATCTGCCGCCGGTGTACGTGCACGGATACGTCTTGACTTAGTTTAAAAAATTGCGTGGTCAATAAAGTAGAAAGAAATATACGAATAATGACGTAAGAAAAAAGGATAGACACCGGTACATGTACGCAGGTTTTCTTGTTTATTAGTTATTTCGTATAAACAGAGACGCACGTTCGGCCATTACGGGCAACGGAAATTGTTAGAGATGCATAATAATTTAATAGTAAAGCATGCACGATAATGAGGACGTAAAAGGAGAGAAAGAAAGAAAAAGAAGCTCCAATTTACAATACGTGTACAAATAATTGACACTTTCAAGGTCCAAGCGAGTTTTGAGTATTTGAGAAGAACAATAGCTACCGTTAAATTCCCGCCGCTTTTCCGCCGTGAAAAGGTAAAGGCACGTTCACGCGTATGCTCCTCGTAGTTGAGTTTCTGTCCGGTAGGAAAATCTGTCATGTTTATGCGTGCTCCTCTGTCATGAGTTTCAGCCATTTCTTTGCTTCTCAATAACTGTCTCTGTTTTTGTTGTTCGAAAGATCATTAGCTCTGTGTTTATTGCTCTTGGGAATATACGAGAACTCGAGTCCTGCAGCAATCCTGATGCGAAGTTAACTGCTTGTATTGTGAGAAATGAAGTTGGCTACAGTCCTTTGATGAGTTGAGTGGTTAATTACCTGATTTACTTGCGAACCCTAGATGACCTCTTCCTGTTCAATAACTAACCTACGCATGATTCTTGGTAAGATTGATATATGTACAAAATTTCTGATCGACCCAACGAGCACTGTATCGATCGCTTATAAATATTTAATCGACTCCCGTATTGCGCGTCTACGTAACTGTTCTAAAAACAATAGAGGTTGGCTTATATGTACAAAATGATGGTGAAAGAGAGAAAAATAGAGAGAAGCGTGAGAAGGACAAGATGAGTAAATGGTATCAAGATAATAATATTCGAGATATACGTAGGAGTAAACAAATTGTCATACGATACGAAGTCGATGGTAGAAGACATGGGGAAATGGTAGAGAGAAGAAGAGAAATGGTGAGACAAAAAACTCAAGTATTATGTTCGACATCATTAAAGCACACGTTACAAGGGATAAATGGTGTTTTCTTAATTTTATCAGGATCTGTCATATCCATCATCGTCATCCCAGATATCCTGTATCAGACATCAGAATCATTAATTACTGTAGTAATCATCTTCCTGCGGCGGTGGAGGTGGCTCGCCGTTCTCGTCCTCGTAATCCTCAGCAGTCATATCGATCAACGATTGCATCTCTGGCGCCACGTCTTCTGGATTCCGTCTCTGTCGGGTCGTGTTCGACTTCCGGGATTCCTTACAGGAGGGTTTACAGGGCGTGAATTCCTCTTGCGTGTGGGGCACGAATTTCGTGACCTCGTGCTGTCCGCATAGCGAAGTCACGTTTTTACCAGTAGCCGGAAGCAGCACCACCCGTACTTTAGTTACGTATACGACCTGGATGACGCAGAACATTCAACGAGACTGTTGCCAACGATTATAAATTAAATCTGGACGCTCACTGTGTTATTTTGCTCGGAATCGAAGCGCAGAACGACTTTACTTGGTGCCAACATTTTCGGTCTCTTTTGGTACGTCAGGAAGACGTTGTCGCCATTCAGGATGAATGCTTTTTGGCCGATGCCCATGTTCAGATTAGTCCGGAAGACAATGTCTTCCGACTCAGAGTAGACAGTGGCACAGAACATACCTCCCTCGACGCGATAGTCGACCTCGCTCGAGGATACAGTCTCGGGGTTGGCCATTTCACCAGGATCCATGGTGATGATGATCTTGTAAGCAAACACTGAAAAACAAGTATTACAAAAATATTACCTGAAAACAATTTTTTTTAATTCAAAAACGTCTCTAAGGTCATACTGCAGTAAGGACGATCACTATGGGTATCCAGGAAGAACTTCGCTGTCGGTGGAGCGGTTTTGTTCCTGGCGACGACCTCGGCTGAGTATCCCATGGGTGCACAGGTATACCCTAATTGACATTCAACGCACTCGGCCCTCTGGAAGAAGATGTAATCGGGACAGAGGTATCCCATCATCGTGCACTCTGACTCCTCGTCCAAGCTGGCTGTGAAATATTTAGTAGCCCTCTTGTGATTGCATCCTGGTGCAACGTCACCCTCTTTCAGCATATCTCGCGTTATTGCGCTCAAAGGTGGATACAAGGAAGTAGCGTTACATCCTCCTTGAGTGAGACCACCGTTTGGATAGAAGTTAAAATGTCCAAAGGTATCGCCACTACCCTGGCCATGATCTTGATGAAGAGAAAAGCGATTAGTCTTGCTCAATGGCACCAATGATTTTTCATTACTTTTAACTATATCCGTATAAATGATGTCTACGAATCTTGCATCGTCTGGATCCAGCCTCACTGCGCATGACATATCAGTGAAGTAAAGACCATTGGGATCGAGTCCAGTTATACGCCCAATATCATTGATCTGCCGGCCAACGTATCTGAAGTAAAAAAACTTTTAATAGTACTACAAAGTTTTCCAATCGATAGCTAATATCCTTTTTTTTTTTTTTAATACCCAGCAACGTGAGCTCCTAAGCCATGACCAATCAGATGGAACTGTTCCGGTCTCATACCCAGGTCATCGATGAGGATTTTCAAGAGATAGATTATCTCCAAAGCAACGACTCGTGCATTCTGCACCGCTATGGCGTATGGTGGCTCCGCACCACCTGTCCAATCGACGCTTATCACGTTTCCAAGGTTGTTAGACATGATAGACTTGACCGAATGTTTGATCCAGCCTACCAATCCATTGCTGGTGAAGTCGTGTATAAGCAGATGGGTCTTAAGGGTCTTATCAAAGCTGGTCAGCTTGATCTGTTTGTAGTTCACTTCTAAGGGTTCAACGTCCACCACATGTCGCGAATCCTTGCCTTTGCCAAATAGATAGAAACTGGTCTTAATGATGTGACGATCGAGCGGCGGCATCGTCAATGGCCGAAATACAGGATGGTACCATTCCTCAGTGTTGTTGACGCAACCGAGCTCGTCGTAACATCTGCTCCATAAATCTGTGAAGGAAGTCCCTGGACATGTTGTGTATGTTTGTCACGTTGTATGCGTTGTGTCGGTAGTAGGACAACGTATTTATTAGGACGATAAAGAAGAGGTCACGTGCGATATACGACCTTAGCGAAACGGTTAAGAGGAGGACCTCATGTTTTTCTCATGATTTTATGAGGATTCTGTACTCGTCTACAAATATTCTTTGTTTATACAAAAACTTTGTGAAAAGACCTCGAGGTCACATTGACTGTACGTTTAATGGCTTTTTGCAATTGCAAATATCACGTGGACTCACAGTCTGGTTGCTCCACTCTTTCGGTTACGATTTTACTTGAAGACTGACAGGAAATTATGCTCAGTAGCAATGCCAGAGGAACTACATTCATTACAGGTTAAGTGGTACGCAAAAGTCATCAAGATCTTGTGTCGCTGAGCTACATTAGAAAATTTTTCTAGCAGAGATCCTTTACCGATTTCTCTCGTACAAGTATTTATATTACCAGCTGTCAAGATCTGTTCGCAACTCGATTGGCTCTCAGCTCGATTCACTGACAGTTATTATTAAAATTACTTCCGCCATTGAGTATTTCTGTCGGTAATCATTTTTTAAGGGGAAAAAAAAACCGAAAAACAAAAAACTCCTTACAACCGTCTTCACGTCTTTACGAAGTATCTCATATACCCGTTGCGCATGCGCCCAAGCGAGTTTCCAATACCAGACCACGAAGGCAGACAGAGACTTTCCTCAGGACGGAAATAAAATAGCTCGCGGCTCTCGACGAAATTTACGTCGTGAGATATTAGCAAAATGTCCCAATCGAATCCAAAGATAAATCGTCACCAGCGTCCAGGTTGTTTTTGCGCGCGCCAAAATAATGTCGCGAGCAACGAATTGATTAATTATTTTTAAAAATCTACCTAAACCGACAATTTCGTAGCAGTCAGGTACTCGTGAGAAAATAAAAGTAGTATGTCACTGTAATACCTGACGTCATAACCTTCGCACACGTCGTATAAAGCCTAAAGGATTCTACTTGTAATTGCTAGTCTTTTAACCTGGCAATAGGCTGGTGGGTATATAACTATATATATATATATAAGCTCTACGCTACTACAGCTACAGTAGTAAATACAGGGAGCTAGTAGTGGCCACGTAATGGTGGTAGGAACAAGGCTATACATATATACAGTCAATCGCGTGCGACCGGTAGCCAGTAGACAGAGTCAGTATTGCGCGGACCTCCGTCGCGTCGAGACGTGGGGTTTGTCGCTCGTGTCATACAAGGCGAAGGGTTTAACGGTCGTGAATTCCTCGTAGTGTGTGAGTTTCTCTATTTATTTTCTATATAGTTTCTTTAGTATATCTGTATATACACGCACATATATACCTAAACACGGATATTCATTCTTTTCATACTTCCCTGCAATACTGTTCGCCATTACTTTTCTTTTTGTGACATTTATACTTCGTCTAACCACACTTTTATCCTCGTCACAATAACAAAGTCCAATGCAATCGTTGTGTAGTCGAGGGACGTTGGGCAGTCATAATAAGTTAAGCGAAACAGACGGCAACGAAGATTATCGAGCTTCCACGGTTGCGTCGGTACTTTAATAATAAATTAATATGCGAGAAAGTGGAGCGCGAGAAGACCTACGAGTGTCTCTGCTAGAGGAGCTCAACAATCTTGTGCACGGTAACATGTCGGATGATTTATGTTTTATTTTTTTTCATCTTTCACAGTACAGTGCAGCAACTGCGGATGTTGTTTATGCCGTAACGTATACAGTCTCCCAGTATGTAAAGATTTATGGCGATTTATGGCGTACTGTACGGTATATACAATGTGTAACGTGTATCCGCTTGGCTCGTGACGATTACGTACCTACGTTGGTAGGACTGTTAAATGCTTTAGTGGCAGGATATTTAGTCTATCGCGAAGATTCTCGTAGGAAACTATCTATTGTGTTTTCAATAAATAGGTTCGATGGTGATACTTAGTCGCCGAGCTTCTCTCTATCCCCTCTAATAGAGTAGCCGACTATATATAGCGGGTGTATAAATAAATCCTCGGTGAATATTTAATGTTGCCAACTCCCCGTACCTCCTGTCTTACCTTCTTGTTTCCCTCGCTCTTTCTCTCTCTTTCTCTCATTCTTTCTCCAAGCTCTTTGTCCCTGTCACTCTCACCGTGTCTTTTACTTCACCGGGCCTCGTTCTGCTCTTAAGTATTTTTATTTCGCACACGCAAGCCAAAGGGTGTTGCATCCGCGTCAAGAATCTTTACAATTTCTTTTTTCCTTCCCTAGGACAAGTTCATCAGGACAAAATTGTCTGTAGGGGGGGTAATTTTTTTCTTGCCATTATTACTGTCTGCTTCCTTCTTTCCCCCCGTAGATTTCCATTGTAGCTTGGCACACGCCGTGTTCCTAGGACGTTGTACTACTTTGGATAGGCCGCAATCGCTGGACGTTGGTTGTCATAATTTTTTTTGGCTTTCTTTATGCTATCATTTTTTTTTATAGTACTCCCCCTTGACGAAGTTTACTAGACCAGTGGACTGCACGGTCGATACGACCGGGGGTTGACGTTTTGCCAGGAGAGGATCCTCAGCGAGAATACACGAGTTCTCGCGACCTTGTTGAATTCACCTTGTGAATATTTTGGAAACTTTTTTTTCCCTTATCATTTAGTCGCATCTTTTTTTCTCTTTGTTACGTCTATTCGCCTTCTCTCTCTCGCACACTCCATCTCGTCTATTCAATTTTCAGAGAAATTGCACGAGACCCCCCGGTTAACCCGCTTCCACTCCTTCCAACAATCCTTCAACCCGTCGGGGTCAAAGTTTCCATCTTGCGATAAGAAACTTCTCGTCGCTGTTATCAACCTGCTGAATTAATTCCGTGGTTCATTTAATTACTCGTAGTGCCAACGACTTTAATTAGCCGCGCTACGTTCTATTAGAGTCCCTTGGATGACAACCCTCTGTTTTTGTATTTCCATAAATTTTTGTTCTTGTTTCCCATTTACGTCCTTTTCATTCCCTTCCTCTATGCGAAATATTCGAAACGTACGGTCGGGCTTGTTTTCGACATTTTGACAACAGACCAAGGCATCGCTTTACTTCAATTTAATTAATCTCCATAAGATTAATTCTTAGGGTGCGAGATAATTAACTATACCGTAGGCTAACTAAATGTAAGCAACGTTACTTTCCCTTTCTGCCTTGTAGGATAAGGGAAGTTTAGAGGAGATAATATATATTTCTTTACGACACCCCCAACAATTCTTCCTTAATTATTAGAGAATTTTTATTTCCCCCGAGTACAGATTTATCGTATAAACCCGGACTCCGTTATCACGCGATTCTTTAGTCCTGACGTGACGTCGCTCCCCCCCCCTCCCCAATACCTTTTCAAACTTTCATTCTCCCCTTATCCAAGCTCACCCTTATTCTACTCACATAAAATTGTGACACCTCGATTAGCAACAATGGCCGCCGGGGCTCGTTTGGTTCTCACCTATACTGATATCCAACCCTCTTCCCTCTACCACCATTGCCTAAAAAGCGAATTGTATATCAGTACGTCGTCGGAATGACAAATTGCAAGAATTCCAATGTTATCCTTACAATTTGTCCCGTCGCTTCGATTCATGGTGAGTTTTCATAAAAAATTTAATAGTCTCGCGCGACAAACGTAAGCCATGAAAATTGACGCAGCAATCAATCGATATTATCGATTTCACATAACGTGACTAATGACTTTATAGTGCGCCGTATCTCGTAAAATATACCAAAATTATCCTGACTTCCGTTGTTATCGCACTGTACCAACATTATTTGCCAGTCACGAGTAACCATTTATGAATATCCTATAGATATCGATATTACCGTATACTATACGTGCGTATAAAGTGCCGGTATAAGATAAGGCAAAATTTTTATAGCAACTTTTTATATCCCCATTGCAGAAAGTCTTTGGGCGACCTTTATTTTCGTATCTCATAACGGTCTGTCAACCATCCAAGTTTTCCTGCTGGCCTTTGAGGTGTTTCCTCGTTTTTCTAAGGTTGGCATTTCTGTAACCGTATAACCGTAAGCAACAGCCACACACTTCTGTGTGCCCACGCCAATGTCTTCGAAGTACAAATTACCCTGGTATCACCTGCTCGTGATTAATCAGGATGAGCATTAGAGGAAAGGCGCGGCCCGTCGGCACGCGGCATTGAAACGACCTGTAGCGCCTACGCGAACGGGAAAGATTCGTTGGCCGTTTTTCTCCTCCTAATGAAAAGACATAACGAATAAATTGCCAGGACCTCGTAAATACGTTATATTTTGTTGTTTGAACTTGAATCGCTTTTCTTTTTTAAGCTTTCCACTTTAGACGGGTCTTACAGTCGGAAGTAGAGGAAAAGACGTAGCCGAAGATTGGAAGGGTCGTTAAAGTCACTGCCTCACGCGATTAGAGTCGAATGTGTATCTTTGCCGTGTGCGGATTTACGCTGAAGGAAATAACATTTTCTGCCGTTTGTAAAAACGCCTTTAAGTACACGCCACGGTGGACACGCCCATCGTTTTATGACCTCGGAAAGAATTTTTCTTTGTGAAAAAACGTAGGTGGGTAGGAAATTTTTATTATTTCTTACATTTTTTATTCCATCATTTTTAAAGGCACGAAAGTGACTCGAGTTGTGTTACGACACAGGGAGTAAAAGTAGGAAGAAAATTTTGTAGGGTTTCTAGGTAATTTGATGGTTAATTTTTTTTATTTCTTTAATACCTTTTTTTAACGTTATTTTTATTTCTTTCATTTTCCTTGCTACATATCACGTTTTTTTCCATCTGCAGAGACGTTCGTCGTACATACGTAAAGGCTGTGTCTTGTTCGTTCGCGCACCCCGGCTTTGGAAATACTGTTCTCTCACCTCTGGTCGGTTACACAACCGTGGCAGTCTGCTACGTGAGAGCTGTGCGATGTAAATATTTAGTTGTGACCTCTCGGAGGTGTTTTGCTTCGTCGGTCACACCGGGGGGTCTCTGTCTGCTACGAAGTTGTTGACTGTCTCGACGCCGCCGAAGACGGGTTACTTTACCCAGGAACATCCGTGGCTTTTGGTTGGCACAAAACAAATTTTGCTATCTGAAATTATACCGTGAAGCTTTTATTAGACTTTCCGCGTCCGTCGGCAAAGGCCACCCGAGTGGCGTGTAGAGACCGATAGATTTACCACGAGAACGCCGAGCGTCGCGACACGAATCAAGAAAGACGTCGGTAATGAAAGCGAGGACGACGACGACATGTCTAGCTTTGGCGACGGTGGCGCGGGGGGGCGGACGGGCCGTGTACTAAAAATTCAAAAAGTAACATCGTAATTCCGGCACGAATTGGAAAAGTCGAGGTAATAAAAAAGAGAGAAAACAAAAAGTGTAAATCGAAGTTATCGTCATCCGGCGCCGTCGTTGGACGTCGCCAACGAGAAATTGGAATATCGAATAGTTTGTATGACGTGTCGAACAAGAAAAAAGGAGTGTCGAGCGTGAGCGGCCATTACGTGCTACCGCGGGACGGTAATAAACGCTAATAAGATTTCCGTGGAATTATTGGAAATATTGGAGAACTCGTGGCGCGCCGCGACGCTTCGTTTCCCCTGACGTATTTCAGTTATATAGAGACGACTCGCTTGCTGCACTGCCATTAGTTTCGTACAGAAGAGTCACATTACACAGTGGCAGTAATATATATTTACCATCGTAAAACGACACTCTAGGAACTACCGTTGTGCTACGTTAACGTTGAGACTGCAGTTGGGTACCTGGTGAACTTACCTAAGGATTTCCACTACCTGGTACCCTCGTCCTTCTAGTATAACTTACGGATAGTTAATATTACCCAGAGTCAAGATACTAGATAACCTGGTACTATGTGTAACTGGCTCTCGGCCAGTATCCTCGAGGTTCTCCGACATTCTCGTTAGCGAAATACAAAATCATAATATACATATATACATAAATACACACATAAACTCCAAAGGTTTGTTGGAGGGCTTATTACCAATTATACAGTATAGCTTTACCGTGTCACGAATGTTTCAGATGATGGAAACACGCTGAGGGAAGTTACGGGCGGACTCGAGCCTACGAGAATTTTCGAAGGCCTGGAGGGGCAGCAGGTGGAGGAAGAGGAAAGGAAGAGTTTCATCTAGAGAATCAAGCGAATCCTTACAGTATTAGAAGAGGGCATCCGGAAGAAAAAATAAGACTCGATAGCGATAGGTGGCGTGGAGAAAGAAGCCGAAGGGAAGATAAAAAAAGTGGCTGAAACGGGTCCAAAGGGAGTCAAGGATAAGAAAATGTTTTTCACGGCAGACAAGGAGAATCGCGATAATCCTGTTGCGAATGGCAATGATGACCTGGAGGTTAGCAATGGTGGCTGTAAAAGGATCAAGAATATATTCGATTTCGATTGGGCATGTACGTCATCTATCCTGCAGAGGAACTCCTTAGAATCTATGAGAATCCCGTCCGCGAGAACTTACTGACTACCGTATCGCATAACCACGCTGTGTCTTCGTCCTCGAGTGTCGATCGTAACCGCAGCTACAATAATAACAGGAGCAACCTCAGCCTATTCTGCCGTCGTAGAGGAGGTAACGAGGGCAGTAAATTCACTAGAAGACTCTCGGCCCTCGCGGTCAGGAATAATCCCCGTCACGGTCAAGCAGTCGCGACTGATAACAAAAAGAGACACACGAACGAGAGGAACTGTACGATTATGCAAAATAATCGTAGCTCCGCCTCAGACGAGGGTAACAATCCCCTTAAGGATCTCACGCACGCCACCCTCAACGAGCCACTCAAACTTTACAATGGGAACGCTCTCAAGCTGGTACAAACTGGTGGGTATTGTTCTTTTATCTTTTTTTAATTTTCTTTATTCTCTCCCACCCCCTGTCGCCCTACTACCCTTGCATTTAACTCGTTCGCCTCTTTAATATCTCTTTTTTTTTTTACTAACCTTACATTTACTTACGTGTTTTAAGTTTTTTCCTTGTGCTGTTTTTATCTCTGTTTTTTCATTTTGATTAAAAACAAAATGAAGACTCAACCCATGCTCAGCGTTCTATTTTACCTGCAACTGACGCAAACGACCAGCAATGTTATCATCCGGGGCTTCCTTTATCGGTAATTCCGTGTAAGTCACTAATTCTTGTACAACCACCTATCCACCCACCTCCATCCCATATTCTGGCACGACATACGAGACGTGAAAATAAGCCTGGGGCTTTCGCCAAGCTACGATAACTTGTTGCGATACGCTATTACACGTGTGTCGTGCTACGTGTTTTCAGTGAACTATGATCTTTTTTTTTCCCACCCTTTATTTTCATCGCTCTCTCCTTGTCCTGGTTCTTTCACTCTCCTTCTCTCTCTTTCCTCCTGTCCAGCTCCTTACTTCTCGAATGACCCTTTTTTTTTAGTCGTCCCTTGGTAACCACCCTTGAGCCACTACTAGTCGCCGACACTCTCATCACAAAGGCACCTTAGACCCCACGTACATATTTTTACACGTGGTGGTACCGTTCGTGCTGGTACACCTCAGATAAGTCACACTCATCGACTTGCTTGGCGCTACGTGAGAGCCGTCAAAGAAAACCGGAAGTGGTACACGCTGTCGAGGTCATCTGCCAGCTGAAGTCATCAAGTGTACCTGGAAGACCCACAGGCCAAAGTTTCAGTCAAGATCCTGAGGAAAGAGCTATCGCCTCTTTTGCCTGTCAATTCTTCAGCCCTGGACCAGCTCCTGGGACAGCGGAGGTCTGCCAAGAGACAAGGGTCGAGCCACTGACCGTGAAAGGGGTGGAAGACGTTAGAGGGGTTGAAGTGAATGGATGATTGGACGGGAACACGTGATATAAGGAAGATTAATTGTCGGCGGAAGAGACAGGTTCATTTCGATGAAAGATCCTGAGGGGGCTCGTTTACTGCCTTTGGGCTGAATTCAAGAGGGAACGTGACGTCGGGCAAACGTCTGGCTCCTTCATCCTCTGATGTCAAGAGGCTCTGACTCAAAAGTACCAAGCACAAAGTTCAGGAGACTCTTCGTGTTTTCTATCTTCGGTTTTGATCCACGGTCAACTTCAAGACGTCTTTTGTTAAACCTACGTACAGCGGAAACTAACGTGAGCCAAAGTTCTCGACAGCCAAGAGCATCCAAGAAGCATCCCTCTCCTCCAAGTAGCGTCTCCTGATGATACCCCCTGATGCACTTTTACCTAGTTTACAACTAATCAATACTTATTGATAGATTCTGTAGCCCACTCGACTTCTCTATTCTTGCTCCTCACTGGGAAATACCTGGCTACCTGATTCGTCCCGGCATCATTCCCAGCGACAGGTAGTCCCCATGAGAGTATACGGACATAGTCTTTCGTCTCCCTATGGTCATATGCATACATACATATAGCGTGGCAGGTGACATAGGCGCACGAGTGCCAGCGTCAGGGAGTGTCAGAGTAATAGAGTGGTGTGCCCAGGCTGAGAGTAATAGATGTCGATGGGTGCTGGCGAGAAGGATGAAGAGAGTCAAAGAGGGATACAGGTTACAGCTAATGCGGCAGTAATAATTGAATTTGTCACAGTATTTAACGAACAGATATGGAGGTAAAGGTTATATTTAATAAAGCAAGGAGTCTGGTCGCCATGGCAACAACGAGGTGAACAGGCAAGGTATTGATTTACCCCACCTGAATTCAGGTCAACCCCTGACTAAACACCTTTTCCATATTATACGATCTTGCACAAGGTTACATGTATTATGTATATAGGTTATGCCAGATAGCCAGGGGTGGGCAGGTTGGGAATTTGCTCTTTGGAATTTTTTTGATTTTTTTTTTTACTTTTACTTTATTTCTCCTTAATCCTCCGGCGTCTTCATTTTTATCGCGACCTTTGGCTCGGTGTCTTGTGTAAATTTTTCGTCGTGACCTTCAACATTGGAATTCAGGGATTATACAGTTTTTATAGGATCACGTGAAAAGCACTTGAGAACGAAAATGAACTTGGTGGCTGTTTTAATAATAGTTCGGGGGGGAGGTAGGGGTTGAGGGGGGGCAACGATAAGCGGTTTCATTGTTCAGAGGCAGGAGGAATAGTAATGGCTGACGATAACGATCCCCGGGCAATTAAGGGGGCTTTTCACGTGGACGCAGGTGAACTTGCTCGTGCCACGTCCTTAAACTTCTCGGTGAGGCTTTTATAGTTCGGTTGGCTTTTACAGCCCGGTACGACCTGACGGGAGGTTTTTAAAATCGACGACCTCTTTGAACTCGGTTTCGAATTTTTTTTTTAGCCTTGGGCGAGGGGAATGACAGTTCGATGCCCGAGTGGGTTGACGACAATCTCTTGACGTATTGGAAATTCCGGCGGGCTGCTTCAAATTTTGAGGTGAATTTTACGAATCTTGAGAGATCCTTTATCCGGGACTTTCTAGTTTATTGGGAATGAGGTCAGTGACCACGTTACTTTTTTTTAGTCGATGAGTAACGCGATGGACCTTGTCTTACTGTTCTTTTTTAAATTTTATCTCGACGCCTGCCCGGGTAACGAAGGGGCAACGAGGGAAGATATAAATTTGCAAATTAACCTGTAATTATTGTTTATCGTAGAGTTTTATCCTGCTGGTGGCAAAATGTCAAAGTCGCAGCTGTCGCGCTTGCATCGACGATCGGCACTGTTTTTGGCTGTAGTTCAAGTACAACAAGGCTCAAGCACTGTTTGGCTGATCCAGTATAGCGACGGAGCTTTTCAAGGTGTCGTTACAAGGGTACCAACCGGGCGTAAAAAAAAATTATGAAGTTACTCGATAATTTTCCATCCAATCGGTATGGAAGATCGATTGACCAGAAGTGGTAGTTTTGTATTTTTATCAACAATTCAACCTGCCATTTCATTGGCGGTGGATGCAAACCTGCGTAACCACAGTCGAACCTCCGGTTTACGTGGATTTCCGGTTAAATGGCTAATTAAGGGAAAAAGCCACGTTTGTTGGAGAACTGCGAATGCATTCGGCGACCTAAAAAAAAGCAGTACGAAAATATCAAAGTTTCTGAAATCGTGAATAGGTGGGGTGATTTTGCTGTATTGAACAGTAGGTTAAGGGTCGTCGGATCGATGACTATTAGGTATTCATCGATTGGATCTACTTCCATGTAAAGGGAGATGTATAGCTATAGCACGTGTACGTATACCCATCAGACTATTCAAACACGAGATAATGAAACTGTCAAAACCATTCAGCCCTCCTTTATAGAGGAGGTTTCAATCGAATTTTATAGGAAATTAATAGGTCAGCTCTGATCACTCTATATACCGAACTAAACACACCGGATGAGCCTGCGTGACGTTAATTGTCCAGTCAGTCGAGATACCCCTGATAACGAGAGGATCGTTATCCGAACATCAGGACGTTAATTGGTAGGATGGAAGATGAACAAGGGGAAGCGATCTTCAGGATGACGAAAAAAATTTAAAAAAAAATCATTCCCAAACAGCTACAGAAATTTTAAGAGAATCAGATGAATGACTGACAGCTACGAAAATGACGCTGGCACCTAGGTGATTATGAAATTTTTTTTTCAGTATCGGAGTTCGCCCAGGAACTTGGCGGTGCCATGGAAACGCACGCTGCGAACGTCCGACGACTCGTGGACGATTTTCGTGGACGTTCCGGGGAATCACGTGGGGACTCCGGTGGGATGCGCCGTGCCTGGGAAAATCTTCTTCGTCAGGTCGAAGCCGACGCCTCGACTCATCTCGACCTGGCAGCTGTTCTCCAGCAACAGCTCTCCAGACCCACCCTGGAGTCGAGCTTTCACCGTAAGATACAATCAAGGAAGGTCAGAGACTCGATGGTTTGATCATCATTACTTATTACTATGGACCACCTGATTTTCATCTCCATTTAATCTTAGGTCATTGTAATTTATTCCTCCTGGTTTTGCATCCATTTTAGTTAAGGATCGTGCAGCCGTAGAGTGGACGCTTGGATAACTACCCTTTGTATCAGGACTGAAGCTTATAATGCAGGAGATGAAATTGAGTGGAAGAATTAAAATTTAATATCCTCAGAGATTACAGTGAAGGGTTCTTCCTGATCGTGAATTCAGAGACAGCTATTCAATCGTTCGTTCGGTTACTCTTCGGGGTAGGTAGGGTCCAATGGGGATACCTGAATGTCAATTAGGATTTTCGGAGTGAATCTCAGCCATGTGGATTGAATTAGGAAAAGTTTCATCGATTCAATCAAAGCTTTTGAACGTGCCGTGACCCCAATTGGGATTCACGATCTTGCAAATGGGAACGACCTGGTTCGGCATTGGCGTAGGAATAACTGCGTACTCCACACGCCATCCAGCTTCTATCTGTTAAGATGAAAAATTCTAAGAACTCTTGTACCATTAAATGAAACCAGTACACAGTACTTTGAATGGACTTGGCTCGTTGGAAAAATATTTTATGCTGATATATATAGCAAAGGAGAGGGATCCTTAGAATTCCAGAATGCTGTCCCAAGACTCTTGGCCGACTGGACTCTACGAAGTTCGTACATAAAAATGAGCATGGAAGTTTCCAACAAGACGTTGGAAACGTAGTTCACGAGTCAGAAGTCGTTTTTATATGAAAAAGAAAAAAAAACGTACAATTACTCCTTTCTAACCGTATTTTTCTTTTTTTTTTGTCAATTTAGGTATTCTCGCATCGCGAGGCTTACGAGCAGGTGGTGAGCAAGACCGAGGAGAAGCTTCAGCGCGCCAGGATGGATTACAAGCGTGCATACGCGGCGCTCCTGGCGGCCGAAAACGGAACTGATCAGGAGTCCCAGAAACGTGGCTACCTAGAGGCGCATAACAATTACGTCCTACAACTGAGAGCGACCAACGCGATAGCCGAACACTATCAGCTTCATTGCCTGCCAAATCTTCTCGGCGAGATGTCGGAGGTTTACGAGGAGCTGTGCACGCTGGCCTGCAATTGCGTCGCCGGTATATCGGAGGTGGCCAGCGAGCGTTCTAGCGAGCAGGCAAGAAGATACCAGGCGGTGGCCAAGGAGGCTCAATCAGTCACGCCCTTGAATGACCTTCAATTATTGGCCAGGAACCTCCTGCCGACGGCACCGCCGCGCAAACCGCCGCGACGGTTATTCGTACCCCCATCGCCACCCGAACAGGCACCAATCGAGAAAATCAATCAGGTTCCTGCCCTCAGGGATGAATTGGTTCCCACGGGTACCAGTACTCTGCCCATGATGGAAGATCTACGCAGGGAGGCCGACAGTCTCACTCAGGAGATCAGCAGACTTCAGGATTCTCTTGATACCTTGATACGTATGCAACGGAAGTACGTGAGCCTCAACAACTGTTATGGACGATTCGAATGCAGTTGGATCATTTAAAATTGTTTATTTTTATTTATTTATTTTAGGAGCGCCGAGAGTAGCCTATACACAAAAGCTGCTGAATTACAGGAAGATATATCCATGAAGCGTTTTGACCTTGGAGTAGCTCATCTTCATCTGGCTGCAGTACAGGCCCAGGTACATGATCATACATAACGTGACACTGTAATAGATGCTACACCTTATATGGTATACTTAGAAGTTATGAACCCTTGGGAAACGATGACCTGCGGCCCATCAGTAGAGGTAGGAGCCTCGTATCCTGCGGTATGTCAGTCCCTGTATATAAATCATAGTCTTCCTCGAATAATATACTTTGCTGTTGTATCTGGTTCTTCATAAAAGTTTTCCTTCACTCAGGAGAAGTTGGCAAAGTCGTTCGAGTCCCTGGGGATGTAGACCAGAGGGTAGTGACGACATAGACATAGGAAGACTCTGAGCACCCTTAGCAGGGATAATCTACCAGAAAAACGATCCTTGAGGAGCGGAACACTCGAAGTGGTTGCTAGGTAGGAAGGAAGTCAGGGCGGTTAAGATAAAAACCAAAGGAAACTGACACTTGGTAGAGAAATCAGTGGTAGTCTTCTCCAGCACAGCATCCCTGGCCATCTAGTGCAGAAGAAGCTGATGTAACGGCAGCTGGTTCTTCGTGGTATCGGTAGAGGAAAAGAAAAAAGAGACTAAGGGGGGGATTGGTATGGCGGTAAGAGTCAAGACGCGGGGTCACGGAAAAGCGAAGGTAACGCGAATAGACTGGGATTAAAATTAGAATGACGCTTCGATAGCGCCATTGTTTCTCTGTTTTGCTCTGGTGCTTAGAGCCAGACAAGGATAGTCCTATTGCACTTTGCGCGTACGTTGTACATGTACCTGCTGACGTATCGAGTATAGGTTCACCGGCCCTGACTGTGATGTTGCGTGACGCCAGCTACTGGCCTCATTTTACGACTCCAATTGCAAGAGTACGTCTCTAGACAAACGCACGCGTTTCTCTCTCTGTTTATTCATCTCTTTCTCCACTTGCCAATTGGCCAAGAGTCGTTCGAATCCTCATGAATGACGAATCCTCACGGAAACGCACGAGCATTACGTCGCTTTTGTTTTTCTTCGCGCCATTCCCCATGCTGACCTAACCTAAAATCTTGACACTTGGCAGTTGTCCCGCTGGAACGTCCATTACTTCATCCCCCTGGATTAATCGTTGACCTGATAGTAATGGACGTGCATAATTGGCCGGTCCACAGGTTATGGGATGCTGCGGGGGGGAGGGCTGCCGATCTATCGAATTTCCATGTGGCTGGTGGGGGAGTGTAAAGGCGAAATAAATACGGCGCGCGTTCTCAAGGCATGCGCGTTTGCAACTGGGTCATCGGGAGCCGAACGTTCTCTGAAAATCCATCCCAGTAGTGTCTACCTAGGTCAGGAGAGGATTGTCGATATTTTCGACATGGGCTGGACTACTCTGCGTTCTCGTGTCGTTAGTAATGGAATCTAATTAATTCTATTTATTTATTCATATACACGTGTCTGTTAAGTTCGAGATCGTTGCTACGCCTTTGTCTCGAGACTCATCTTCTTTGTTTTTCACTTCTGGTGGATGATACTACTGATCTTATTGAACGGCGGATCCACAGCATCCATCGAGGAGTCTCATTGTCTGGATTGTTCGTTGTCAGCGCGCAGGGATCCTCGAGGAGATTGATTATTCATCGTGTTACGTCACAAGATGCACGTGAATGCACTTTTTTTTCTTTCTTTCATGCTTTACACTCTGTTTTCATTGGTCGATGGAAACGAATTTTTTTTTTTATTTCCACTAAAATTTTACGTAGCTGACGTATATATTCTTTTATAACTTCTCTCTCACCTTATTTTACCGCTTTTACTTCCGATCCAATTATCTCCTGCTGTTCCGTCGCATTAAATTATGTTGGCTTCGCAGTAAATTGTGTTTATATCACACAGGTCAGTCATTCGGAGGAATCCAGGAATCTGACTGTTTCGTGAGTTCCTCCATCATGCAATCACAAATTTTCTACGGGTACAATTTTTCTTTGGGTCGTTCTGTGTTTTAGTCAGAATTAGAGATCCTATAGTGTCCCAGCCGTGTATGTATTACATAGTGATGTCAAAAATGAACGGAAGAAGAAAGACCAAAAGAAAAGGGACGTGGAGGCTTGGTTGTCTCAATGTAATAATTCAGTCCGAATCAATCCTTGGAGGACTAAAATGAACGTAATCGCTGATGAGGACTGCATTTAATCACATATAAACATTTGAAATTTCCAGAAGGAGCTCTTCAGCGGCGGAGAGGCTGGTCAGCCGGATGGTGTAAGCAGTCGAAAGATGTCAAATGGCTCGACCGGAAGTACCAAACACAAATGGCTAAAAGCGTTCAAGAGTCTAAAGACAAGTTCCCCGACTACGCCGCCACCTGTCGACAAGTGAGTAGCTCTGATTGCGTAAGAAGAAAGAGAGGAACAAAAATTAAAGTGCAAACAAATGTATTGGAACCATCCTAAGGAGACCGTCATTTCGAAGCGTTTTGACTAGAAGAATTGAAATGGAAAAAGCTTTTTGACGTTGAATGCTCGACAAACTTTCATTCGTCAGAGTGCTCTTGCTTCCAGTCATCCACAAGTATTGCGTATTGGAATATCTTTTGAAAGAAAAACTCAGGAAAAACAAAGGCTCTCGTTGAAGTAAAGATGCGAGGAAACAAGAGTGAAACAAAAAAGGGAATTGTGCAAAGAGAAACAAAAGTAAACAGTAAAAAAAAAGGATGACTCAAAGCTCGAGCGACAAAGCTAAAAGATGGAAAATTCAAGTTAGGGAAATTTTTGGATGCTCCGTGCCCATTCTTCTTTGTGTACTTTCTTGCTAGTACAATGTGGCTATAAATGAAGCGAATAACGGTCTTTGTTACTCAGACTGCTAGATTAAGTATAAAATAACACTAGCCATTGTTTTTCAAATGTTCGACTAACATAGAAGCAAGCAGACGATGTACCATGCCGTATCGACCGTCGTGGCGTTGTCCAGGTACCTCAAACTAACCTAACCTCACAATAATCTATCTCTCAGACCAGCTTGAAACGGCAATATTGGCTTTGCTTCGTTTCCTGCACATCCCCTAAACAGCAAGTACACCCCTTATCAACAACACGCCAGCCCTTATGCACGACTTGCACAGCAGCCCAAGACTTGCACTGCACTTTCGCGCCACTGCCGTCTCTCCTACTGCCCCCCAGACCCAACCCAACCTCATAACCTTACATCATACCCTAACCAAGCTATGTAATATTTATAGGAAAAATTTGGAGTCCGAGGGTGGACATTCCTGGCGCGAGTACACCTACCGCAAGATCACGCCCTGCGACGCCTGCGGACAGGTACTACGTGGACACAGTCGTCAGGGCTTACGCTGCAGGGGCTGCAAGGCGAACGCTCACGCGGATTGCATTAACCTGGTGCAACCGGCGACCTGTCCCAGTCTCGGTGGAAAACGTGGAGGCGGTATACCTCTTCTACGTAGGCAACGTACCACGGTGCAACCGCCGGAAGACACACCGCAACCGGAACACAGTGAGTATTGCTTTGATTTCCAATGGAAAAGACAAGGCTGAGTGATGAAACCAAAATTAAGAAAAGAAATGAAGTTGAAAAACAAGGGTTGAGAGGGACAGATCATCTTTGTCAGTCCCGATACAATGACTGGGTTCGATTGACTGGATTACCTGTCTCTCTCGACCGTTCTCTACTTCCCTCCTAATCATCAACCTCTATTGATCAACCTCCCCCAATTCCCAAACTCACACTTATGTCTTGATTGGATATTCTCTACACGTAAATCCCTAACAATCCATGTTATACCTTATCACGTCGCTATTGCCATTATCATCACCGTCACCATCAACAATCATCAACGACACTACCGCTATCATCACCACCATCCGTTGTGCTTGCAATCTCAACCCCGTGGCAGACGTCGACGCCATATACCAGGTGCTGAAACAGGCTGGAGAGATCCGAGGAAACTCGACAAGCTCACCACCTACGCCTCCCACAGCAGATCATCCTTCTTCCGGTGCAGCACCTTCGTCAACGAGGACCTCCTCCCAACCCTGTTCCTCGTCCACCTCTGGTAAGCCACCCCCTCGCTGGACTAACATACTAAAAAGAAGAAAAGAAAACAGAGAGATGTCTATTAATCACTGGGACATGACTCGCGTTAGCGCTTCATTATTATCAGTCTAATTATGCTCATAGATAACGATGCTGCTTCTCATTAAGAATGGACCCCTGCCATCCCTTTTATCCACCCTGTATACACGAGGATAACCCGTCATGGATTTCTTGGTCATTTATGGAGACCCTCGTGTGTCGCAGACTCCAATCAGTCGATCACGTCGAAATGGTCCATCCTATTGACTCTTTTGATCATCTTAAAACCTCCCTTGGTCGTCGCTTGACGTTGGGAGTGATAAGTAGATCGACCACGACAGTTTTAACCGTTGATTAAATCGTTTGGACGATCTCACGATGCATCTTGGCCACGGGGCGCCTTTAGCATATTGACGTCAGAGCCTCGTGGACTGCCAGTAACGTCGTTGGAATTTTACTTGCACAATCTCAGTGCACGTGTCGGGACTGTCACATTGTACAAGGTGGTCTTCTTAATCAGGATATCCTTCACGGTGTGGATATATTCATTGTGAGCTAAGGAAAGATTGAAAAGGCAAGAAAATATTTTTAATTTTCAAATGAACTTTTACAAATTTATTTATGCAATTCTTACCTGACTGATTTTATTTATTTTTCTTCTTTCTTTTTCTTTTTCCAAGAACAATTCCACCTGCCAAAGGTCGCAGTTGACTTCTTACACCCTGTGGATTGAATTTCGAATGGCAGACACGTTTGGCAAAAGTGACGTCACTCGGCTTGTCTAGCGGCTGAGAGTCTAATAAAAATTCTTAAGGATCGTGACCTTAGACCTTGGCATTTGGCAGTCGTCGACCTTCTCGCCATCTTGCCAAAATACCAGACTGTCATCTTGAGTCTGTGTCTGTATTTAGAAACAAAAATGTTCTCTCTCTCACTCTCTCTTACTCTATATTTCTGCCTTCGTGCTCTTTGTTACTCTATCTATCTATCTATCCTTGTCGCAGGCGGACGCCATTTCTCCTTCACTCCTCTGTGACCTCTGACCCGTTTGCCAGCCAGGTCTGCGCTCCTCTCACCTCTTGCCTCTCGCGGTGACTAACAAGCCAACAGATCAACGAACAAACAAACAAGCGGCTGCTGCCAACAATCTAACAAGACCTAATCGCGAGCCCGAATCATCGCGTCTAATCGCTTTCTCTAACGTTCAGTCATACCAAATTGATGGTAGAGCAAAATACGATTCGATTGGCTAGGACGTGGTAGCGGTGGATCTACCTCAGGTACACGACCTTTTGGACAACCTCTGGTGCTGATGGCTCGAGAGCCTTCGTCGAGCATCTCGCAGCAGTCATCCTTAAGGCGTAAACGAAGTGCCAACAAGAGACGATGATTGGTCATTGAACTTTTTACGTATTTCGTCATCCTCGTATGCTCTGTCGTCGATCCACGCGAATGATCTGATGACGCGATACAATGCCCGGGAGATCCTGATCGATAGACACGAGTGACAGATCGATGATGACGAGGAGCAGTGCAATTGTTGAACGAACTGGTCCATTGTATCCAAGTAAAGCTTTCGGGATTGGATACTGAGGTCATTGGATGATCCAGATAATGTGCGGTTGAATGATTTGAAATTGTAGGACAATTTTTTATGAATATTTTGCCTGTGTTGGCCACGTGGATCGTGGCCGGGGAACGAATTTAATTTTTGAAAAAAAAAAGTCATTAAACTTTCTAACTTCAATTTTGTCCCCGGATTGTATCGTCGTGAGGGATTATTATTATTATTAGATTGATAAGACGAGTCGATTTTATCGTTTTATTTTGTTGAATGAGAAACTTAATTCTCTATCTTATTTGTATACTTGATGAAAACATGGCCTTTCTCTATTTTCTTTACTTTCATTTGTCGTTACGCGTATACAATTCTGCCGCGATGTGATATTAGACACTGCCGATGTTTTTAGGTTATTGTCATCGATGCTAAGTGCGAAAGATTGATAACGCGATTACGTCGTGTAATTCAGGCACGTAGTGTTGCGTAGTGACGTAACGTATTATTTTGAAATTATTCTCTTGTACGCAATTGGTAGATTCGCGATCGGCAAGTGGGAGAGAATTTCCTTCGACTTATCACCAATGTTTTTCTTCACTTTCTTCCATGATTGCAACTTTTACTTGTAATTTTCCACTTTCTTTTCTCTCTCTCTCTCTCTTCTTCTTCCGTCCTGCTCTGCTGTACGTATCTTCAGCGTATTGGACGTGATCGAAATATCGAGACGAAACGATAAAAATACGTACGAATAACGAAGACGACTTTGAGACGTCATTTGTCTGAAGACGTCTCGAAGTCATCTTTAAGACGTTTATTCGACGTGTGTACCAGCAGGGAGCTTTAAGACGGAAACAAAAGAATTTAAAAAGAAAAGCTGTTAACTCATTATTAAGCGATGTATATATTGTAAATAAAAGAAAGAATGTTATATTTTCTCGAATCCTAAAAATTTGAAATTCATTCAATGTCGCGAGTCGTGTCCCGTGTTATTTTTCGCACTGTCTTTAATTCAAATTTTAAACGATTTTCTTCGAATCGATTTATATCGAATTTTACGAGAAGAAACAATGGCGGATGGTATACTCGACGCTGATATCGAGCGAATTGAATTTTTTCTAAGAATGGGATTCTATATGATATTTATTTATGTAATAATTAAGTATCCCAGTTACGTTACGGTCTTCGTGTCGAATCCAACGATGTCAGCGTCGTGACGCCTCACGGGTTAGTCTAATTTAATAAGTGTCATGGGAAATGAAGCGCCGCACAGCCCACAACGTAGACGCGAGAGGCTCAACCTGAGAATGAAAAGTCTCAGTCTGGATTCACCCGAGGGTTCAACACACGTTCGTCATCGCCCTCGAGATTATTACGCCCCTGGACAAAGAGAGTCGACACCGCCACGACACTCCGACAGCGGCGGCATTAATAGGTTATGTGAGTATTGAGAATCTTACTCGTTGACGTGCCAGAAACTGTTTGTAGCTATGAGAAACTGTCTGACAGCTGTCGGATGGTCTATTAAAAAGTAACATTTTTATTCTGCCAAACTTGATTTCTCAAGGCAATTTAGTCAGTTGGGTCCTAGAAGTAAATTTTGTCATTTTTCAACAATTCTTATATGGTCACTTCCATTATTTTAGCACCCTGCAGTCCTGGACATGGTCACGTGGGTCACAAGCACATACGAAGTGCCATAAGGATGTCCAGCATGGAGCTTCCTGATGAAAATGAGAAATCGTACTCTTCGGCGAGCACCTCCCCGTGTCCTTCGCCACATGCTAACAGTCAGAATCATCTGAATCCGCTTCCGCCTGGAAAACGTGTGCTGCCACCTAACAATCTTTACGTTATTCTCTACAACTTCACCGCCAGACACAGGGACGAATTGGACCTCAAGTAAGTAGTTGATGCACGTAACCCCGACTGTAGGTACAGCAAGAATATTCTAATTAATCATCGTATGATCCAGGGCGGGTTGCAAAGTGACAGTGATCGACAAATCGGATCCTGATTGGTGGAAAGGAAAATGTCTAAGTGGTCGTGCCGGTTATTTTCCCAGTGCATACGTCATGCGCGTCGAATCCGGACAGAAGACATTTCAAGTGACCCGCAATCTACAGCTGTCTGACCAGACTACTCTTCTTCGAGATCAGGTATAGTCTCTTCGTATTCGTCAAATGATCGATTGGGGTTCACGTTAATTATTCCACCAGATCGTCATCCAAGTCGGCGAAGAGGTTGATGGCGTGGCGATGGTCCGTTGCGCCTCCAACGTGAACTCATCCGACCAATCAGATCGAAGCAAGGATGGCGAGAGTCGTTTCAAGGAAACTCTTTGCCCACTGAAGTACCTTCAGGAAGTGTGACAACAAGCTCATCGTGAGAGCCTAAACTCTACGTCGCATCAGCGCTACAGTAACTTCCGTAACAGGCTCTCGTCAAGTCGTCGCACCGTGGAAAAGTATTACGACTGTCTTCAATGCGGCGAACAGTGTCGCCACGTGGTCAACAACAATTGTCGCGTCATGGAGATCAACGCCAAATATCTCATAGCCAGTAGTAACAATCCTATTACGCTGAAGACCCCATTGCGCATCTCTGATTCCCGTTACGGCAATAACGGGGACGTCAGCAGCAACACCAGCTACAGCAACGACCCCGGGGGACGTGGCCTCAGGAATCTTCCTCAGACACCAGCAAAGAAACGCTCCAGTCTCGCGCGACCCGTTCGAGTTCACGATTCGTTCTCTCACAATCAACCGAAATTTATGAATAATTATTCCCAGCAGCCTAACGAGTGTGCCTATAATCATTTCAACGGTACGGAAACGGCCTGGCCCATGCGACTTCGGCTCGAGGAGATGCTCGAGTTGACTTTACCTCAGAGCAAGAGGAACAAACACTCTTTCAAAGACACCGAAAGGTTGCTGAAGGTATTCAGCATAAACAATGTGGACCAAGATAGATATAACGTTAAGCGCTGTTCTATCATGTAGAACGTTTGTTAGCAATATTCCTCTATAGTCTATCGTCTCTATTCTCCATCTTTGTCTGTTGTTGTTTTTATAGCGTTGAGCAATTTTTTATATTATAGAGATTTATCCTATGCGTTATAATATCTATAGAGTGCGGCTCAATCTTTATGTCCAGTATGGGAAAGCTCGTGGCGCCGTATACAGTCGTATTTTGGACTCTGTCGCTGTAACTTGTATATTTTGCGACTTTACGTTCTAGTCATGTTTTTATTATATCGTCTTACGGTGATCAGGTGACTATTTTATTTTTATGATGATTCTAGAGAGAGAGACTAAGCATACTGATGCACGTTTAATGATTGTTGGAGCCTAATGCGGTACCGTCCCAGTCAAATGCAAGCTTTTATAACACGACTCATTATGTTACCTTGAATCTGCCAATATGACGATCGATGACGATTGTATGCGAAAGTAGGGAAAGTATGCTCACTCAACGACAGGGGGACAGTAAAGTACAAAAATCGCTACGGTACTTTTGTGCGTGGTAAAAATTTTTGGAATAATGGACTTTCTCGGACTGCGAACAAAAATTTTGATCCGCATACCTCCGTCTTTTCTCCCTTCCGAATTTCCACGCGTTTACTCAACCACCCTAATCGTTATTGTTCGACGAAGCACCCCACCCTGACGAAAGAAAGAAAAAGGTATAATATAAATAAATTTAAATTAATAAGAAACACAACGCCCGTGCCATTCCTTCCTTCGCGAGTCTTTCAGACGAGATCATCTTTTTTTTTTTTGACACCGATTGTTACGTTCTTCCTTGTTACTTACTATTTGTCGACTTCCGGTAGTTTGGTGACTCGTCACATCCGTTTATTCTGTGTAGCAAACGCAAAGGGGGAGGTTGACGCGGGTGGGTGAAAAACACTGGTAAAAATATTTAGAAATAAAAATTGAATGAATTGTTGTAATGTTTATTATATATACATATATATAACATAATACGAGTGCCCTTCCCTTGTTGAAAACAAATGTCGATGCGACCTATATTGATTCTAGCTATAAGCAATTCCAAGTACCACGCCCAGTATTTTCTAAGTATTAACAGCAAAAGGAAACCGGCATAAAAAATATGAAAAATCTATATAACTTATTGTTGCCCGACTGTTAGCAATATTGTAACCATTTACACGGAATCCATGTGCGTGGGTATCAAAGACTTTAATTGTTTGGAATCACAATCGGGCTAACGAGAATTGGTCAGGTACACCGAAAGCATAGACGACAAGCAGAAAATGGGTTATCTAGGCGCGTTCTTGAGAAAAATTTTGTTACTGACTTCCTTTGTTTCAAGTAGTAACGTTTTAAGAAAGTAAACAAGCATCACCATTAACTGTAACTATAAGCGCCGATTAATAGTCTGTTGTCTTCTTGGACAAAAAAGCGGGATGGAAAAAGAAAAAGCGAAAAAAAAATGGCCGAAGTGTCACGAGTGCCATACACTATCTATAGCGTTTGATATAATCGTTCTAGTCCATTTACATTAAAAATCTTTGGTACACACCTGAGCAAATGTGTTTATTCGAATCATAGACTGCACGAAATATATTATCTAATATATTACAAGATCGTCTTAATTATTTCTTGAATTATCATTATAACATATTACACTGAAATCTCTAAAATTTTAAGCATCTCAGTTTTTAACCCGACGCACCTCTCAATTTTTAATTTCCCCTCGAGCTCAGCTCTCCCACTACACTGCGATTTCCACCAATCAAGGCCGCTATGCGAGTTTCTCCATGCACACCTATCTGTGCGCAATGAAAGGCGCATGCGCAGATACGAAATGGGCGGAGCTTAGAGATGGGGCAATCAAGAGTGGGGACTGAAGGGGAAGTTAAAATTTGAGAGGTAGCACGGTCCCGCTAGTTAAAAAATGAAAGGTTCCACTGTAGTGTTTGATTCCCTAATTATTTTGATCATTGATCATAGTGTTGTCGATCGTTATTGATATTCGGTATAAAAAGTATCTAAAATTACAAGGAGAATAATGATACTTATGGACTACTTTGTAAACAATTATTCACACTCTTCGGGATTAGAGTATCAATAAGGTTTAATGACTAAAATAATACAACACTCGCTGAGTAAATCATTCCTAATTGCCTCTGTAGCAACAATATAAATATTGACTGTTTGACAAGAGTAGGTAATCATTTGATTTAGAAAAAAAAAATATCGATACTTAGAATCTAGTGAGGTGAGTCACTTGGGAATAAAGGTGGCAGAGATGAAGAGAAATGAAAAATATATCGATTGGTAGCAGATTTATTGATCACGCTGTTGATTCGATATGGGTTTCTTTCATGTAAAAGATTTTAAAAATTATAATTAATAACATGATTAAGCCAATATAATTGGGCATTAAACTGTCATTAAAGTGACATGACGAAATGCATATATATATATTATGTCTAAGGAATGAAGAACAAATAGTAAAGAAGTTAAAAAAGGAAAATGACCGTCTGTCAGTTAAAACATAGTTTACAACTTGTATTTGGCTGCTCTGACAATAGGGAATTTGTCACCAGTGCAAATTCCACGGAAATCGTCCAGAGAAATATCGACGATGGCGACACCACCGAGTCCCTTAGCTTTGGCATATGCAGCCTTGTTACCGGCCGTGTCAGGACTCTCATATCCAACCCAGATACCATCGGTGCCGGCGTCAGAATTGTACGGTTCATAGGCGTAGCTACCATACTTTTTAGAAGGATCGTTGACGCGTCTCAAACGACCAACAGCACTTTCGGTCAACCTGGAGCAGACTTCGGCATAGGAGAGGAGTCCTGGAATTCCAGTGTGCGGACCTTCCGCGCCAGGGCCGTCGGTAGTGATTGGAGGAACACCGGATATTTGACTGTCACTCGTGAGCTTCCAGGTACGCGCGAATGTTGGAACTCCTACGACGATTTTGCTGCCAGGAGTACCGTGTTCCAGCCAATACCTGATGTGGAAAGAATTTTCAAAAAATTGTTATGATACTCAAAATTGATTTTATGATACTGTTTTTATCGAGGAAATCAATCTTCTTTTTTTACCTGACTTGGTTGTTGATGTTGTCCTCTTGGACGCGACCGTAACTCTCGTAGATGGGTGCAGGGTAATCGGCTTCCTTGGGATTGCGTTCAGGCGTCTTTTGATCGAAGCTCCAGAGATGGACAGTGTCGATATTGGGAGCCAGTAACCTTGCGTCGTAGTAGACTGAAACGAAAAGGTTTGTTTAAAATAATGATAGTTTGAAAAAAAAATTTTTCATAGTGAAAATTTAATACTGACTACTGGCGTTGACGTGAGGTAGAACAGTAACAGTGACGTCCTTAAATTTAGGCCTTAGAGCTGTTTTGAGGTCACGGACAAGGAGGGTGAATCCGTCACGGTGCTCGACCTCCTTGTCGTCCTTGAACTTTCCATAACCAAAGGTCTTCTTAATTCCGTGCCAGAGAGAACTGAAGGTTCCACGATTCTTCTTTACTTTGACTGTTGGGAATTGCCAAGCCAGGTCGATTCCATCGAATTCGTAATCATTGAAGATCTTTTCCACGGAGTTGATGAATTTCCTTCTGTTCTCGGACGTCTCGGTCTGACATGAAAAAAATTTATTCAATTCTTTTCTACTCTATCATTCTAGGCAATTATTCAAAATTCACTTACCACTAGAAGATACTTATGAGTCGACTCATAGGGATCAGCATTACCACCAACGCTCAGGTACACCTTAAGATCAGGGAAGGATCTCTTCAACTGGGGAACCATTCTGTAGAAGGCATAACCAGCACCGGTATCCAAATTTGGATTCAACGGAACAACTTCGAGAGTATCGGCATTAATTCCAGCGAATCCGTAAACCAGGTGCGTGCAGAGAGACAAAGCTGGACGAAGGTCATCCACTTGGAACTTTCCTGGGCCTTAAGGCAATGCAGACATAATATTATTATTTATCAACTCCTCATGAGTTAAGAGCATCGTATCGATATTAGATTTTGGACAAGTTTGAATTATTAAAAATTTCGTAAATCCAAATCACGTAGTTTGAATAAATATTCCAACTGGTTAAATTTGCCAAGATAAACGAAGTTCGTTGGCAAATTTACGAAAAATAGAAAAAGAGAAAGTTCGAGAATCCAAAATTCAAAGAAAACTTATCATCCTTCTTCCTCGAAATGACCGTAAAATTAATAAATTAACGATAATTTCCGTTTACGTTTTCGACCTAATATCAATAACTGTACAAATAAATAATAAACACGTACCTGATCTTTCGAAGGATGTAGAATTCCAATAGCAAACTACTTTGTTGTGCTCGTGAACATCGACGGCGAACGTCGCGACGCATAGCGCCGCAAAAATCGCGGCAATCAGTAACTTCATCTTGTTTAGTCTAAATGTTGAAAAGAAAAAATGAAACAAATTTTATATTGCACAAAATATTTCTCATCAAAATAATACCAATATAATATAATATTTATTCACTTTATACAGAATGACAAAATATGCCTTAAGCTTGAATTAAATAAATCTGACTTACGTTGCCCGCAGAGAGTAGCAGACTGTTCGAATTGAGCAAATTGCCAGAGACTTTGATACTTCGCCTTGGTCTCCAACTCCAGGAGTCATCAACAATCTCAGTAGGCATAGTGGGGGGAACTGACTTGACTTACGTCATAGAACGCACTACCACTCAAGTCACCGTGTTCATTAGACCACACGAGGCAGTTCTGGACTTCACTGAACGATTCGTAGAAATACCGTTCGAAATAGTCAGCAAACCGTCAATATCCCGATAACCACTCCTATCCTTGTATTTGCTTTGGAGCATTGTGAAAGTCTTAACCGAAGACTCTCTTTTGATCTTTGACATTGGCAAATTAACGAAAGGTCCAAAATGACTCGAAGATTATACAATGCCCATACTGAACAAAAACATTTAGATAGGTTTTAGAAACATTGCTGAATCTTAACGAGCACATTGACAAGTTTCAGCAATATTTCTAAAACATATTTTAATATTTTACGATGTATGGTTGGCGAATATGAAAGGGAGTCAATTATGAGTTAAAAAAAGGATACTTATTAAATTTCACGAAACCGATGCAAATCGATAATTCATTTGTACCATTTGGAGATATTGATAAACAGGTACGGACTCTGTGTGTTTTCTTTCGGAAAAAAAACTGTATGGTATTGTAACTCCCTCTAGAACTTCTATGCTGCTTTCCGAATGTCTTCCGTGTGAATTAGCTGTGCGATAATAAGGCGTCGATCATAACCTCTTCATATTTACTAGTACTGGTGTTGAGGTAGCGAATGACGATTTTGAGTCTGAAAGGATTGATAACGGATTTAGTATTTTCGTAAAACGTTCTAGAACTTTCCAGGCAGTATTCAACGTTTGTATAAGTTTTGTAAATACGTTATAGATGAAAAAAAATGTATATCCAAATGCGATAATATGCGTTTCCCCGAATTTGAATGTAACATGTGGTATGCTTCAATATCCCGGGACAGATGTTATCATTGAATAATTAAAATATGTAATTACGATATACGTCATATTAAATATCCTTTATACACTAAAAACTTACAGTCAAGAAAACTTCCTCACGTTCTCAGTAAAATTATTTTTCTTAATAAATCCACAGACTAGAAGTAATACGAACAACCGTTAAATATTTAAAAACGTAAAATTATCCCGCCATTGAATTAGATAACCTCTTGATCACAATACGTGAAATACGTATTACGCCACAATTATTGACAGACATGAGAGTACACAGATAGTATAATCGAAATTTATAGATCTATAAAAATAATGTATCGACTGAACTGCAACGGTCACGGTCGCGGGAACGGCGACGGTCATAACCTAGAAAAAGGAAATCAAATCGTTAAGGTCAACTTAGAATTTTATCCAACTCAGCATTCCAACACTGTACTACTGACTTTCATTGTTATTCATGATAAATATATTACTGAGAAACACAAAAAAAATAAACCAAACAATTCAAGGATCCCTCGGCACTTTTCCTCGTTGCTTAACAATACACCATTAAGAATTTACTTTTCAGTAATTCTACTCATACGTGCTTTAACCTTAGCTTACGTGCAAATTGCTGAAGCAATATACTTGCTGAATCAAAGACACTTGAATAGACTCGCAACGAGGTATAATTTCCTTCGTTTATCCGCGATGAGATCAGACTCGTTTTTAACAGCCACAATTCGAATTATATTATATTATAAATTATATTCAACCGTTGACACAATTTCACGACGGAAAACAACTCCGGCTTGTCCTTCCGTTCGAAATGGGTTCTTGTGTGTTATACATGATGCGTTTATGGTGCATGTATGTACATATACATAATTAGAAGAAAGATAAATTTCGTCGTTATTCTTATCTCAAGTATTCTTATATATAAAAATGGACCGAGAGCAAGGAAAATATATTGATGTAAATAAGTTTTGTGTTTATATAAATCCATAGAGTCACTACGATAATCACTGAACGAATAGACCAATGTCTTTTTTACTTTTTCCCATAACATAATAAATTACTGGACTTACGTATCTGCCGATGGTAAATGCACGTTGAATTTTTGTGTTGCTAAACACGGGTTTACTTTTACCTTTTCTTCCCATTTGTACCTATCCCTATCGGTAAATAGGACTGCCGGTATAGACAGAGATTTTGAGAGCTTGTTTACATCGTTCAGGCGTATCCTCATGAGTTCTACAGAATATTCAGAGAATGAAGTCTGTATGACGATAACCTATGAACGAAAGTTCACGACATTTAGCGCAAATTAAAAGCTCAATGGTTACAGATTAATTGACTTATTAGAACAGAATAGCGTCATGACTTTTCACTGTTTACATAATATTCCTCATTTAATAGATTAATCCAAAAATTAAGTATATCTTAATAAAATTTAATTTTCCTTTCACACTCAAATTCTTTCCTGAGAGTTCCTTCAAAGATGTCATAATTTTACACAACAAACCATATGAATTTTAGTAACGATCGAGTCTGTCATTAAATAAAAAATATAGCTTGTCCTATTTATTATGAAAAAATATAAAAATCGTTCATGCTTATCAACCGCTTACACATTTGTTGTCTCAAGACGTTCGCATATGAGTCCTCGTATTTATGTATATCAGCTCTGGTGTTCGCCTTGATGTAAATTGTTTCTCAGAAACGAATACGCATGCATGTGATATATACATATTATCACACGTCGTTCGTGTCTCAAATCTGTTACGTAACATGCTCAAGTCTGAATCACGCAGATGCAGAGCAAACGAAAATACTGAAAGTTTCGAAGCATCGAAACTCTCGAACGTATCGAAAATTGACTATAGCACAATTATTAGCTGATATTTAATCAGTTGAATGATATTTGGAAACTTTTTTGTTTTTCGAATTAGTAAACTATAAGAGAAGGAAATTAGAGCAAAATTCGGAATCAAGGTATCTATACATTTTTTTTAACCAACAGTAGGAAATTTCAATTTTTTCAGATTAGTCCAGCTTGACAGATAAGAGCAAATCTTAATTAGTTCAAATGATTCTATCACTGGTAAAGGTCATGTGTCACGCGAGATTGTAGAATAACATTTATTTAAGTGGCAACAGTTGTAAAATATATCTTGGTAGTAGTGAAGAGAGAGAGAGAGAGTGAAAGAGATGAGAAAGAGAGAGAAAGAGGGAAACACACCGTCTAGACTCTTCTGTACCATAGATTAACATTGGTAGACTTACTAGGAATTATAGTCAACCTAAAGAATGATAGTGGAAAATAAAGAACTTTCCAAAATTTAATATCATTTGTAGAATGACAATGTTGACGTATTTGGGGAATCAGTAAATTTCTGTGCAAATAGAAAAACACTTGTGTTCATCCAGAAGCACGTTGAGGAAAAACAAAAAAAAGTTCACTGGAAAACTACCATAACTTCACTCGATGAATTACAAAGGTTATAATATAATATGAGTGTAATAGCATTGTCTTTGTCTTTATTTTAGTACGAAAAGAATGTTATATACAATTGCAATTATTATCTGCACGTATGTAAGTGTAATCTATATTTATATCAAAGTCTGGCTTTCTTTTTTCCAATTCTCTTAACGCATTAAACTTTAATCGTTAACAGAGCCCACCATAATATTCGAAAACGTCAAAATCCAACGTACTGCCTGCACAATAAGAGCACGTTTCACACGATGCTGTTTTGCTGGCAATATGCTGGGATATTTGAGGGGGCGTAGCCGTTTTTTTTGCCATTTGAGCCGATAACACATTTTCTTAGATAAATAATTTATCTACGTGACAAAAATCTAAGCAAAAGAGTTGCAATCACTTCCAGTACATTGCTTATGCGAAAATTAGTCCGAGCTTTCAAAATCACGATCTCACGAAACAAATCAAAAATAAAGCCTACGACAGTACATCGTAAGGTACAAGTGCATTTAAGTTTTGTACGACTTTAACAAAATTAAAGAACCTATCCATACGGTTTGGGAGAATTTTATATCTAGAAAAATACAGTCTATTCATCGTGTTATCTCAAAGGATATAAACTATCTCTAATCATCTGCTCGTCATCAGCACCAAATAGGTACATTATCTCGAATTGCTGAATATATGATTGCGCAATAATCTGAAGGCCTGTTTGTTGATAAAATGATCATTAACAATTAAAAAAAATGAAGGACTAGTACAATTAAAAATTATATTCGATCCTTCCATCGTTATTGCACCTCTCAGTAATTAAATCCGTATCATTAAATTGGTCTCTGAATAGAAAAGAGCTATTTAACCAGTCGATGAAAGTGAAACTTAAAACGATTATGCAAAAGTGCTTCATTCTGCTTCCAGCAATGATCCAATCAGATTGTTTCATCCTGATGCATCTTCAAGTCCTGGGACCATCCCGAGCAATGAACTCTTAGTACCAGTAATCTGTTAGTGTCTAGACAGGCATCTCAGCGGCCAATAACAAAAAGTCCTGAAACGTGAAGAGGATGAAAATTCGTTCAATACCTCTAACTAAATGGACACCCCTGTTACAATCACTATATACAGATACGATTTTAATTCAATTTACTGGGACCTGGTCATTCACTGGTGGAGTCACCCTTCATCCAGAGTCCATATGAATCAGAGTATCTAAGCAGAAGTTTACCTTGGTCAAGGAGACTCTCCTCATTTATGCTTCCCAGCTTTCATATTATCATTGTCGTAATCAGCCCGATCGTCTTCCTCTAAGATAACAATGACCCAGAGATAAAAAGACAAAATTAGGATATAAATAATAAAAGAAAATCTCAAGTACAGTACACACCCTCAGCTTCGTCTTCACCTTCCTCGATCCCAAGATCATTATTTTTCTGCTGTACATCTTTCTCATAGTCACCACCGTCGTACTGATAATCAGCGGCATCACCTGCTTCTGGATTTCCGTCAGGTTCGAATCTGATAAAAAAAATATATTGATATAGTGATAAATAAAAATATATTTATTTCAATTATCTACCAATCATAATTACCCGGGTATCTTGTCAAGATGATTTGGCTCGTCTCCAACTTCTTGGACGCCGTGTCTCACCTTTGGCCATACCCAATTTTCTGGTCGTTCGACAATTGGTTCCCCAGGATTTCTTTGCAATGATTCCAAATTTATGTCGTTCTTATTATTGTCTTTGCTACCAGCCTCGGCTGGCTTTGCTTTTGAATGCTGATTCACTTCAGTATCCTCGTTTGGCTGTTTGATGTTGCTACTGATCTTGCTTGTTCTCTTTTCATCGAGACCATCCTCATTTTCCAATTTGGGATCGTTTATCCTGAGTATAGGTGGTACGCCTTCCGGTAATCGATTTGATCTTGCTGGCAGAGACTTGGTACCGGAAATGACTGCTGAACTGCTGGTGGCTCTTGTTGTGTTGTCATATTTCCCTGGACTAGCAGATTTTTCCACAGTGCTGGCTATACTCTGTAAACATTTTATGAGAATCTTGTAATGTAAATTTTCATTGACAAGTACAAATTTTTATCTCTCTTCTAGAATCAAGAACGTCAATACTTATTTTCTATTGTGAATTATTTTGATTGCCACATCCGGTCTACTTTCTCTCTATAAACATTAATAACGAATACTGCCATCAACCCATTCTCTTATTACAGATTTCAATACAACAGAATATTCCTTTAGCTTAAAGTCAACGGAAAGACACTATAGTCAGAGATTAATTATCAAAACCAAGTATACAGTATACTAAACGCCATATACTGCAGTAAGAAAAATTAACACAAGAAAAACAAGAAAACAATATAAAAGCATGCATCGTTATTAACGCAAATTTGCAAGAGAGCTTTTTCGAGCGTGAACAGTGAATTATTTGAGAAGAAAGAAAAATGCAAGAATCCAAGAGAATGGCAGTAACAAAGATAATCGTCTGTACAATTAACTTGTGAATTCTATGGATCAGAAAGAAAAAGAAAAAAAAAAGAAAGAAGCTGTTTTAAATAATACTCCCCAAGGAGAATCTTCTTCTGTGATTTTTTTTTGAAAATTTCACAGGAGTGAAATTGAGAAAATTTTATACTCTAGAATACAAAAAAGCAAAATTATTTCTTTCATCCTTTCTATCTCATTTTTACTCGTTAATCAGGTACGAGGGTGCAAGTAAAAAATGCAAGCGTAAAAATAATAACAGTTTTATTAATTTTTTAAGTAACACAGAGAGTACAGGCACATTCAAGGCGACGTACGGCCCTTAAATACGTATAGTCACATGTAGTCTAATAAAATAAACGCTCGCGACTTTACCACGTACGTCGACGGAAACGTTCATTTGTTTAATTCTTTATTTTCGCCCTTTTTATCCACTTTTTTTCCCCACCTTTAACTATAGCAATTGTACCGTGAAATAACACCGTATGGGCTACATCGAGATTCGTGGCCTGGACGGATAATATTGCACGTCTCATGCTCGTCATGTATACATACATCATTGCTGCAGAACATAATAATTAGATTTAGTAAAGAATCTAAATGCATTTTCAACATTTTATTTACAATTTTTTGTCCCGACCTTTTTAACGACAACCTTAATCCCCATTGTAGATATCCCTCGTTAAGTTTCAATTTCAATTCGCGCAACGTTATAAAAAAATTTACTGGCACGTGACGCAACATTGAATTTTTCAGAATCCACGTAAACGAAAAATTGAATAAAAGAAATTGCGGCAAATAAATTTATCTTGAGAGACGCAAGAAATATGTGATTGCGTCTTACGAATTCGCACAGTGGGAATAATAAATTTGAAAGTTTGCTACTGCGAAACGAGTCTGTACGTTATTATTTGACCAGGTTATATTAATTTTTAATGTAAAAATTTTAAATAATTTTATCAATACAAATTTTATTTTCATTTTTTTTTTGGCTAATGCATAAGACGCTTTCACGTGTTTCAGTGGGTTATGATTAAAAAGAATAATAATTCAATTCCCTAAGTGTACTTGACTAAATGCAATACGTTACTACTGATACTGATTTTGCTCGACAGAGCGCGCTGCCGTCTTTCGACAGTACCGGCAGATTGAAGATTTATTATCTTTATCGACTACACTGGTCCCAATATTTTATTTACAAAGAAGGAACCGTGCACTGGGACTGTTTCAGGATTACTTTATAATTTCGTACACGTTCTGACAGTGGTTTTACTTTGAAATATCAGAAGGAAGAATTTTTCCCCACATTCATCTGTCCTACAACTAAATCTTCTGTTGACCACAGCTTGACTTGATATTTCGATGAAAGTTTAATTTAAAACAACAAAAACCGTCGTTTAATTTCCATAACAACTGTGTCGATCTTTCGACACAAGTAAAGTTATACTTTCATTGAAATAACAAGCATTATAAAATTGTTTCTTGTAAATACTGAGACATGCAGCTCTACGTTTATTAGACAGAAAAGATCACAAAAGCATATAAAGAGTGATACTGTCCCAATGTGAGTTCAATTACATATAATACAGAATAAAAAAGGAAAAATATAAGTTATATAAATGCAAAGAATGTCCCTGCACCAAGAAAGTTTTGAGTATCAATCAACAACATGTTACTTTCCTGAGCCCATAAATAAAAGTACTAGAGAGACAAATACAACAGAGAACTGACAAATATAATAGTACAGTGGACAAAAAGATAAATCAAAGTCGGTGATATAAAGATAAAAAACAGGAAATGCTATCAATAATAAATTTGACTTCTCAGAGTTAGAATCCGACTTCGGCCTTGTGTCCAAAAAAGCAAAGTAACCAAAGTGACAAAATAATCTATAGAAATAAAAGCCATCTAGCGATTGATTATTATTTATAAATATTTTATCACAAAAGCATCTCCCCTCCTGGCTTATCATTTCCCTTCTCCCCCTCTGAATCTCAAAGATTGTCAGCAAGATCTTGAAGTGCAAATGGTGGTATGAAATCATTTTGTCGATTAGCTGCTTGTACCGAAGGCAAAGAAGAGGACTTGTTGTCGTTAGGATTTTGCAGTACGTTATTATTGTTATTAGAATTGGGAGGTGGCAGCACCTGTTTCGGCGTTTCATCCTGATTAACTACTACGCCATCGACTTGCTTAACGACAGCTAGAAGATTGCTTTGTTTCCCATCAGGATTCTCATGGTGTTTCTCTTGAAAGTCATAAGGAAGAGGGAGAAAATTTGGTTGGTCTTTAAGATCGTTCGGACCAACGGGCACGATATCGCCATTTTTATTCTGTGCGAATCTTACGTCGCTCATTTGTTCATTCGGATCCTCGTTTCTCTCAATCACGTTCTGATCGCCCTCGGCGATTGGCTGATGGTCGCGAGGCGCCTGAATTGGCGATGGATTTTCACCCCCGTTGCTTGGACGACTTACCTCTTGCCGACCAGCAGGTGGTTCATGATTTTTTTGTGCTTCCAATTTAGCCAGGTGATGTGATTCCTGATGATGTGGCTCCATCTGCTGGGACGACTTTATACTCGCTGCGCTCGGCAAGACGCCGCTGGATTTACAGGATTTCTGAAAAGCAACACCATAATTTATAAAAATCGTAACAAATAGACAATACTGAGAATTACCATGACAACAGAAATTTCATCTCACGATAGCAATCAACTATTTTGCTGGACTTCTCGTAAAAAAACGTTCACGAGTACGACTTCGATAGTCATTTTGATTAAATATAAGTTGATAAAGAAATAATAAATACAAATAAATATACCTGAGCTTCTACGAGTTCACGTTTCAACTGGAATACCTCCTTCTTGAGATGCTCCATCTCGCTGGCCGAATTAGCAGTGCTCTTCTTTAGTTCGCTATACTTTTCTTCCAACTGACTCTTCTCAGTCTCCAATTCCAAATGTTTATTCTTCAAGTGCTCCAGAGACTTCACCTTATCCTCACGAGCATTAAGAAGCTGACCTTTCAGATCCTTCACCGTACTTTCCAACTTGTTAATATCCTCCAGAGCCTGCTTCCGCTTATTACTACACTCTTCCTGAAGATCCTGTTTTTCAGTTTGTAACATCTTATAGGTCTGCTGAAGTGAATTGAAGCGTTGAAGGGCTTCCATGCTGTCCTTGTCCCTCAATGTTTTCTCCCTGGAAGCTCTATGCTGAAGTTCCTGTTTGATAGCTAGATTAGAGCTTTTCTCGTCAGCCAGACTCTTCTCCAACTGAACTTTGTATTCGAAGATGACTGTAAAATAAAGTAAAATAAAATAAATAAAGTATATGAATAAAACATTGCTATTCTTACCAAAGGAATTTGGATGGTCTTATTTATTATTCTTTCTTTCTTACACAGTTTTAAGAATACTAACCGTGAAGCTGAGCAGCCAGGGCCTCCTGCTGTTTGCTACACTGCATATTCAATTCGCGAAGTCTGGCCATCTCCGAGGTGGCAGCACGATATAGGAACACCAGGAGTAGCAGAACTACACCGCCACCGCCGTAGACGGCCAGTCGGCCACCACGGCCACGGCCCAGCCGAGAGCCGTTCATCTCTGAAACAAAAAATGGCAAACACCAGTCAGCACGGAATTCTAGATGCTCAAGACCCTGTGAAGCTAAAGAAGGTCAAGAGGTTTAACTTTCGATGGGAAAGTAACTACGCTAACATAGCATAACAATCTGTGTACTCTGGTGACCAGAGCTGTTACGGCTCATAACTAAGTATAGAATTCTTAATTGAAATCACATTTACCATAAATATTTTGTAACAATTTCAATTTCTTTAATAATTTCTTTCAATATTTTTTTAAGTATCCTGTAAAATTAAAAAATATTCTTTTGCCTTTTGTACATTTTTTTTCTCTAAACAATCGATTTGAGAACCTCTAAGGGACATGATTACAAGAGGCTTTACAAAGATGAATGCTGAATAAAATTCGACAGGAATCGACTACAGGCGTCTACATATATATTTTATATATATAACATTCACACAGAACAAGGTCAGCGAGAATTCATAATTATACTACGATGCTATCAAGGATTACCAATTCAAAGTGTTCACAGAGACAATGCACTATGACTTCGTGTACACGAATTATGTAGAAACCTGCGCCTTACACAGAAGCACCTTTACACATGACCGGAAGTCAAGTGCACTTGAGAAATGCATAGTTGCTCAGATGAGAGAATAAAGACAGCTTTCATTTTTGCTAGGCAAAAAGAACTTAGGAAATATCTCATCAACGAACTTTAATTACAACTTTTTTTCCAATCTCAAAAATTTGGAATAAAATAATTTCCATATAAATAAAAAAAAACCATGTATAACGAATCGCCATGTTACAAATTTTTTAAACAGCCAGGATCCAAAAAAATACAAAGCCCTGAGCTTAAAAATCAAATAAAAGAGTTTAATCCACCATGACAGTCTGCACAGGATGATTTTTTTCGTAATCTTTGATCGTAATTATATTAGAAATTATTTCCCTCAAAGAGATTACATCTCTCTTAAAGAATTAAAGAAACTTTTTTCCTTTTCCCTTCCCCCTGGTAAATAACGAACAATTTTGGAACAGACACTCTGAAAACATGACGTGGTGATAGGAGAGTGGAATCGAAGAAATTCATTTGACTCTGAACGTTGTGACATCTAGCGGACAAGATGGTAACTAAGTCTATATAATTTCGAGAACCACGCACGAAATATAATAAAAGACAATTATCATTCCTGAGGGATCGATCTGTTGATATAAATAAATGTCGAATATCAAAATACATCGATACATCAAGATATCGATACGGAAAAAAGATATATTTTAATCGCACGAAACTGACATGAGTAACAAAATTTTTAACACGACAAAAAGATGAGATATGGTCTTTATTGTCAAGATGTTCCACAACGTATTGAAGAAATTAATTGAATAGCCAAAGACTGATAAAATTTACTAAGGATTAAGATTAGATTACTTAAGATTCGCTTTGCTGGTTACGTCGTATAGGAATTAGTAGCATAATAGAAGTCTGGAAGGCAGGTTTAGTTTTGAGGAAAAAGAAAAACAGAAAAATATATATCTATAACTCAAAACGTCATATGTATACACAGTTACGAGTCAATATTCAATGCACCGACCATACGCAGAAAAGCTAATTTAAATGGTAATCAGAAAACAGAAATATTTACAGTGAAGAACTAAATAAACTTGGTATGATAATGATAGTAATGAAAGCCACTAATCATTTGGCTGATACGTTCTTATAAATTATGGAGGATCTAATCGACTTTTAATAAATAATAAATAAATCTAGCACGACTTTCATTCCTAATACAGAAGTTAAAGGAATAACGAGAGCGTGACAACCACGATGTTGACGTCATCAACAGTCGTGCTACAGCAGACACTCAACTGACTATCGGCGGGTATTTTAAATTTTCAAATTAAAAAATGTATCATTGCACTTATAAAAGAACTTTTCTCTGCTTGTTGCAATTACTATTTATAAGATTACGATGAAGCAGTGCAATGTCCACATATATACGCTATATTATATTGTAGACAGTCCAATAAAAAAAATATAAATGACCTGGCTGGTTATATTGAACTGGCTGCTTCCGGTTTAGCGAATTTATAAAGATTTCCGTAAAGCCTTGATATAATCGAATCCAGTACCAATGACAGTGGGGGGGGGTCTTTGCTTAGCAGCTGGAGTTGAGTTCACTGACATTTCCGAGCACGCGCGTATCCTACCACATGAAATGGCTACGTGTATATATACTGGTTATATTAACATCTGTTAATATATATATATATATATATTGCGTGAGATTTCCTATAAGCACGCGAGACTGCTAGTTCTTGTGTACAGGTGAAAATCACATGGGTATCTTAGATGTTCTCTACTGTAGACAGAAAAAGAGAAATTGATAAGGTAAAATAATAATAGGAAAAAAAGTAGAACCAGAAAAGGCAGAATAGAAGAAGAGTAGAGTGATTTGACAATAAAAGTATTGAGATATGAAAAGAAAAATTGTTTTAGACATATGAATTAGCTGCAACTACACAAAATTCATAGCATGCATCGAATCGTAAACGATAACGTGACTATAAGTGGAGATTAAAATAATTCCTGTGTGTCTGGCGCCAGTACTTACATTCAGAAAGAATTGCCACGTATCTCTGGCATATAGAGATAGAGGTATAAAAAGGAAAAATTATTAACTGTTCTCAAGTTTAAGAACATGTCCCACCGTGTGCGTGGCAGTTGGCAGACACTCTGGCACCGTTTAACCTCGCTGATCCGAAGAAGGAGCGTCTAACATGCAAGAATTCTAATAAGCCAATTCAGCAATGAGTAAAGCAGCACTTTCACGAGACGATATTTCATTCTGTTTCATTCTTGCCGTACGTTCACTCTAAGCTCATACGTGGCTACAGGTTACAATGGCAATAACAGTACCGCTACTATTGAGGTTACACGGCTTACGTCTGTAGTACAATAAATCATTATCAATATTTTAATAATAAACATATGCAACGATTGCGAATATTTTTTTAAACTGTGATTGAATCTTTAAATTGATAATACATAAAATGTCACGCATGTCAGTAAAGATTTAAAGCTGTACCTCGTGGAAGATCTGTCCTCTCAGCTACTCATAGTCGATTTCTCTCCTCGTTCTCTTCCTTTGGGAATAACGAAGTGAATACACAGAATCACACCACGTCGCGACGCTTTCCTTTTGTTCTCAGGAACGTCGTCGTCGGGTTTAGTAACTCAGTAAAATATTTAACTTGGATCCGATACTCCGTCGTGTCGAATCGTGTCAGCAGGACGCGCGAACGTCAGGTTAGGAACGCTGGTACGCGGATTCGTGTTGTCTACGAGTCGGCGCGGTCGACGCATAACCCTGACGGCTAAAGGATCACGTATCACCCACCACTCGGAGGAGTACAGAGACGCTTTGGAACTATAAACTCCCTTTCCAACTATCCAGTGATCTACGTCGAACGTCTTCCCACTTGCAGGTACTAAACTGAATAGATGCGGATAGCCAATCGGTGAAGCCGCCATTTTGCTTCGGCCAATCAGATACGAGCAGGGTGCCAACATTGTCGAAACATCTCTACGTCTCGCAGTGACTCTCATTCTCTGTATATTTCTGCAGATAATCGTGATCGTGGAAAATCTGGGCGGAACATTGAATTCTTTTTATTGGGATTCTGTATTGGTTGGGTTACTTTCTCTGCAGAAGGTGAACGGGCTCTTCTCTCTTTCTTAACGGAACATAGTTGACTGTATTGATATATGCTGATCCTCATGTAAGGGTTGCTAGTACATATCTGTGATCATCAGCATCTTATTTTTGTGTGTATAATTACAGTAATGATGAAGGTTTTCTTTTTTTTCTTAGTGTAATTGTACACGGTTTGTTACTGTTTATCTGGGAATGGTGTTTGTTCAACAAATTTGATATGAATGAAGTTCTTGTTTTTCTCATTGGGGACTCTATACTGAATCGACTGAGAATATGAATGGAGTAATGAATATGGATACATATAAATTTCGGCCAAGACTGTGATAAATGATTTTTTAACTATACGCTATGAAATTACAGACTGCCGCGTTAAAGAAATAGTTTCAAACGAGGTTATTTTACTGGTTATCAGCACCAGGGTCTCTTTACTCGTCTGATCTTACCTAGTTGTGTGGTATTGCAAGCAGTAGGGAATTTTATCGTTTGCCCATGGTTTAAATAACAGTTCGCCGCAGCTGCTGTAGTTTCTACTCCTTGAGTTGGTGCATATGTGCATATTTATATGCATTTAGTTTTCCTGAGAGGCTCTGGAGGACGTTATAGTCTTTATAAATGTCCAAAACCACTAACCACCTTTTCAGATCATATAACCAAGGCGTTCAAACACATTCGATGGAAAACAGTGATTCTCAATTGGTGTAAAGAGGGACCAAGTACTGATAAGTATATCTATCTTATCGATGGTCGTGATAATAATTTTGTTAAAAGAATCTAGAATAAATTACCATACAAGATAAGGATGTGGCAAGGAATTTTACCTTGATACAAATTTAATTTAGTGTCCATGTTCTACTTTACTTCCAAATTAGGTATAGATCCTGCACTTTAAACTGTAATGTTAATGTATTCATACAGAGTAGGTATTCTCCACGGTATGACCCTATTTTATGTGATATGAACATTTAACCCCAAGACCTGAATATTCAATGAGCACGTGTGCTCCCTCGTGACACGTGTTAAGTAAACATTGTAAAATGGATCAAGAGTGGAAGAATATTAATTTCGTATGTTAACATAATTAATGAAAAAATGTCTTGAAATCCAAAAAATATTCATACACGCGATCATCCATCATTACCAATAACTGACTAACGCCTAAATTCAAAATAATCTAAAACACTTTGTAACCCTTAGAAAACATTTGAAGAGTATCAACTTAAAGTCGTGATTCAATTGCAGAAGTGACCCTGTTCCCCAATAAGCAAATTGGGACGGATTTCATATCTTCTCAGGAGAAACTTGAAGCTACCTCAAGCGACATCAGAGCGATCGATTTGAAGCGCTTAACGTTGAGGGTGCAGGCGTCGTCGAGTTGGCCAGGAATCATCGAAATCTGGAAAAAAAAAATTTGAATTTCACCAAGAATCCTGATGTCTGATAGTGTTAGGGTAAATCCCATAGCAGCAAAGTCCAGTAAAGTCTTGAATGTCCATATGAGGTTCAAAACCTAGTACTTCAAGTTGTAGGGAATTTCGATCCTCATCACGAGGAAGGTTGGCAAGCCTGTCCTCTCGCGGGGCACGGCTCCGCTTGCTTCGGGCGCTCAGTCAGGAAACTCGACTGCATCGAAGCACTACAGAAGCAAAATCACGAGCTGGCCATTACGGTACCGTCGATCCGTTAAGCGGAATAGTGTGAGCCACCAATTTGAACTATCCGGGATCTCTAATTGGCCAGAAAAAATAAGAGAACAGTCAGTCAATCCTGTATTGAAACCTAATCGAGACTCGGTGGAGGCGAAGTTACTTGCGTGCGCGGTCTCAGTCTTCCGCACTCCCGTATTTCCTTTTGTAGATACTGACTTTTTAGTGTATTTCTGGACCTGGAAGACTCATGGATCGGGGGATCGGTTCGGATTGATCTCTCTAGATCATTACTGTGTTAAATCTGCGAGTCTTCGCTGTATATATTGTATCTCGTATGTCACCTGCGAATGGTCTACTCGCGTATTTCCCAGCAGATAATCGGCTGAGGGAAAATCATTCTCGTTACGGCCGCCTTGTTGTTAGCGACAATGTGTCCAGGGTTTAGACGTTAACTTGCATTTCCGCCCCCCGGAAAGGCCGTGGTGACAGTGATGAGTGGTTGGTTAGTGGTGCTAGTAGCCGTGGACGGACGACTACATGACTGTGACCGTGACTGTGCCGCGGAGGGCTGCTACGTGTTTCTACACCGTCGCGCTAAACATGCCGTGAGTACCAGCCTTATTGCTTTTTAATCTTAAACTTATACATTTAATATCTTCTTGTGATATCGTAGAAGGTGGCTTTGGAGTATATCACGTTTAAAGCTATCCTTGCAGTATCCATAATGTTCTTGGACTATTGACATATTCAAGATGTTTACCAATTGATTGATTGTCCGAGACTCGGATGAAATTGGGTCGAAAAAATTCAAATTCGATAATTCACGGTTGAGAGTCCCTGGTTGCTCATGTACTCCTCGACCGAGAGCCATGGAATGGTCCACTGGACGCGTGCGTTTTAAGTACCAAGATTTCTTCTTCACCAGAATTTTCAACGCATTCGAGGATTCCTTATTGGGAAAATCCCGTTTGGATTTTATGCTTATGTGTACTGGGTTATTATCATATGTAATCAGTGCTGTTACTGGCTAATTATTCCGAACAAGAGGATATTGTATGTATTATTAATCGTTGGAGGCTACGTATTGGAACTTGCTATGGTAATATTGAGAACCGTCGACGTGTCCAGCAGCGCAGTTCGGAGAGCGCATAGATTAAAGCTCGTTACGTTAGACGAAATTAAGTGTCTGTCTTTCTTCTGTTGGTCTGTATCAAAGGGAGATTAGAATTCAATGAAAATTGGCTATTGAAATGGAAAGACAAAAGAGTAAGGACATAAGCTCTATCTTAGACATATGTTACGCGTACGTGCCAGTTCACACGTATGCGTACGAAAATTATGCTGAAGACGTTATGCGACTCTGGTAGTATGTTATCTGACTATAGAAAAATTATTAAAGCTGCCTGCCACTGATATCTAATTTCGTGGCAATTTTGATTCAACTAGCAACACATTTGCCGCCTCCATTATGGAACCCTGGAAAACGGGTGCCATTCTTTGATTCTTTTACACATTGAGAACCACTGTTTATTTCTACATCTGCATTAGGACGTGGACAGGAATGAATTCTTTTTCTGTGATGATTACCTGCAAGGAATGATTTATTCTAGGTATATTCTACTCTCTTCCATTTTACAATATACGATAAGATTGTAAGTAAAGGCTATGGTAAATGATTTAGTATCTCTCGAGTTTCCCGGAGACACAATAAACAAGCATTTGTTTCTCTTAGGCCTTAAAGAGTGCGGTTTTATATTTCAAGATTGAGAACCACTGTGATTCCATGGTAGGAATTAAGAATCCGTTGTGGCATCGGGGATGTATTAACCCCCGGATTATCCGAGTAGGTACAAACTGTACCTACCCCTGTTCTCTCTCGCTTCGCTTTAATCAGACAAACGACTAATCTTACCTTTTCTTTTTTCTGTTTAACATCTACGGTATACGTTGATTTTTATTATTATTTTTTTACTTAAAAACCGATCGTCCGCCTGGCGACTGCGTTCCTTGAAAGAACTTTTAAAGAGAAAGTCTCGCTCCTTTGAGAGATACAAGACGCAGGAGAAGTCTGAAATTATGTTTGCCTAAATGACAAGTACTTTTTCTTTGTTTCCCAACTCAACGCGTGTCAGCATTACCTCAATTAATCCCAGCGTAACAAAGGGTTCAATGAAATTAGGAAAAATGAGCAACTGCTAAACGCTATTCATTTTTTCTTCAAATTGATTTTTCGAACCCTTTTTACCTTCCCTCCAATTCTTTTCTTCGCTCCATATAGATATTCAAGCATGTAATAACCTTATAGCTACTTATACTCGTTCATTAACTTAATTCGAATGAATGACGGCGTAGCGAAGCAAAGATCGATCGAATTTCACCAGGGCTGCAGCTCGTGAAGAAATACAGCTACCTATTACGGTCTCCGTTTATTTCCGTCTAAGCGTCGTTTCTGCTTCATGCTGTAAACTGCCTTGATGCCGTTAAGTATTTGTCCCAGCGAGTGTTATCGTTACTGTTCAACGTCCACTGCCCTTCAGAAATCCGATCCCCCCCCCCGCCCCAATTTATTTTACCCTTGCCATTTACCTAACCATTACAGCCCTTAGTAGTCAGTCAGTAAAATTAGATACCATAATACAGTAACGTCGTATCCTCATGTAAGCGAATATTGCCTATGAAATTGATCGTCATTATTTTATAACGATTAATAAAGATCATAGATTAATTACATAACAAACGAGTATCTTTACATTTAATTATTGGACTAAATGAATTTAGGTCGCGTTTCCATAAATATATTATTCGTTCAATGAATCGAAAGCGTTAATCGTGACATTTGAAAAGATACGATACCTGCACTCTTCGCAATGAAATTCCACGGTGTATCGCGCCGTGTAAGTGGGTCATAGTGCCCAGTGTAAAAGCTTAAGGCGCACCGCAATTTTGCGGCAGTACGAACATTACGGTCGTATCGCCATCGTACGTTAGCGACTGTTTAGCTGTTATGCATTATACGGCAGATAAATCGTCTTTTGTGTAGCAAGGGGCCTTGTGACGTGTTGTCGCTGGATGTGCATAAAGCTTAAGGATTCTCGGTCGTGTCCATCTGTATCGTATAATATAGTAAAGATTTATAACAGCGTCCATCAAAAACTATACTAACGGCAGTTTTAATTTAGCGACAGTACCTTAAGTACCTATGTCAATATTTAAAACCAGGTAAGAATCCAAACGGTATTTTCATTTGGCAGAGAAAAGTAAGCGACGGCACTGCCACTCCCACTCTGCTTGCCGGCGAGTACACAAAGTAATGCCCAGGATAAGAAGGAAAAAAAAAAGTAAAAGCTTTTACTTTTTCTAGGCTCTCTGTATGTACGAGTACAGTCATCCTCTCGTGTCCTGTTTCTGTTTTCTATTTCCATTTAGTCGCGCTAGATTTTACTTCGATCAGTTCTGGCGAAGGCGGCAGGCAGGTATTAGTATCGCTGGAGGATTTTAAGCGACCCGAAAAGGGAGCGTTCTCACGACGCGACCAATGCGACGGATAGATCGGACCACTCTCTTGTAGCGAATCGACTTATCGCCTCTGGAACCTCGACGCATAAATATCCATGAGAGCGACTTAAGTGTGACCATTGACCACGGTATTATCACGTATGATTATTCACTTCTCCCTTTTATTTTCTCACCGTCTCTTTCTCTCTTGGAAAGTCGTTAGTCTCGAGCTGCCATTCGAGCAGCAGACGACACGAGAATTCGGCTTGAAGAAGAGGAACTCGAGTATTTCTCTTCTTTGTGCTTTGATAGTACTCACTTCCCTTCTTTTCACAATCTTTTTTTTTCCCCACTCTTTCTTTGTCGCTCGTTTGACCTTTCTCGATGAATTACGCGTGCGCCTTTACCAACAGCAGATTCAGCTTGAATTCTTCGCTATCCGGTGACATCGCGTTGTATTATGACGCGTCAACGATCTCTGATCGATATTTCTATATTTTAACAAGGAGAGTCCTCAGTCGTTATCTCACTAACAAAAAAAATCGCCTGGAGACTCGGACTCTAATAAAGCACGTTGATTAATCTCCAACGTGAAGTCCTCTGCTAATGCATCAAAGCTATTAGCGTCGTACACGAAATTCACTAGCGCAAATGGCGGACCGTCATGGCAGCTCGGAATCGTACGTCGAAATCTCCCTCAGGAATTCGTCGTTGGGACGGTATCGTATCCCACATAACTATCCTTGCTTTCTATTTATAGGAAATCATTATTCCGTAAGGAAGATGAAAAATGTCTATTGATTTCTCATACAGTCTTCGACAGTCCTACGTATATCCGTTTGAATTTTCGAATCGAAAATGTCTCCGGCTAACGGCAAATCTTCAAACAAAGAAACAAGATCGTTGCGACAGTTGCTGATGATAACGCTAAAGGAAGCTTCGGTTGCACAAGCGCCACTTGGTTCTCTAAGGAATAAAATAAAGAAAGAGACAAATTGATATACGTTCACGGAGTGTGCCGCGGCAGCTACACTTTTATTGAGGTGCAACGCCCTGCCGCACCGTGGCGCCCCTCGTCTCTTTCATCCTCGCCACTGCCCCCTCCGCCGTCTCTCCCACCAACCCCCCTGCCCCCACATACCGACAATCCAACCACTCACGACTCTCTTTTTCGTCCCTCGCGCTTGGAACGTCGAATTTTCCTAAAGGAATTAACCTTGGTTATTAGACTCGTCGTGCAGTTGGACGGTAAGACACGTGGACGTTACTGCTTTTCTCTTAATAGAGAAGTTCACCTCTAGATGTCACTACTTCTTCGGTTCCTTAACCCGTCGCTGTAATTGTTCGGCGCGGGCGATTAAAACGAATAATTTTAACGTTTATTGTGGATGCTGAGACAGAGGGTTAGCCAGTTAGTATTGTCACTGATTTGTTTGTTTTTTTTTTATTTTGTTTTTTAGCCTTGCTTTGTGTCGAGTTTATCGTGGGTTTGGATGGCTGAGGCAATCGTGAGTCTGTGACCTTGAGACGATTGATTTGAGGTCGAATGAATGTTCTATCTTTTGCGATTATAAGATCAAATTTAACTGTCAATCGTAACAGTCAAACGGGTATTAACTTTACGGCAAATTTTCCTTTATTTAATTTTTTTTCTTCATTGATTTTGTCAAAATCGGTAGTTTGGGCTATAAGCTATGTCGTTTATTTAAATTTAAATTTATTTACGGAATCAGACGCTACTTTTGTTCACGTTCACATGCAAACGCTCTTTGAACTGTTTTCGCTTTGCGAATTCAACGCGCACGAAAATCAATGCGCTGAATGTGCACAAAGGACACTCATACCACTTACGTAACGCGTAAAGGTATGCCAACACACAAATGCCAAAATAGCCACAGCTGGAAAATTGCATACATATATTCCCCGAGTAGGTTTGCAAACCAAACCTTTAATAGTGCCTTTTGACAGATAAAAAAAATTGCATATTTTCCCAAGTACCGTAGCAGTCAAGGTTTTTTTTTTTTTTTCATTCGCAAAAGCCACAAGAAATTCCTAGTGGAACGTTATCGCCCTAATTCACCGTATTGATCCCGAGGGATCCGATCTCGCCAAGAGTTTCTTCCTCCGTCGAGAAATAAAACAAAGAGAGTATACATATAAAACCAGACGTGAAATGCATCTTGGGAAACGTAAAGGCACCAGTTTTGAGTCTCAGCCAATATTCCGACATGGGAACTATAGGAGGCTTCGTAACGATTTAACACTTCTTGTATAATTTCAATCCGGCTACTGTCCTCGTTAGCGTCAGTCTCGTTACCGGTGCCTAAAGCGGCATTCACAACCAATCGCGAATATTCATCGCACGTAAATTGACCTCTTATCAAATTGTCTTTCGCGTATTTGCAAAACAAACCCATTTATAAGTTCACGAAATGCGTTATTATCGTCTGGCAAGGTAATTTTACTATGAATTAGGTTAAGATCTGTTTTCACGTGCGTTAATGATACTGTGGATAACCCTTTAGTCCTCCACAGTATATATTCAATACGGTCGATTTTTACCCTATCGAGAACCCAGGTAAATTCATGAAATTATTTCAAACACTTTTTTTAATCGACAATAATGTTGACGAGGGCTGTCTCGTTGAATGAGGTGATTTTTTTTATCTTTCTCCCTTTGCCGGCCGTTATCTGCAGCATGCAGGTTTTACGCGACACCCTGTGTATGCTGGCCGATGCCATAGGGGGTTGTATTTGTCAGAGTGTCAGAGGGTGGGTTCGCCGATGCCTATAGTGGTGACAGTGGTGGTGACGGTAGTGCCAGTGTTGGCAGCAATGACGCGGATATTGGTGGCTGCAAGGGCGAAAGAGAGCGAGGGCGGTAGAAAGGGATAAAAGAGGACAAGCAGAGTTTTCAGGGTAGCGTTGGTAAAATATGTCCAGGGGAAGAAGTGAAAAGACGAGGGTGAAAGGGCCTCGATTTTCAAAATGGATGACATACGTTTTTCAACCTAGAAATCAACGTCGGCCATGGTGCTGATTGCCCTGACCGTTTAATCATATTTTTGTATAACCGCATTGTCTACAAAAACAAGTAAAACGTCGAGAGATAATTGATAAAAGCAAAATCCAAAAAAATAAATCAATTTATCAATGTACAACGGTGCTTCGAATAATCCATAGTATCACAGGAATTCAAATCATTCGAATTCTCAGCGATGTGGGATAATCGGTATGTCGTCTTTACGAAAGGAAGGTGAAAGCATGAAAAACCCTAGGAATTACTCTAGTTACTGTAATAAAGGTCAGTGCGCATCAACTGTATGATTGCTACGATTTCATTCAATGCTGCCAATGACACCAGGTATTATTTCCCGCGCAGTGGCTCTCATGGGAAAATTTTGCTGGCTTGAAGAATTTTTTTTTTTTTTTTTTTTTTTAAAAAAAGGGTACTTTTTATAGCTTTACCTTCTCGATGGAATTTACGATTTTATTTTTTATATTCAAGTCACGACAATTTTGATATTCTGTCCTCTTGACCTTGACAAGTTTCATGACGCACGAAGGTGAAGAGAGGGGGGGGGGGAATAATTTGGTATTTCATATCGGCTTATTCTTCCCTCACAGGGGAAACAGCACAGCTGTAGCTCGCAGGAGGGCGATTACGTAAGACACCCCCTCCCCCTTGGTCTCTCGACGGTTATTATCCGCTATTGAATTTCGTTATCGTAAACGAATTTTTCGTGAACTCTCTTACCTTATCTTATATCTTCGTTTAGTTTACGTGGATACCAGAAAAAAAATAATTTTTCATATCCAACTTGATGACTTCAGTTATTCGATTCGAATGGTCGGTTAAAGTTTTAACGATACTTTTTATAAAATTTTAGCCGTTATTAATCTACGTGCAATCGTAACGAAGTACTTGGTCGTTAACGTAATTCTTTATCTACTAATTAATTAAATTAATTTGAATCGAGCACGACTGTGTAATTGCTTTTCAAATTGCAATAATCATATTAAATGTATTACATTTGAAATTCAATAAACTCACTCGTGTGATTACTGTTCAATGACTCGGGAAGATACAGTAGCGTGCAAAAGTTTTTGGACAGATTAACGTATACGTTAAATGGCCCTTGGCTGTGTATAATATTCTAACACGGGAGTTTAATTTCAAATAGAATATATCTATAGAAACGTTTTCTTGTTAATTTTGAAATATACCGTAAATTATATATGAGGTAACGTGATCTTGTTTCAATAAAAAATATATCCTGTCTCTATACACGTGTGCGAAGGTTTAACGCGGAGTTCTGAAATCTGGTGTAAGACACGTTAATTTACATAATAGAGAATACCTTAACGGAAAAGTTAGCTAAGAGAATCCAACGTAGTCAAAGTCCAGAGGAATTAATATAATGTTAATAATAATTGCTTGATGGATTTTAAAAAAATGTTCTATCTGTTATTTACTACCGCAGAGTTCTTTTTCATTTTAAAGTACCTTGAATCCCGATGACAAGTAACTTGGATGTACAATTCATTTTACTTGTATTGTTTGTATTTTTTTTTTTTTTTTTTTTGGAGAAAA